CACCTTGATTGAGAAGGGCAGGCCATGATAGGGCCCGATAACCTTGTGGTTCTTTTCAAGATAGTCGTCGAGCTCTTTGGCCTGTTGCAACGCCTCGTCGACAAAGAGTTGTGTGAGACAATTTATCTACGCCGACATGGTGTCAGCTATCAGTCTTTCAAGTAAAGGAGGTACTCTGGGGATGGCTTCTTACCACCTGTTGAGCAATAGTGGCCCGTTTGCAGAACGCCAATGTCAGATCATACGATGTGACTTCTCGTTTTGCGAGCATCTCTATCAAAGTTGTCGCGTCCTTCTCAGTAAGATGAAGCTCTCTTTCCGTCATGATTCCTGATGTGTATGGCACGTCCATTACGTTCAAGACTGATTCGGGAGGTGCAGTTTTGAGGAGCCATTGCTGCGGAAGGGCTTCCCGAAGGATTGCTTGTTGCTCATAGGCAACGGTTTGCCAGTTTCGCGCGGCCATCATTTCTCAACCAGGATGAATATAAAAGCACCACAATGTCGTTGCGAGTGATCACGAAGCTTATAAGGCGAGATTTGATCTTGCCATCATCTTTTGTCAAGCCAGTCCAATCCATAGTCTAATACTATATGATTTCTAGACATACCTCGTCAAGACTTGCTCCATCTTCCGGCTTGGGGTTGTACTTCGAGTGTGCCGCCCCAGAGAATGCCGAGGGGCCCACATAACGGAGATTATCGAAATGCGAAGATGGGTGGAGCTTAGGTATCGTTATACACTTCCTCTCTCGACGGATTGCGACTAGCGCAGGGCTTGTCCGTGGTGCATAGGTAATCAGGTCTCATACTCTCTGCCATGTGGGTAATTAATGACAACGATACATCGGACAAAGCTCGCTAAGACGATTATCAGGTCTCCTCCCACACCTCAGGTTATGGTCTCTGTAAATGGAGAGCTCAGTATTCATTCTATAGATAGAGCTAATTGCGCGAAAAGATCGAGATACCACATGTGAGCTCTCAAAACTATCTGGCTACATGTGCTCATACGAGATGTTATCAAACACCGGTCGGGCACCTATGCTGCTAGAGGTACCTATTATTCAAGTCGTGCACTCAAGAACCAACTTTCTTCCGATTGAGCAATGGCCTCGATATTAGAGGGGGTGCCATTCTTAAGCCAACAGTTGGCTCCAAATGCCAAATCATTTTCACGAAGCCTTGAGTTGAATGTTATACCCCGACAACCCACAATATTAGGCAGTCCGAGATTAATGGCCCTGCGGTTGAGTGATGAACATGCCTCGAGACTGTGGCTAGGATCAGAGGCTGAAGGGAGATTGATTGGTCGGGATGCCACTCACCAGCTGTCAAAGGTATATTGGATTGTCCCAGCCATATCCTGGTTCAGCCTGAAGCCTCCTGCCCCATCATTAAAGTTCGTCTGATGCCCGGAACCAAAATCTCTGCCACAATATATAGTATATTCATCATCGTCACGGGTCGTTTGGGTGGCTCCAAGGCTACTGCAGTCAAACTCGACATTGAAGATGTTCAGAGGAGAAGTGACAACATAGTCGAGGAGGAGAAGTGACAACATAGTCGAGGAGGAGAAGTGACAACATAGTCGAGGAGGAGTCCATCGGTGGTGGTTGCACTAGCTCCCATCGTCACTGTAGCTGTCGAGCTATCTTTTGTTGTCATGGTCGTCGTGATGAACACTGTTGAATGAGTGAGGTGCGAGCTGTCGCTACAAGAGCCCAATATCGTCAGCGAGGCGCTTGACACAATCAGGGTCAAGGAGTGATCGAGGGGAATCACACCAACCTCTGGCCATCATTACACCTAGCCAGGGATGCTCCGAGCCCGCCCCCAACTGCCGCACCAACGACGAGTGCTGTCGCCAATATGAGTATTACGGCGACTGTCCAAGTGATGGATCGAGGTCGTTGGCTCCCTTCTGGTGGTTCTCTTGCACTATATGATGAGAGAAATGGAGGTGGTGGAGCAGGCGGTTGGACGAAGGACTGGTCTGGTCGCTGTAAGAAGTACTCGTATTGAGGGTGCTTTTGCTGAACCTCGAGATCGGAGTATCTATTAGTGGGAACGATTTCAGGTACCGCCGCTGAATTCAGGGTGCCTGTTTGGTCAGAAGACATGGTGACCAACACGTTTTGTCTCTCACGCGCGAAGGACGGTTGAGGACCTGGGTTGGGGATCTAAGGCTATTTGAACGAGGTCCTGGACGATGAACAAGGATCTTGTTCTTTCAGCTAAAACAGGTTTGGCATTCCGACCCTGCAATAGCCTGAAAGCTCATTATTAGATAGCCCTACTTAGCTTGGTTAGAGAAAAAATTAGCATCGGTGAGATTTTGTGGTTGTCCACTATAGTTGAGAAGCATCCCCTAACATGGTGCGTCATGAATGACCCGGAGCTGAGATGGACTAGGACAGTCAGGGGGCCCAAATGTAACCTCTCTCCCGCAAATCAGGTCGGCAACAGACAGGGCAGAGGAATCACAACTTTGTCCTGTGACTTAAGCAACGTTGATCCATACATCTCTGTGCTGGCGAGGTCGTCGGGAGTCCAGACTCGAGAACAATCAAAGAGCCGACTGCAACGACAGGGGTTATAAGGCTGGTATGCCGCCTCTCCCCACCAACTCGAGACCATATCAAACCCCGTCCAAGATTCAAAGACAGGGTTGCCTCTCAATCATTATAGTGTCCTAACTTTTTCAACCCTACCACACTCCTAACAACGAGATGAGAGTATGAAAACTGCAAGACTGAAAGAGGCCCATGGTGGGTAGACTGTGGTGGTCAGGCTGAACCAGAGAGGCTCTCCAAGGCACTACAGAGCCAGACAGCGCCAAGTCGATCTAGAAGTTGGAAAATCGAGTTGCTGACTTAGACAACTTGTACTTGGATGGCCGGGGTCGTGGTGGCGAACCAGTTGCATTTCGGATGGTTGTCGCATGGAAACTGCTTGATTAACGAAGCCCCTCTAACAATGAGGCTCACTCGGCCGCCCTCCAGCTGAAAGGATCTCCTCGCACGTTTGGCCCCCAGGACTTAGTGATTCTTTTTCATGGACCATCGCCTTACCCTAGCTTATATGCCTAGGTGAATTCAACACGGACAGGACAGGCAGCTGTGGCCGTAATGATTGAAGCAATGGTCACTTGGGAAACCATCATGATCATGGTGATGGGAGGTTCTCTGTTTAACTTCGCCTCTTTATATCCGTCGATCACCGCGAATGTCATCCTCAATCATCTGCTGCTATCGTATACTACGACATTGACCCCTAGATATCGACTCTCGTGGTCTTGAAACGGGGTGTACTCACTGAGTAGAGTATGGTCAAGGAAATAGTGCTCCAGATAGCTAGAGACTTGACGAGGGAGAAACTTCACTCGATCCATAAGTGAAAGAGCGTTTTTCATACCAGAGAGGAGGCGTTTCTGCTTTGTTCTGCATTTGTTCAATTGGCAGTGTCATAAGCAAGCTCCATTATGCTTTGCTTGGTGGAACTCAACCCATACAACCAACAATTGCTTTGCAGAAGTGCTATCGTGGGGTGTCTTCATGAGGACAACGATTTAAAAATGTCTCTCCTTGTATCTAACAAGACAATTCTAGAGAAAGGCAAACGTTATGCGAGTCTTGCAAGTCGTCGACCGTATGGCTCTTGAGCAAGTGCTGATGTCAGCAGATTTAAGTAGATAGGGACATGTGTGCAATCTCCAGGCTTCCGCACACATCCGAGCTCATTGGCGCAACCTCCTGTTCAGACACAATCATTGTGCATTGGAATCTTGCTGATATGTTTCCATGATAGCAGACGAAGTCAATTCATACCAATTACTACCACTTTACTCACCTTTGTGTTTTTATGATGCATTCTCATCACAGCCACGATGGCCATCACCTTCAATCGCCATTGAGCACAGAACATAGACACAGTGCATCAAACACCAGGCTGACGCAGGCGCAATTGCTCTACGCGATCGGCATAATCATCGGATTGTCTGCTCTCTTCACCAACCCCATCTTGATTGTGGTGGCGCTCCTATGTTTGGGGTACGGTCGATTCTACCATCTGGAGTCGGCCAAAAGCAAACCACACTTGCCTTGGACAGACAAACACGGAGCCTCTACTCCCAGCATTCGTCTCGGGCCATCTAGTCCACCACGCGGCAGTCTGGGCACCGTTCTGGACGAACAGCTGAAATCAATACATCTGCCGAGCAAGAACTCAAGAAAAGACAAGACTGTTCGATTTGCGCATTGACGAATGTAGAAGTGTCAGAATGTGTTTTCAGGCCCTAGATTATGCCAATGTGGGCATTGTCAGTTCCCCGACGCATCAATTGATATGAGGCATTCGAGATACTTTTGAGTGTCTAGAGGAGCGATCGACAAGATTTTCAAGGCGATGTATGTTTCCACAGCCAGTGAAAACATAGATTTGAGTAATTCTTGACATGCTATTCATCAAGGCACTACAGAGTACTTCTCGGATTTGCTTCTCGAAGCTGTACGGTGTCTCACATGATGGACTCATTGGTTTGAGCCTGTGTAGATCAAAGACAAATCATGTCTTGATTGAGTAGGTGGGAAAGCAATGGGCTTGATAACAACGATGTAAGCTCTACTAGTGCTGCTGGGCAATGTGATGGGAATCTCTTGTGATCTGACCACGCCAGGGCCTTAAGCACGTGACCACCGGGAGAAGTTTCCCACGGCTACTATGCAAAACACATCCGAAATGATGGAGGGGTAGACCGACTATGGTGGATCTTGACTAACAAACCTCAGTGACAGATACAGTCATAAGCCGTCGGGTGCGGGGATGATCCAGACAACATCATGGCCCGAGGTTCTCCTGTGGAGTTCAGCCGAAGTCGATGTTTACATTGAACCTGACTGACGAAGCTTCTCGTCAACCTCCCCCTGTTGTGGAAAAAAGACCCTTGGATTCGTCAAGGAATAAGAAGAGCTCTGATATCACAATCAGTACATATCATCATGTCTGGCAAGCTACTTGCATTGCCCCTTTTGGTGGCAGCCTTGGGCGCGTTGTATTCCAATCCCAATCCCATTCTGGATCGCTTCGCTGGCCGGGAAGCTCATGCAAGGATCCATACGGACCATCTTGGCCATGGTGCCTTGAACAATGACAAGTGTTGGAAGTTCCCAGGTTCGTCCGACCATCATCGAGCCTTGCGTCGGATACAGGAGTAACTGATGTCTCCCAGTTGGCCAAGCTTGTGAAGATGTTCGCATCCATTACCCTTCAGGCACCGCGATCCTAGGTACATTGATACCCTTCTCAAACTCGAGACGGCTCGTGCTGATAGGTCTTAGCCTGTGGGTACCCGGAGACAAGGAATGCCTTCTATCCGCCTCTCCATCGTCACGATATGCCGGCCGACAAGAACTACCACGAGTACTTCATCAAGTACGACTTGAATGTGAGTGGCACGGACTCGACCTTTTCTCTCTGTCGTGGTCACTTTGACCGTTGTCCGTACTGATCTTGAAAGACCAATACAACCACCAAACTTCGCATTGAAGGTCTGGATGAATCCCACGATCTCATTCTTCATGGCATCGATTTTCTGGAACCAAAGGACGATCCATCCAAGGTATGGCTGCCACGAATGCATCGCAATTCATCAGGAAATCTAAATTCAATTAATCTCTAGCTCTATATGTTCTCTGTCAACCACGGCCGCAAGGGCGAGACCATTGCTCTCTTCTCCTACACGATCGGCTCCGACGTTTTGACTTATATTCGCGAGTTCAGCCATTCAAAAATCAAGACCCCGAATGCTGTTGCAGCGACAGGACTCGAGTAAGAATCGCCATTGTGTTTTGGAGGATGGCCCTCTCCATGGCTTCGTTTGAAGTATTCACTATAAATCAGTACTAAGATTATGGCTCCGCAGTTCCTTTTTCATCACCAACGACCACTACTTCTACGGCGGCTTCTTGGGCGGCATTGCCCGGACTCTCGAGGGCAAGTTTGGACCCTGGAAATGGGCATCTGATGTCGTCTATTGCTCGAGTTCTGCGTCTGGAGCCGAACTTGATTGCAGAACGGTCTCACCGCCCAACGCCCATCCCTCAGCCAACGGAGCTTTGCTTGTCGATGGCGGCAAAACTTTGATGATCAATGACATTGTACATGCCACCACCACCGTCTACGATGTCGACCCAGTCACGAAGCAGCTCACAACGAGAAAAGTGGTGGTAAGTGCATGACACACCTTGCTCGCTCCCGACCATCGTTTAGCATGACCACTCTCCCACTGACTTTGCCGCTTCAAATTTAGCAACTTGGCGCCGCCGCCGACAATCTATCCGAGATTCCAGGGTCTGGAGACGTCGCTGTTTGTGGTATGTTTGACTTGATCCTGTGTCTCGCGCGGCTCCTCGTCGCGATTGCACCTACACTGTACTGACTCTGCTGCCTTCCTTCGCGCGGATTAGTTTTCCCCGATCTCATTGGTCTCATTGGTGCATTGACTGGCGATGTCACCCGCCCGGATGTCAAGAGTGATGCAGCCATCCTTCGTCTCGTCAAATCGAAGGATTATGAGCCGGAGGTACTGTACTGGGATGACGGGTCCTTGATCACCGTCCTGACCGGTGCGGCCGTCGACCCTGTCCGACACCGTCTCATTGCTGGTGGCGTTGTCGCAAAACAGTTTATTGTCTGCGATATCACTGGTGTCAAGTTGTGATGGTGTCGCCGACCTTACCGTCTGTGGACAACGATATACCCCTGGATTCGAGACATGTTACCTCACTGCAAGACTTGCTGTGTTGGTCACAGGGTAGATTTATCGTCAGACTACGCTTCAATCAAACTTGCCATCGCGACAGATGCGATGATATAGGGGGAGACTTTTACAGCGGTTTTCTTCAGAGAGCACTAGTAGAATTGGTGCGAGTAGATAGTGTGAGCTCAAAAAGATAGTTGTATGGGTGGCTTTCTATGTACAGCCCTCTGAGATACTTCAAATGTATCTCCAAACCAGTTGCATCTTAATCGTTGTCATTCTCAATGTTGATACGACATGTGCATCACACTTTGCTTGCATATCTGTCCCTGCTTGGTTTTTGAATACATGCAGCGGCTGGAGCTCGATACAGCATCTCGATCTTTTTGTCCTGCTGTAAAGGTCGTTCTGCGACGCCTGTGGAATGCATGCGAAGCAACTCCCTTGCTGGCCGCGCATTGCGCAAACCCATGACTTTCGTATTGTCGTGAGAGTCTTGTTTGGACTTGTCGGACTAGGTTGGCATCGTCTCGAGGCAGGGCGAGCCTAAGCGTGGTGTGATGACGGTGTGGCGTAGCCATATTGGGCTTTGACCGTTTGTTCGCCTTCGAATCAGAGCTTGGACAGGGGTTGCGGAGTCGGCCAAATGATGGGACAATCTTAGTATGAACCTTGACATCTCGGCTTCTTCCTCGGTTTCCTAAAGCTGTGCATCCAACAACGTCGAGGCGGCATCTTCTTTTTCCTTTGCGACCGCAAAGACTAGTGATGGATGATTAATGGTTATTGAGCACCCTCAACCAGGAGGATGGATCCTGCTCAACTTCGCCAGCAACTTGTCCAGGACGTCGACAAAATAATCCAATCTCTCACCGGTTTAAATGTGACTTCTGGACAGTTAAGAATCGAGGCAAATATTATTGACAATTCTAAAAGACGATACCCCAGATCCAAGGCCAGACGAATATTACTTGACACAATCAATCTTGCAGATTGGAGCTCAAGGTCAAGGGACTTGGATGATGCAACACACGCGTCCGGCCGCCAGCCACGGAATCGAGCTGATGTTCAGCATCTCCCTTCTCCAGCACGATCCGACAGCAATGGCCTCGAGCGCGAGCCTCGCCCAGGGAGTGGCTCAGGTGATGAAAATTCAGATCCAGGGTCTATCCTGAACATCTCTGGACCGGCAGAAAGGAAGAAAAGTAAGCACGCATCAGCCCAACGCCGCAAAACAGTTGGGGGGTTGTCGATCATCAAGACGACGATTGCGTATCCAGGACCTTCAAGGTCACCCTCTCCGCCAACAACACGGCAACTACAGACCGACCAGTCTCGTTTCCGCAAGAGACGGCGGGTCGAGGAGGCTCCCCGTTTGGTTCAGTCCAACGTGGACAAGCTGATTGAGGGCATCTGGAAAGAGATCCACAACCCCAACAGTCTGGTGCTCGACCAAGAGTATACGAGTCTCCTGGACGATTTAATGCACAAGGATACCTTGTCAGAGACCAACAGAATTGGGGCTACAAGCTTCGAAGTGGCCACCCGATCATGTCGGCGGCTGACTGAAGGCGCACGGGCTGGAAGGGCACTGGAAGTCATCATGCAGGCGCATTGGGTTGATTGCTTTGATTCACAGATTGCCGAGTTGGCTGAGACAAGACCGGATCAAAGACCACTGGAACATAAAAAGGCAACGCTCCTGCAAGCGTGTGAGTCATTCTCATGGTCGGAGAAGGATCTCAGGAATCGAATGTTTGTTACTCTACCGCAGCATCCTACAGCATGTATGGCAATGTTGATGACTAACTCGGCTTTTTAGGGCGATCTGGAAAGGCTACCGAGATATCAAGGCCGTAGCCGGGTGGAGTGCCCTGATCTTTGCAGGACCCGGCATCTATCGATTCTGCAAGTATAGACTGGGCCTTGACCCAGAGGCATTGTCGAAGCTGCGGGCTCTGCGGACCCGATTTGAGGTTGCCGCGGATACAATCCATCCAGACTGGCGGCAACTCCTTCTCATCGTCGGCGAGTCTGCCCAGCTCCACTGGCGAGGCCACCCTCACGACTGGGTGGTCAGTAAGAGAAAGGATGCTCTCCCACTAGGGTTCACATACCGTCAATGGGATTCCAACTTTTCCTTCAAGCACATCTCCGAGTCCATTGTCGACGCGGAGAAATGGGGGGACGGCGTAGATCCTCGACGGGTCAGCGATGGTCCCGACTTCATTTGCAATCTCTGCTCGCATCGGCAGTCGGCCAACCCGCAGACGAATGAATGCGCATGTTTTTCAGAACTGTTCGGCGTTCACAATGCCAATAAACCATGTCCAGTGCAGGTTTACCAGACCGAAAATGGCCGAAACAATGGGCTGATTGCTTGTGGCTCGTTTGCTCGCGGCGTTGCCGTGGGTGAGTTTGTTGGCCTCGTCACCAACGGGCTCTCGCACATTGATGTGATGCAAAGTCGAGCAAGGGACGGTGGAGAGCCGTATCAAATCTGGCAGGGCCGGTGTGGGAACTTTACCCGTTTCATCAACCACTCGTGCGAGCCCAACTGTATGTTCCAGACGTTTGTTTGGCTAGGGGTGCAGAGGATCCTAGTCATTTCCAAGGGTGTGGCGGCGGGAAAGGAATTGACGGTAGACTATTCATCTCGATACTGGGAGCAATTGGACAAGAAATGTCTTTGTGGAAGTGTCAAATGCCGGTTTGGAAATCGGTCTCCGGCGGTACGGACATAGAAGATTGACCGATGGCACGGTTTGGACAATGACTGGATATATTCTTAGTGAACAGAACACAACGGAAAGACTGCAAGTTGAGGGCGTAGGCCAGGGGCCATGGAGAGTTAAAGTCTGTCCACACGGGGTGAGCAAGTCATGAAGTGAAGCTTTGATGTGTAAGAAATATTTCATTGTTTTGAATACTGCTTTTGTATCTGAGGTGTTTTCTCAACCAGCATATTGTTTTCTATCCATGCTCCTATTTATGATGAAGCATTCCCCTCAAACGAACCCTTGGAATCTTAAGTTCCGAAACCATGGTGGGGTTGATGGTGGCAAGTTTGTCAAATGTTGGAAGTCATTTTGACCATCAAGGGGTTGTTTTGGACAGGCGGCAGAGCCATAGATTTGGATGTTTACTTGCTGTTGCTATTCATATCGTTAGTGATCTGATACCTGGAGAAATGTCTCTTTCTTGGTGACACATACCCGCAGGATGAGCAGCTGCAGCTAGAGCCGCAGCTGCAAGAAGAAGGACCGGAGCACTGGCAGGGACCCATTGTGATGGTTGTATTGATGGTGATGAAGGGTTGAAGGTTGAATGTCGAGTGATGGAAGCTCAAAGTCTTTGGAAGTTGTAAAGTTGTGTTGTTGTCTGATGGTAAAAGAAATCAATTGAAAGGTGAGTGAGGTGACCAGGGTAGATTATATACCTGAGGGAACCTGCAGCGGCACAGCGCCTGCCTCCTGCAAGATGCGGGGTGTGCCTGCGTTCTTTGTGCGTAAGTTGATGCTATGGGCAGGTGCGATGAGGGGTTTGGGCGTGATTTACATCCGTCAGAGTCTCGGAGTGCCGCGCCAAGTCAGGGACCCAGCCAATCAATGCCGTTCATCTGCAAAACACGCACAACTCGCTCAGATCCAACCAGATCGGCCCAATCAGACTCCATCACACTCTTCATGTCTTCTACGTAGTACGCACAACTTTCTCAGCTTGGACTTACGGAGTACCAAGCAGATCCATCGCTTGGCTATAGTCATGTCCGCATCAATTCGTCACATTTCGATTGAGACAGTCAGGGAGTCAGCATTGGGGCAGTGAGAGTGACATCCTACACTGTTGCGCCTGTGTACTCCGTAGGTAGGCACGTAGCAGACCAACAACGGGGCGACACACTACACGTGCCATTCAATATCACGTGGATACCCCGTGACCCCCCTTCCCTCCGCCAGGTCCATCATATCAGGCGGATCAGTCTGCTCTTATCTTCCCTCGCAAGCCAACGCCCACTGGCCAGGACTGGATCGACATAGCAATGTCCGATCAGCTCATAACACTCCCCGCCCTTGACATCGGCCCCAGCCCCAGCCCCAGCCCCAGAACCTGCGCGTTTTCTCAGAATCGTGGGTAACGTACACCCCTCGAGGTGCCAGATCGAATCCCCCACTCGCGTCTTGCGATGCGCCCAACCTACAAGTTCCCCGTCACCAATAGACATCAACCGAACCCCCTCGTCCAGGACGCATGAGATTGACGAGAGCAAGGGCTCGAAGGATACCCCCCGACGGCGGTTGCTCGACGTGCTAGAAGATGAATATTCTTTCCACCCCGCCCGAAGGCGGCTTTCATCCATCAGCCCACTCGATTTGATACGCAGGGGGAGTTGGTCCTGTTCGTTGAGCGACGTTGGTCTACTGGGGCAAGCCCCCATGGTGCGAAAAAACCCTGCATGCTGTTGAAGCCACCTCCAGACTGCTCCATGTCCTGTCTGTTCATAGTACTGCTGAGGCAACTCATAGAGTAAGGCGAAGAATTCCATCCCGTTCAAGTGTCCAAATGTCTGGGCATGTGACATGAGCAGAAGGCGTCGAAAGGCTTTGGCGACCAGGTCAGAGGCAGACCGTTGGACGACAAGCCCCCTTGGCTCGTGTCCAACCCATTGATCCTCGTCTCCCATGGCTCCAACCATGGTGATGTAGCCTTCTCGAACACCTTTGACACACAAGCACCTACCATCAACATTGAACGAACCTTGTGCGTCTTGGTTTAGTCGGGCTGCTGCCCCAAATGCCCGTCGCTTTTCCCATCCCAAGTTGGCATCCTTGCCAGAGACATAGGTGAGCAAGTTGTGGTCGAAAGCGTCGATCTTAAAATAAAAGTAATCTGGACACCATGACGGCAGGCCCTCCTGGTGTTTGTCGGTGCTCCTTAACAAGATGATGTCCAGAGAGGTATACCAGTGCAAAAAGTTGGCCGTCATCTCTAGACAAAGACTCTCCTCCGATACGGTGGGCGAGTAGTTTGGTTCCTGAACAAAATCCCTCCAGTCCGATGCCAATCCAAGGAGACCGTATACCTTGTCTCGGACCACACTGGTTTGCGATGCATGGCTCAACTGAAGAATTTCCATCAATCGAGGCTTTTGTTGGGCACGGGCGGCTGACCTGACGAACAGTACTTGTTGTGCCAAAGTGGGTGAAGCACTCATCTCATCCATGCTCAAGCCATAGTCGCGAATCATCGTCTCCAGAACGTGCAGCTCGAAGCGATAACGTCCCCAACAGACTCGAGTTCGTCTTGCTGCTGCCACCTCCTGAATGATCCACACGCGGCTCCAGTAAGGTGCCATGAGGAGCCTTCTCAGTCCCGCAATTGCCATTTTCAAGATAGCGTCATCTTCCGCCCTCGAAACGCCTTCAGAAATCTCTCCGGCAACCTTTTGTAGCTCTTGGACCTCCTTATCCCTAGCGACACCCTCTCCTAGCCATATGACGACCTCGGCGGCGATTCGATAGATGGAAAACATTCTTGTAACTTCCTTACTCTTCTCTCCAGGGTCGTTCTGATTGATACATATTGCATCAACCCACAACATTTGGTGCCCCTGCCGCCTTAGCGTGCTGAGTGCAGAGGCAAGATTGATAGACACGCTGAACGCCTGACCGTTGACAAACACATCGGTACGTGAGATATCTCTAGCAGATCCCCAAGAATAAGATAGTGCTGTGTATTGAGGCCGCTGACTCAATCTGGCGTGACTCAGGTCAAACTGTAATATGTCGTCCATATGTTGCGCGCGACCAAAGGAAAGGAGCCGAATCTCTCCCTCTTCCAGGGGGCCATAGCGAAAAGGAGGTCTTGATGCCGCGTTTTCAGCAAAACGGCTCGTCCTTGAATGCCAGCCAAACCAAAGGAGGGTTGCAAGAACAATGCATCCTATACTTGAGATATGCAGAGGATCCACCACCGGCCGGGTGTCCCTCCATCCCAGGTTTACGAAGACGAGGATAAGTAATAGAATCAGGAGAACACTCAGAGTAGGGCAAATACGTCTGAGTGCTGGAGATCTCGGCATACCTCGCACCTGGTCCTGGAGAAATGGCACAGGGAGGATGGGTTTGTCTTCATTGCGGTGTCAATCCGAGGGCCGTGAAGTGTGTCATCAGCTTGGACAAGGGTCTCTAATCTCGGACAAAACAAAGATTACCGTGGCTTAGTTACCAGCAAGAATTCCATGTCATGCCAGAGACCAACAACTGTTGACCTTTGGCCACTGCTCTGCACTGAGAAACAGATGTCGATTTTCTGTTTTTCGTCGTTTTCAATACTGCATCATTCTACAGTATGATCCGCCAGCGAGCTACGGCTAACCACAACATCCCAGCTGCCAACATTTCTCACGTTGCTGGCGCTGGCGCTGGCGGGAGCATTTCTATTTTTGCTTTACATACTCGCCATGTTCTTTTGCACGTGGTCCAAAGCCTTGTTGAAGTACGGCAAGAAGCGTTCAGGGTCTTCACTGGCAGGGAAGTGTCCTAAACCACGCATCTCTTCAAAGACCGCTCCTTTGATTTTGGCTGCGGTAACCCGACTCATGGCAGGCGAGCAGCTGTAATCGTACTCCCCAGTGAGCATGTATACCGGGCAAATCCTGGTGTCGATCTGCGACATTCTTCCACGCCCGTCCCAACCCTCAAAATAGAACTTCAGGTCGCCAGGGAAGATGTTTGTGGCTTGAGAAGAGTATATCCACCAGTTGAGTCGCTTGTAGATGGCAGGGGAACTTGGTGATAACATTCCGCATACTCTTTCCGGGTTAAGAATGGCTTCATCTCCGACGAGTGAGTAGATCTTTTGGGCTCGGTCTTGGGCGATATAATCACAGGCTTCACACGGAATCACACCGCCAACTCCGAGCTCTCTGGCGCGAAGAGCAACGGCAAGACACACTTGCCCACCCATGCTGGCCCCCGACACAATCACCCTTTGAAGTTTCAGACGAGAGATGACCTGGTTGATGGCGGCAATATAAAATGCTTCTGAATTGGCGTAGGCCCCAGGGTACTGATGTTGGCCAGGGAATGATCGTCCATGGCCGGGCAGGTCAAATGCGTACATGGTACATTTTTTCTGCAAGTCTCTATTCAGCATCAATGAATGGTACTGTCTGGCATCAGCGCCAGCAGTATGGAGGAACAGGATATGCTGTGAACCTTGACCTGCGACCTCGTAAAAGATTTTGCATTTGCCAACGGAGGGCAATGTGAGCCAGAGATAATGACCAATGATGGAATCATCATCTGTTTCATCGTCGGGTGTAAAGTCTTGTTCTGCAGAATCGCTTGATGGTGGTGGATGTAGGCCGTCTCGGGCTCGATCCAATGCAATCCGCCATATCCGGGCATGGCGGCTGAAGGCAGTCTGATCACCTAGAACCTCGACCCCGGCGTCACGGCCTAGTATTCGCAACATGCCCCAGTACGACTGAAAGGGTGGCTGTGGCGTGGCAGCAAAGACCTGAGACCAATGTTCGGTGGTGGCTTGAAGTCGGAAGTGAGGTGTAGGGTGCGATGCAGCCGGTCGATGTATTGTGGTGATTCCATTTTCGACCACAAAGACGAGGCTTGCATCACTGTCTGCGCAAGACAGGGCAAAGCAGAGATCTACTCCATCAGCAGCGGCAAAGAATTCCGCATCATGGAGGATGGCACGATTGATGGCCAAGATCTGCTCGTCGTCGATAGACTGGAGAACGTCTACTGAGCTGGACATGGTCTCGAGTTCAACCTTTGTTGTCTGGAGAGTTCGGTTAGATTATGAGCATGTACTGTACCTGAGTAGAGATTGACCGTGGCCATTGATGCTTTCATTCAGTAGAATGGGGCCGCGCATCGTTGATATCACCATCCCCGCTCTTGGTGTTGGAGACAGGATATATCGATCAGAATCCCCTCATGTTTCTCCTCAGCAAGCTGCCAGAGTTTCTCTTAGCTCGGTGTGCATCAAGAGAGGAAACACCAAGGCGTGACGGAGCATGTCGATCGAAGCAACATATCGAGATGTATAAATTAAAAGCTCAGAGCATAGTTCGTTAGCTCCTTGTCCCCAGCAAGAGAGGTGTAGCATCTCTCAGAGCGTGGGAGGGATTGGTCCCCAGGCCCGAGACATTGGAGTATGAAGCCAAACAGGCGAAGTTTGAAGCTTCGATAAAGGTACATACCCGCACTGTAGTAACAGAGACATATTTGGAGTATGTATACGAAGTCAATGCTAAACATGCCATGAATAACTTATCATCTTCAGTCCCTGGTCTGCCATAAGGAAAGCAACAAGACGTGAGATGTGCATAATCAAATGTCTCAGGGGCTACGAGCGCAGAGTTGCAAAGTAGAGGAACAGAACGAACAGTGTCGAGCACATAAACAGACGCAGAATCAAGGTCCACCGTCGAGAGCACTAATTCAAGTCCTGGGCCTTGTGATTGGCAGCTTTAATAAATTATTGTAACAGTAGTCATGGTTTTTTTATTGGGAGACCAACAATCAGTGACCATGAAGAGATGGTAATATGAACTACATAAACGAGTAGGGTTGCAGCTCAACCTCCAGTAGTAGAGTAGCAAGGACAGTCCCATACAATAGAGTCATTATGTGAAACCTGGTGATAGGGCCTGTGTGAGAATCACACAAGAATTGTATATACATAAGTCACAAGTGGTAGTGTATCAGGAAAGAAGCGAAATGAAGAAAATGAGAAACACAGCCAGTTTCTCGCCAGGGTGGACAGATTCTCGTTTCGGACTGAGATGAAAATCGATCATGTCATGTGCTTTGGGTTGGGGTTGCGTTGAATTGGAATCAAGATGCCATCCCATCGCCACACATCGCGATTGCCACAGAACCAACAAATAATAATGTCTCGGAAAAGGCAAGACCGACACAAACCTCTCAGCAAGCCCGTGACTGCCAGTCTGCACCATTTCAACATGTTTTTCAGTCTGGGACGAACATTTCGAAGAACTCGTGCGAGTACCTCAGGATGCATATTGGATCAGGCAAGAATCAGATACCAGGGTAGAGAGATTAATCGTCAAATGAACAAATTTCCAGAGTGGGGGGCCATGCTAGGCGCCTGTTGATGATTTGTTGGTGTTGAGGTCAGGGCGTTGAAAGGCTGAAGTGCCTGATCTCCCCCACGGTACTGGCAAACAACTGACATGCCTTGATGCAGGTACAGGCGCCCTAAAGCCTGGCCAAGGCTATGAAATTAATTGGCCAAAGGCCACTAACGAACTGGCCAACTCTCTTAGTCCCCTTAAAGAGCGAATCACTGAAACTAGTACAGGCGCGATAGGCAACGGACATGGCATGGTGGGCGTCGATGGGTCACATCCGGAAGCCCCCTCGGCCCAAAGCAACCATCCATTCAGTAGCGGGGCATAAGCTACCACTAGTGTTGGGAGTGCCGCCTCCAGTGCTTTGTTCATGCTCGTTCAGCAGTTTTAAGCTTCAGTTCTCTACGGAGGTAGGTTCGAGTACACGGTACGAGTGCAGTGGATGAACGCTCACCGAGTACACCCTACGAGTACACCTACAGCTACACCCTACACCTTCTATGTACGCTTCCTCATGGTATTTGCTGTATACCTACCGTGTGATTGTAATAATGAGCTACTGACACCGGTCTCCGGGCGCCGGGGTCTTGTCTTTGCCTCTCCGCTTAAGCAAAGCCTAACCAGGCCTTTAGCCGCTTGTAACTCGCTGCGGCGTCCTAGTTTCGGGCGAGGGTACCTGCGGTGGAGATGCAGCTAGCTCGTCCAAGCCTGCGCCCAAGAACGAGCGTTGCACTCTGCAGCCTCTAGCATCTCGGCCCCTTAGTGCTCCATCCCTACCCGTACCCGTACCTGCGCCAGTCCCACCACCAGGACACGTTCGAGTGAGGGTAGCTAGCCACCTAGCACAGTGGCAGACAAGTCCACCGCCGCCGCCAGTCTGTCAGTCTGTCTGTCATGGGCTCATTTGGCACCCAGCCAATTCCATCAACATCGAGCACTTACACGCCTCAGTCTCTCTTTCCACCACTTCAAACTACCCAACACCATCGTTCTTGCCTCGCAAACCCCTCGCTCTCTTCTGCGCCGCGTCTTCATCCCTCCTTCCTTCGCTCGTTCACTCGTTCGTTCCTTCCTCAACACTTCGACACCTGCCTCGACCTCCAAGTGCGCACTTCGCATTTTCCTCAAAAACCCAGATTTGCTTTAGATAATTCCACCTCATCGCAGAGAACCATCCTCTGTGTCAAGGCATTCGACGTTCTTCAAGATACCCAAATCCTCGATCCACCTGATAGGACGACAGACGACACTTTTATCGTGGTCATCCTTGGAATGGTCAACTCGACTTTGTGGCTGTGAACATTTCTACTCCTCCTGCGACTCAGCTGAATCCTTCTGGTCGAGCGACTTTGCGCCCTCAACCTTTGGTTGGAATGGACACCTTCTCACGATAGCCCTGCTCCCATCCGACTCTCCAATACCCTTGCTGGTGTTTGCCAGCTTTACATTCGTTTCATTCGGAAAGGTCCTTACGATCCCCCAACCATCGATCTTTACCCATCTCCAAACCCAAACCACACTCGTTCACCAGGCTTTTTGCCCTAGACAAGTCTCGAGCAGCTGCGTCTTACCTAATTTCCCAATCCGACCATCCCATCCCATCTCTCTTCAACGGCCTCGTTGGACAAAATCTTTGCTATCGTCGGACTTTTGTACATGCCGAATTAAACATTGAACATGGAACCGCCTTTCAAACGTATCAGAATCTCGGATCCAGACGTCAGAAATCCAAGAGACACCGGTTCGCGAAGAGCTGAAGGTTTGTTCACTTCGGAAATGGCATTTCAAGGAGGAGAGACCGATAGCGAGCCGAAACCCACCCGGGTCGTCAGTCCCACCGACATCCACCGCCAGGACATCTATGGTCAATATCAGCGCCTTCCACGTCCTATCCTTCCTAAACGAAACGCCGGCTTCTATCTTGTCCCGCGGGCTCCCGAAGCTACAGTCACTACGAATGTCATTGAGGTCAACGTCAACGATGGAACCACAATCTCCAAAATCACCGAAGTCCCTGCCGATCCAACAGGCGCCGTTGTGTCCCTCTCTGATGTTGGTTCTTTGACTGTGCCTCCCATAACAGATAGCTCGACCATCGTTACCCCCACCGATAACCCTTCCGAGGACACTCTTGCGACACCTGCTCCGACTGCCCTGCCCTCTGATATACTCACCAGCAGCACATCTTCATCCGAATTGACCCCCTCAGATACACTCTTGCCCGAGACACTGAACAGCACCACAACCACCAGCCAGTTTGACACAACCACAACTGAAGAACTTACCGTCACAGTCACTGCCACATCGACTTACGAGATCTCCCTCACCAATGGCACAATAATAGCCACCGCCTACTTTGCGACCAACAAATCCCTGACCACAACCCCTGATGCCAGGATTACCGCCGCCGTGACCGCGTCGTCCACCCCTTATACCTTTGGCCAACTATTCACCACGTCTTCGAGCGAGCCTCTCGAGACCAACCACGCGCCTTTGACCAGCTTTCCTGGAGCGGCTGCGTCTGGCACTTTGGGTTCACCCGTCGAAACAACCACTTCTTCGGCCGCACCTGAGTCGGAGACCAGTTCAACAAGCTCTGCAGGGCCTGGGCTGACCCCAACACAACAAACAGTCGTCGGAGGTGTTGTGGGCGGTGTTGCAGGGATTGCACTAGCTCTGGTCATTGTCCTCTTTGTCTTGCGATGGTATCGACGACGGCTCAAATCTCGTGGTCAGCTTCCTGAGCAGCTGGCAACCAGAGAAATCGGGCATTCTCATGGACCCCCTGGTCCCATGTCTCAACGATCGTCAGTCGTTCCTTTTGCTGCCGCCGTTGCGCAAAATTTCAAACGACTGCGCCCACACAGCACTCACACATTTACCACTTCTGGAACAGGCACCACCGATCCCCATGCTCGAGACTCGGAACGAGGCTTCCAGCGGATCGCTGGCAGAAAAATTGCACCTGTTCTGGGCGCCGATGGGGGCGATCCATATGGCGGGAACTATGGCGCATTCGAAAAGGACACGGGCGGCGATCCCAATGACCCTTTGCAGGGTGGAGAGCGCGGCTTGTCTGGTGCATCGTTTTACCGTGACAGTCAGGGATTTTATGGAGGTAACGGAACACACTCACCCACCTTTCCTCCGTCACCCACCATCGAAACGGCGAGGACCTCAACCGGCGGAACCCCAACCGCCCGAGGAGCATCGAGTGAGAAGGGATTTACTACGGGGGCGTATGCGCCCGTTAATATGAATGCGAGCCAAATGTCCTTAGGTTCTCCTAGCCGACCTGACGGTTATGCATTCATCAGGCCGAGTCCTGCACGCACGCCCGTGACTCTGAGTCCGGCTGCCAGCTCAATCCGACTGCCCATCCAACAGACTCCCGTCATGGACGAGCAGGCCCCTCCTCTGCCGATGGGATTATCCATCCATGGCATAACGAGAGATGAGGTTGGGAGAAGCTTGGCCAGCCAGGACGGAAGTCGCATCAGCAAGAGCAGCGGCAGAAGCGGCGGCCGTTTTGTGGAGAACATGTAGTGCATCTTCTCTAGACCCAGCTGGTCCCCGTGGTGGCAACCTTCCTTTTGTCGTGTCATTTAGCGTGGAGTTTGGACTCTGCTTATTCTGGTCCGTCACCGTCACTCACACTTGAGGAGGTCGACGACACCAAGAGGTCAACAGCAGAGAAGATGTGGAAAGAATTGCCACTTAGAATTTACTACTGCCCGAATGATACCCATTTGCCGCGCTCGTTGGTGACTGTATGTAGTGCACGATATCATGTTGACCGTCCACGCCATCGACAGCACATGCTATGCGAATACAATAATTCTGAGACCATGCCGATGTTGTGGACCTATAACGCGTGTAGTGACCTCGAACAGGTGTGTGCCGTGGATTTGACAAAGGCACAACAAGGGACTTTTGTCGTACGTCAGTCGCCCTTTCAGAGCTGTTGGTGTTCTTTGTTCGGCCGAGCAGGTGCTCGCAAGACATGATAAAGCATCGCTCTGGCAGCCAGGAAGGGGCAGAGACTTGTGTAGATACTTTGAGTGCACTTGACCACAATCTGCTGTACAGGGTCTCCCACTGAATCTGGCAAATTCAGACCTGGTCGACATCGACTCAAAATCTCTCATCGACAAGTGAATGGTAGACAAGACAAAAACATGCTCATCGTTGCAGAGACATTGCCCAAATGGTTCCGGGGCATTGGAGTGTTGCCGGTTGCCGACAAAGGAACAGAGTACATGCCCATGAACTCATGGCATGACGTTTCGGAGCAGGAAACCAGTCGAACGGAGGACTGTCCGGACATCATGTCGCGACTTGCAACGGCTGACTGCTCTAGCCTGCGCGGGCTCTGGTTTGGCAACGTCGAGATGGATCTGCACGACTTGTATGCCATTGTGCACCGACATTCATACACGCTGAGATCATTGACCCTGTGTAACATGACCCTCAATACCCGTAGCCACGACCACGCGGGAATCCTGGGTCATCTGGTCCTGCTTGTCCATTGGCTCCGGCGAGAGTGTGCGCTCCAACAAGTGCATTTCTATGGCCACATCAAGGACCAGCACGGAACGAGCCTGTTATGCTCATCGGACACAGTGGGTCACGCAACGCTTGTATCGCGCGTTGAGGCGTATATCTGCGGCAAAGGCGAATTGTCTGACTTTCCCTTTGTGACCTTTCAGCTTCACCGAGAATATCTCGAGCATGGAGACGTCTTCAGTGTGGGTGGACAGGTTTATTGTGGCTCCAAGTGGAGATGGCGCCAGATTGAGCTCGAAGAGGATCATACCTGGTATGTGAAAGAGTCTGGGTGGTCTGGACTGGGATATCTTGTGTTGGCCATGCTAGCGATTGATCTCCTGGTGCGGATGCAGACGGTCTTACTCTGCTGGGGAGAAGAGCTCCGACCCTGGAAGGGAACAATCTGGGCGATCCTGCGCGTTGGCACGATCATGGCGCTGGTGATTCTGACCTTCACCATGGGAGTTGTCTTGGGATCGTTTCTAGCAGACACCAATGGTTGTGGACGATGGTGAGATAGATGATTAGCTAGGCGGCCATGTAAAGGTGGTGGTGGAGTAGAGGGGAGCAACGAGTGTTGTGGAACAGACGTCGTCTGAGAGACTGACCAAATGGCATGAGTCAAGGCATCAATATCTCGCTCAATTGGTAATATGTGTGCGGATATCAAAGTACCTGATAGGTTTGTATGAAGAGACGTCGTTGAAAAATCACGTGAATTGATATCACGTGGGGAAGGGTGATTGGTTGACTTCAATTCTCTCAGTCCTCGCAGCCTCAACATCACCAACGTCAACGTCAACGTCAACCACTTTGTCCACCACCGACGCTCCCATTATAATACTACTTTTAATGGACTAGATGCCGAGACATTGGTCCCGCTGGCAGAGATTCCAGTTCCCTTGAGACCCAATGGAAGACCTATTACCCAGAATCCCTTTGACGTGGACATTGTGGATGGCAGGTTGAGAATGTATTTCGCCCCAGACCAACACAATACCACCATTTATGTGGTGGAGACACGTTGAGCATCCGAAAGATTGGGGTATTTCGGTATGGTGCATTGAGAGTTATGACGAAAATCTTGTCATGTCAATAGAGCCAGAGTCGCATCTCACAGACCAGGCAAATTTCCAACCTGAGGCACAGCGGCGCCATCTAGAGCGTTTCGATCAGTTCCAAAGTCCCCTGCACTGTATTGCATTCCGAAGAGATCGATCCACGAGTCGAACCACAAATCTGCGGTAGTTGATTGGTTCGCAGCCAGGCTCGCAGATGTCTCGTTTGAGATGGTGCTGTAGTCTACGAGCGACCACATAGTGTTGGAATGTTCTGGCGAAAGGGGAGCAATTTGTGAGCGCTGGCTGGCGAGCTGGCTGTAGACGAGTGTATTTTCGGCGGCGTGCTGCAGAATTTCGCCCTGGGAGATTTGATTTAGGTCGATCCGACATTCCAAAGACAATATAAGCAAATTCACGACTCACCATTGTTGAAACGTTGCGCCAATATCGGCCAGTGCCCTGGAGATAAGTGATGGCCTCCTGCAACAAATTTGAAGCCTTCAAGCGTTTTGCAGTGTCTTCGTCATCGGTGTAACATGCCGCGATGGAACCGGCAATAAGAATGCAGTAGCCACTGAAGGAGGAGCGGAACATGCACCCGTGATTGTTGGCGGCCTTGAAAAGCTCCACCATTCGCTGTGCATGATGCCAACCGGTGTCAAACATTCGAGCCAGGAAGCTCGAGGGAGCTGTTATCTGTCCTATCTCAAGCCGGCGTCGGAGGAGGAATGGGTGAGTGAGCATGCAGTAGCACAAGTGGAACAGCGCGGTAGAGAAGACGATGGGCCCAGTGTGGTGATAATCTGCTCCTCCTGCCGGGATATAGTAGGGGGACAAGGTCTCGGCCAACGGTTTGTCGAGTTCGAGGCGACTTTCTAGATGCAGCAGATCCGCTTCGATAGCAGCAAAGTCGGAGGATGGGTCCCACGGAGGGTATCGGCTCCGAATGTTGAATTCCTGTAACATGTACTGAGCGGCACGACCGACCGTGTACGCCATGACAATGACATGAGCGAACAGCCCTGCACGTTGAGGACTTGGTGAGGTACGGTTTGCAAGCTCATCCAGCGTCAAAGTCTGTTGCCATGCACCGTCTCTCCACGTTTGCTCGTCACACGGCAGTTGTAATTGGCAGCAAGCGTCGACAATCGCGGGAGGTCGACCACGGCCGCAAGAAACCAGTCTATCCAGCAGGTACACAGACCAGAAGACTCGCCGGCGTTCTTCTTGGTCGGCGAAAGATAAATCGGCTGGGGGCTCGAGCATAAGACCGAGGTCTTGAGCAATTCTGACTGCCATTCCGATTTTCACCCAAGCTGCGCCGTGCCGCGACTTGCCAGCTAGGTCATGTGTCAGACCATTCTATCAAGTAAAGACCATAACAGGCTTACCCGTAAAGTCAAAGAGAGCGAGCAAGGCAATAGTCTGCACTATGGAGACGTTGGCAGCCGTGCTCGTACCGAAGCAGTTGGATATCACGGATTGCCACGATTTGTTTGCATAAGTGACGGCCACCTCATGAGTATCTACCGGCAGCTGTGGATGAGTGCAGAATCGCACAGCACTGGCGACCACTGCTAGCACCAGATGGTCGGCCAACTCATTCTGAGCAAGACGGCGGCGAAAATTGCCTTCATGAAAGAATGAATATGGCTGATTTTGGGCATACATAAAGTACGCGTCGACGACAGACATCAAGACTTCCTCCGAGACAGAGTATCCCTCGGGAGTTGGTGATGTCACTTCCAACTCTCCGTCGGACAGATGTTTCCTCTTAGACTGCCGTTCGCCCGAAGGAGGAGCTTCGGGACCAAGTCTTGATCCAGGCTGTGTGAAGATGCTAGCAGCATTGGAAAGTCTGCAAATTGGAGAGCAAATAAAGAGGTCAGCTTGAGCTCAGAAATCATCAGCCAAGGCGGACCTTTCCAGTTTATCAGCGAAGCTTTGCAAAGTCGTCTCAATGGACGCGAGTCGTTCTATGATGGCCTCCTGCGCCATCAGGCGTGTTAGATGGTTGTTATGATGTTTTGATGGACGAACTTACATTTGTATGGAGGACGCTGTCCCCAGAGTGCCCCTCTTGCCCCTCTTGCCGACTAGGCGGATTGCTCTTGGGACCGTTCAAGGAGTCTGTATAGACACATTCTGACCCATACTCGTCATTCCCTTTCGTAAAAGCCGACGGGCAGTCACAAACCCTGTCTCAAACGGCGACATTGCATGCATATGGGCCGATTGCCAGTACATCGGATTTTTTTGCGCCTCAAGAGCTTGTCAGAGTCGCGCTGAAGCAGAGAGGAGGCCCGGGCACAGCTCACCGACACGTAACGCAAGCTTGAGCGACACGGTGCACAGGTAAATAAAAGGGTTCGTCGTTGCTGTCCATGGTTGATGTGTAGGATTGTTGTCCAGTGGCTGGCGAGGTGTGAACGAGACTTCAAGAGGTCGAAGCTCGAAGGCGACAGGCGACGGGCGACGGGCGACGGGAGACGCAGTAGGGGAATTTCTTACACAGTCACGTGACAGGTCTCGCAGCCTGAAATAGGATCAGGGATCAGGGATCAGTGATCAACTGTGAGTCTGTGATGAATTGGTGTCTATTCCCGTGAAATATCAATGTCTACTCGTCTAGGATATATACGGGCTATTGCCCTATCTAAACCTCTCCTCGATCTCTGCATCTGTCTCGTTTCAATGGAGGTCCATCACAGTCTGAACTTAGGAGAACCGATAGATGACATCTTCAAAAGCGTCTGTGGGAAAGACATAAAACCATTGCAGAGGCTCATCGTCTAAATTCCAGATGGCGTGTTCTGCATCCCCTGGGATAAAAACCACACTCCCAGCCTGCACGGCGGTCTCGTTGCCATCGATCTTGACCGTCCCTCGACCTTGGATGATATAATAGACCTCTGCTTGTGCGTGGCGATGGGCACATAGATGACCAGTCTTTGCAGGACAGACGGCGATGCCAGTACTCAAAGAGTCGGTGGGCGTGCGACTTGACGTGAACAGTGTCTTCCAACTGACCTCGCCGCGAGGGAATGTCTCATCAGGCTGAGAAGCTATTTCTTGTTCTGAAAGAATAACTGGGCGGATTGAACGAGGTTGAGGGAAGTTCTGAGGGTTCTGAGCATTCTGAGCGTCCCTAGACATGGTGGCTGTGATCAGAGGGCTACCCAAGCCTGGACTGGTCAGCCTAGGTTCGAAACGAGATTGAGCATTTCCAAACCAACGTTTCTTAATCTTCTGGACTTCAGTCGTCGGAATTGGAGTGACTACTAGGGAACCATCAAAAAGAAGAAAAAGCAGAGTTAACCTATCATGTAAACTCGACATGCCTATCTCTATGCTGTCACCGCTGTCACCGGAGTTCAGCGAGGAAGACGCGGTCCGATCGGGCCGCTCTAGTGACCATCTACTCCATAGTGACCATCTCAGGTCCTTTGTGGAAAGTTGGCGAGGATGGAGCCGCTACAGTTTGTGATCCACCTGACCATCACCTTGATCCAGTTGGATCACCAACTTTCCAAATTGTTTGCCGCTCTTCATATCCATGAAGAGTTCGTCAATACCACGCAAGTTGGTAATGCCCTGGACTGTGCGGGAAATGACTGGATGAATGCGTTTCTCCTCGACAAATTTGACCATGTGGCGAAACTCTTCTCGCGAGCCCATAGTGGAGCCACGGAGATCAATGTTCTTGAGAACGGCAGTCATGGAGAAGGAAATCAGGGGGCCCGTTGTCATGCCGTATGACACAATCACACCACCCTGCTGAAGCAACCGTCAGTTTCAGTGCTTTGCCAAAGATCGACGAGATCAGGTCGACACGTACCTTGAGAAGCTTGACCCCGCTCTGGACGATGTTTCCTCCCGCCCCGTCAATGATAGCATCAAAGTATCTCCTGTCCTCGGGCAGTTGGGCCAGGAGCTCTTGTTCCCACCCCTTCTGGTTGTATTTGACGCCTCCACGGGCGCCCAGTGTCCTGGCCTTGGTCAACTTGGCTGTGTCGCTGCTGCTGACATAGGCATTGATCCCAAATGCCACGCAGTATGCAAGAAGCATCAACGCCACACCACCACCAATACCCGTGATCAAGATATTGCGACCTGCCACGGCATTTCCACTCTTTGTCACCAGAGCCCGCCACGCTGTCAATCCCGTCAGCGGGAGGGCGGCTGCTTCGAGGTCCGAGAGATGCGACGGTGCTTCTTCAACATCGCTCCAGGCTACCCGGATGGTTTCTGCCAGTGTTCCCTTGGGGTTCAATTTAGTGCCGCCCAAGATTTTATAGCCAGATTGGTCTTCTGGACCCTCTGGGGCCTTCTGCCAGCCACATCCTGGGTTGATGATGACGCGTTTGTGAAGCAGAGCCGACGCGGCAGGCGACTTCCCCGTGCTAATCACCGTGCCACATCCGTCTGAGCACAATGGCACATTGAAAGTAGTTCCTGGGTAAAGATGCTGTCGAATGAAGAGATCTCGGTGATTCAGTGAGACGGCACTGAGCCTCACAATCACCTCCTCGTCGCCGGGTTCTGTCTCAGTATATGACCTTATCTCGGTGGGATAGTAGACCTCGCCAGGCCGACCCTCAATCTGACGAATTACTATCGAGCGTCGCGGCGTTTCGACTGCCATGTCCTTTGCCGGCTTTTACAGTCCTGAGAATTCCCAGTCTTATGAAAAATAACAAGGCAAAGAGCGAACGAGGAATTCTATAGGAAATGGACAAAAGGGCACACTGCGGTCCGCCCGGACCGGGTTGGCCACCAACATTACCTCGCCAACTCCTGTCCCACCTCTCCGTGAACGGGGCTGCGTCGATCGACTGGCATAAATATCTACGGAGTAGTATTGAAATGCCGTTCCTTCTTTCCCCCTTGTCACTGCTCCCAAGCCATCGAGACCAAGTGCCTGGAAAATCGTCATCAATATGAAAGAGATCCAAACCACAGCCAGCCCAGAGACATGGGGTCCCGGTACATTCATTGATCATTCGAAGCCCAACGTTCCTGAAGACTCACGACGTGTCTTCGAATTTCTGGCAAGGTCCACCCCAGGTTTCTCACAGGATCCTCGCCTATGGAACTCCCTCACCTTCGAAGGTAGCGCCGAGCCAATTGCGCCCGGCCCGCTGAAAGCCCCTGTTATTGCCGCCGCCTTGAACGCCATGTGTGGAGTTGTCGCAAAGGAGCTTTTAGAGCTGAGGCAAGGTGGCATTTCCGATCACAGGATGACGATCAACACGGATCATGCAGCCCTTTGGCTAGGGACGGCAGGCATCACCAAACGCAATGGCATCAGCGTACCGCAATTGTCGAAAAGTGGAAAGCTGGGCGAGATTTTCCCCAAAGACCTGGAAAAGGATACCTTCAAACCCGCCATCAGATTACGCACTACCGCTTGCTATCCCACGAAAAAGGAGGGAGTCTGGTACCAATTGCACGGCTCGCTCAATGCTGATCCAGTCTTGCAGACGATTGGCTTAGACGTCCAAACTCCATGCAAGGGCCTCGAAGACGCCTACAGAATCATCGGCGAAGAGGTTCGCAAATTTGGACCCGAAGAACTGGAAATGCTTCACGTCCAGAAAGGTCTTTGTGGCAGCATGTGCTACACCCCGGCGTCATGGAGGCAGACGCAAATGCACAAAGAGCTCTCCAAGCATCCACTGGTGAATTACACTCATGAATCATACGCGGTGCCCACTCCTGTCACGCCGCTTCCGATGCCGAGCGACGATAAGCGCCCTCTGGCTGGGATCAAGGTGGTTGAATTGGTCCGCATCATTGCTGGCCCGGTGATTGGCAACACCCTCGCCGCTCTCGGGGCTGATGTCATCCGGGTCAATTGCAGTCGACTTCCTGATTTCAATGTAAGTCAATCGCACTCGATCCTGTAGCGACGGGCCCCAGATCTTTTGCCCGTCACCACCCAGAAGGTGCCGCTACCGGGTTCCAGGCTAACATCCATGGACAGACCCTCCAATTGACGCTGAACGCCGGCGTTCGAACCGCTGATATTGATCTAAGCAAGGCCGAAGATCTATCCAAGTTGAAAGCACTAATTCAGGAAGCGGATGTTTTCGTCCAAGGCTATCGACCGGGAGTCTTCGAGAGGAAGGGCCTAGGCCTCCATAAAATCCTGGAGATGGCCAGCAAAAGAGGCAAGGGTATTATATATGTCGAGGAGAATTGTTACGGACCGGATGGTCCGTTTCACGATCGACCTGGCTGGCAGCAGATCGCCGATGCTGCGTCTGGGTGCTCGTACGTCACTGGGAGGTATCTGGGCCACACCGACGGCACATGCGTGCTTCCAGCACTGCCTGTGCCTGACATGCTGACAGGGTTGATTGGCGCCATAGGCACTATGATGGCCATCCGGGACCGCGCCCGTCAGGGAGGCTCATATCACGTCTTCGCCTCGCTGATGGCTGCCGCTGCTTTCCCTCTGGCGCCTGAAGTTGGCCTGTATCCTCTCGAGGTCACCCGAAAATGCGATCAGAGGTTCCAATGGGGCCATGTGGATGCGTCACTTTTTGTCCTGGAGCTTCTCTCGGTCGTGATCGATGCGTGGCAGAGAGAACTCCCAGAATATTTTGGTCCGGACTCACCTTGGCTCACTGAGCTGAAGGGAGAATGGGGCAACTTTGAACTTCTCAAGCCGGTATTGCAGTTCACAGACTCAAAAGTGTCGCCTCGGTGGTTGACGGCGCCTGAACCAAATTGCCGGCACGAGGCTCACGAGATCTCATTCGTTGAGTCGAATGCTCCAGTTTTGAATGGGCATTGATGGTGGAACGATGAGGATGCCACCTATTTCAAGGTTGGAAAATTATTATATGTAGACATGAACCTGAGACAGCGTCTGAGTTGTTGAAAGATCAGCCCGTCCAGTGCGTGTCACCGACAATCCACGAGGGGAAGGATTTGATCCAATGGACATACTCCGTAGTAACGATAAGTGATAAGCGTATGGGCAGATCACCAACCCAGGGAGATATGCATAATTACCTAGGTAGTCTTGAAACGACAAGAGATGTGAGCACTGTGGAGGGGGAGATGTATATATTAATTCCCAACTTGGCGGTCAGTGGGCGCAAGTGGGCGCAAGTGGCCGCTCAAGAGTCAAAGGTAATCAATCCTTGATTAAATCCCACAAACATCTGCTCGGCAGAACTCCGTGACCCTCTTTGCTCTATCATAAAGCCTCTAACTATCCCGACATCGAGAATGACTTCTGGTCTTGATGGGCAAACAACCCCGCCACCACACCGACCCTGTCCAGTATTCGAATATGAGATTGACGGCAGTGTTGAGGTATTCAATGTACCTCTTTCACAGCACATTGCCCCCCAATCGAGTTCCGGGTCTCAATACAATCTCGTTGCTAATGGCGCCATTGTCATCGTGACCCCGATGCGGGAGTCGCAGTCGCAATCCATGAAAGATGACGCATCAATGGTCAAACCACGTGCCAAAGTCTTGCTCCTGCAAAGGTCCCAATCTGACTCGATGCCGACCAAGTGGGAGATCCCCGGCGGTGGCTGCGATGATGACGACCCATCCATTCTCTACAGCGTGGCCCGAGAGCTATGGGAGGAAGCCGGCTTGAAGGCAACTCGAATCGGCCCCGTGGTCGGCGACGTCCACACCTTCAGCGTCCGTCGGGGCCTGGTTGGAAAATTCTGCTTCCTTGTCAACGTCGAGTCCACCGAAACTGATGAGGGTTACCCGCGTGTCACCCTCGATCCCAACGAGCACATGGCCTATCTCTGGGCAACAGAGGACGAGGTCATAGATGGCCGTGTCACCGTCGACCAACACACTCACGTCCAGATCCCCTTGACCAACCCCGCCTTCTGCCATGTCCTCGTCGACGCTTTCCGCCTCAAAAGAGATTATGACGCCAATAAAGCCCGAGCATGAAGCAGATTTCCCTCCTAGACGTTGCATCAACCGTTGGACTTTGATGGGCTGGAAGGAGCAATTACCGCTTGTTCACATAGTGCTATGTACTCGTTTCTATCATATTAGGCAATCCGCTCATTCACTCCATCTCAATGCTATCGTGTTCTCCGTCAATGAATGTTGTCCGACCGAGACCCTGTCCAACCAAGGCCTCCATAAAACGCCGTCAGTCTATCCTTGTGCTGCGTAGCGGTCATCCCATATATACACATAATCCGTTTATAAAGTATCCATTATCCCATGCCATCTCGTGCCTCCTTTGTATCTCGCCATCACAATCATTAAAAGTCATTATCCCGAAATGGCGTGTTGGGGGAAAAGCAAATCATATCGACATCACTGGCTGCTACCAGATTTCCGCGCAACCGTCGAGTACTCAAAACTGTCGTGTTCGTTGTAGACCATCAGCGCTTGACTTCCAGGCCGCTGCATCCGGTCGATGCCTAGATGCTCCTTTCCGTCTCGGCCCACGAATATTCCAAACCCATACTGCGTTCCAGCCCTTCGGGCTGGTTGTCGAGACCGCCGCACCAGGCGAGACTTCTCCTTTGAGCCTTGATCGCCAGTCAGTCCTGTTGTCGGTGTTGCTGGCGAATCCGAAAATCGCTCAATTAGATCTGCCTTGGTCCGCACGTTCTGTACCAACCCATCATCCAGAAGCGGGCTAGCATACAGCCAGCTCATGATGCCGGCAATAGTGTTGAACGAGTGGGGAAGGTAGCGTTTCCTCGTGGGCCATACAGCAAGATATGACAGCGCGTAGATGCCGCCAATGACACAAAGTGCGATATACCCGGGCATACTTGCTACCATCCGCACTTGGTCCCGTTCAGAAAAGTGCAAAGCAGTGAATACTCCGCCAGAAAGAGTGGGGATCCAAGCAGCGAGCACGCCGATGAAGCTGACATATGCCACGTTCCAGTCGCCGTTGGCCAGGGCATGAACCACAACTCCTGCAGGCGTCTGAGACGGGTAGTGAAGGAGGAGCGAATGTTGCGCATCCGCACCTCCTGGCCGGGAAAGGTTGCAGAAGGGTTGGGCCGCGCGAAAGTACATGTCTATGGGTTGCCATGCCAAGAAAAGGACGGTTCCGAGAAGACAAGGGAGGAAACTGTAGAGGAAATTGGCGGGTGAGAACCCGCCCGAACCCGTGACTGATGATAGCAGTGGATCAAATCCGTCCTGAACAGCCCGGTTGACAAAGCTGACGGTCAGAAAGGCTATCAAGAGAAGAACTGCGGCAATGATCCAGGCCAAGACTGCAGAGTCACGAAGGAACCAAGGCACCCACCGATAGCGGATGAAAGGGGAGTGGACGTTTCGAGCAAAGTTAGACCCGTACGAGAATCGCTGGGCCTCGAGGTCGGACTTGTCCTGGCTTTGGAGTAAAGCGTCCGAAGATCTCTCGACTAGCGGGGGTCGATAGGACAATCGTTTGATGGGCGCAAACTCTTCTCCAATGGCATGGAATACATCGGCGCGTTCTGAAGTGGTCCAAAAGCCCATTCGGACCACCCGTGGAGGGATGTCTCGGCCTGGTTCTGGAGAGACCTCGGTCTGCTCAAAGTCTGAGACCAGATTCGACCGTCTGAACAAACAAAGCATGTCCGCAATGGACACTGGATCCCACAGCATTGCCGACTGACTCCGGCGGAAGCGGAACAGACAGAGCAAAACACTGGCGGAGAGAAGACTATACAAGGCCACCAGAGTCCACCCTACACCGCGGACAGTTGTCCATCGAAAACGAGGGGTTCCATCGTTTGTGATCCACTGTGTTTGAAACAGACAACTCAACAAGGGAAGGGTCAAGAATGTCGACCAAAAGACAATGGAGGCGGCTCCCAGTAAAGGTTCACGCCAGCGGAAAAACGAAAGGTCGGGGAAAAGGTAGTTGGTGGGTATGGTTCTGAAATCCTGCAGGATATTGTTTCTCCGAGCACCCGACGACATGGAGAAATAAGGCAGGGAGCGATAAATGGCGGCCTGGACGACGAAAAGCCAGAGAAGGAGAAAGGATCCGAGGAGCTGTGGAAGGTATTTGAAGACGAAGTATCGGGGCGAGGCATTACCATCGTAGTCATACAGGCCATGGTTGCCAGATGCAAAAACAAGGTTGAATATCAAGGCGGCAATCATGAGCAGGATAAGGAGTAGAAATGTTGCAAGTGGGTATAGTCGCAGGGGCGTGGGAACAAAGCCGAGTTGCTCTCGAAGTTCCTTGGACAGGTCAATGGGAACCATAATTTCCTGAGCCACCGGTTTCCTTCGGACTGGCTGGGGTTTGGGGCTGGATGGCTGTTGAGGAGGTGTGGGAGGGGGAGGAGATGGTGTTGGAGTCCAGGATTCTGGAGTGGTGGGCTGCAACTCATCCACCGAGGCGAGAGGATTGGCGTAGCGTTCGGGTGATGAGGTACTGTGTCTGCCTCGGCCTGTGACATCCTCATCTCGCGTCAATTGCTCGATGGCAAATCTGATGTAGGGGGTGTCGTCAATACCCGGTGTGGGAGGGCTCATCTCGTCAAAGTTGGAGAGCATACGAAGAGTCCTCTCGCCACCAGCATTTTGGCTAGCTCTGATGTTCAAAGGGGCGGGGTGGATGGCACCAGGTCGTGAAGGGAGTGTCATCTCGGAATCGTGGGCGTAAGGTTGCTCGGCTGGAGAGGGGATGCGGGAAGGGGGTGTCTCATAGCTTTGGACGCTGGCGTCGTTGTCCGAGTGGTGACTAAGGGCGTCGGAAGCATAATCTGAAAAGTATTCGTTGGAGGCAGTAGAAGACTTGAGCGACTGACTTCTGCGATACTCGGGTGTGGTGCGTTTGACGGTGTGGATGGGAGGGTCTGCAACCACGTTCATGCCTTTACCGAGATGGGAACGAGGTGAAACAATCAAGAGAGATTCGAAAGACGGGAATGACGGAGAGAATTGGAAGATAGTAAAGAGACATGGTTGAAGTAGAGTTTGAAGATTGAAAGTATAAGACACTGGGTTGGCGGTCGAGGCTGGGAATCATTTGGTGGTGATGACCAGGGTAGGGTGGTTGGGTATTTTGAGGCTTGCGGAAGCCAATTCCCAGCCACTCTAGTACGCTAAGGACCAACCAGAGTGAAACACATGGTGGGATGAAAATCAGGGGATTGTGATGGCATTGAGATAGAGTCCTGTACTGTGAAGCATGATTCCTTAGCAGAACCAGCACACGGTCCAGGTGTTCATGATCAAGGTTGAGGAACGTGCTTGGTGATGGACCGTGTGGAGGGACGAAGAGGATCGAGTTTGGCTGCGGAGACTGCAAGGGACGGGCCTGTGCGGTGCCAAGGCAGACTAATCCAATTTGGGGACAGTCACAGCCTCGTATCTGAATAAGGGTAAGCGCAGCCTGATGCCTTGATCCTTGGCAGAGTCTGGACAGTTTCAGGCTTCAAGACACTTTTCAACTCATCCCTCAGCATGGTACAATGCTACCGTCTCACTATTTACTCAACACGAGATTCATTCCGCAGAGATTGCAAACAGACGCAATGGTGACTTACTACCCACCACTACCGTCCACTGCCATGTTCACTCCATTGATGATGCAGTGCTATTCTGAATCGTCATTCCCTAATATAATAATCAACGAGGTAAGGTCCCTGAGGGTAAGTATCTCACTATTACATTCAGCAGGCACTTCGACTGTCTTCTGCGTCAGGAGCGATGCGCAATATCTTCCCAGTCAAGGTAGGAACATCCATGACAATGTCGTCTTCAACCTGACCATCTCTTGATCCAAATGCCTCACCTCGCCTCACCTCGACTTCTATCTCTTGATTACTTCATCCTGCCCTGCTTTTTATTGTTTATCACTTTTCTCTTCATCTTTGCACATCCTCTTCCTCACTGTCTGTCTCCACCTACTCATCATGGCCAACACTTGCCTTATCCTCCTTGTCCTGTCTTTTCTTGTTGCCTTCACCGCAGCTGCGCCAGGTAGGCTGCTCCGCGACGACGCAGCCGATCTCCATCGAGATGTGGACAATTATTTCACCAGACACAATCGCCTCCTCTGCACCACCAAGAGGTGTTTGTTTGGCCATGCAACTCTTGACTGGCTGACATTCACTTGCATCTGCCCAGATTGGAGTCAAGACCTGGTACATTGTCTCTCCTTCACCAAGACCTTGACTCACACCTCGTTCAAAGTTGATCCATCCTTGTTTGACCACAACCTGCGACAACACCGTGAATCCCGTGTACTCGATCCTCGATGATGCTTGTATTTGTGATTCAAACCAGAATCTTGGAATTGATGGGGTTGAGATCGACGACCTACCCAACCCCACGTCTCCGTCAATCCACCTTCAACCTCGCCAGCAGCCTGAGACTAGCTGGAACAAAATCGACGCACCAATCCCTTCCTACCTCCCGCCTCCGAAAGAGCCTACTACCCCCGAACTCTTGAACCAGTCTCTCAATGTCCAACCGCAAAATACTGCAACTATCAGCTCCATCATCCCTGACTTCAACCTGGGTATCTTCCATATCTTCCTTCAGCTCAATGGGTTGGTCGCCGATCTTCTGGCGGTCAATGCTAGCGTGAATCTAGCCTGTGCATCCATTGGTCTAACTGACCCTCAGCCCAACCTTGCCCTTGTGCCCAAATTTGTCAAAGATGGACAGGGCGCCCCTCAAACTCTAATCGCCGATTGTGAAGTCATTGCTGTCAACATGTATACCCCGGAAGTTGTCACCTGTTGGGTTCAAAAATTGTCCGATGGAACCATCTACTCGGTACTCGCAAGCAACAAGGTGCTCGATATCAACAAGATGGACCTCGGCCTCAGTGTCGCTCTTGAATGGGTTGTCCTCCAACCAACACACAAGCGTGCTCCTTCAATATGGCCAAGCAACACAAATTATGTCTTGCCGCAGAAGCGTCAGATCTTTGCCGCTCACTGTGGTCTTCCTTGTCCCTTCTATCACATGCGTATGATCCAAGGCACCGATGGTTATTGTGGTTGCATGTTCAAGGGGGCCGATGAAGAGTTTCGATTAGACCGCCGGACCATGACCGAGCCAAATGTCCATACAGCCATCATGACCGAGGAGGCATGTTCAGCCATGACGTGCTTCCGTGCAAGTCACAAGGCTGCCATCTTCAACCCCTTCACCCGGACCTGTTCGTGTGTCAGCGACCCACCCATTGAGTCCATTCCTAGTGCATGGATCGGCTAGGGAGAGGGAGATTATGGTCGACTGTCGTCACCTTGTTGGAGCCTTAAGAGAAAGCATGATGTTTATCTGGAAGAATGTGTAAGAATGAAGCGTCCCTAGAGGGATGCAAAAAAAGAGGGGGGCCGAAGATGACGTCGTCAGAGATCTTTGTCCATTGGAACTCCACTTTCATGAAGGGTTCTGGATTGGGTATTGTAGTGGTTGGGGATGGCGAGAGAGGGAATAGTCTCTCTCATATGAATACATAATGCATGGATGGCCAAAAACACAAGAATGACAGACACCTGACAGACGCGGCATAGAGTGAGAGCGTAGGGCGGAATGTGATTTCACAAAGGTTGCCATCACCCTTGAGACCTCCCATGACTAAATAATAAATCTAGTGTTCTGGACGACGCTGCTACATGCCTCATTGTTGAAGCTCTGTCTACCTAAAGCTGTCCGCCAGCTTAGCAAACGTGTTTGCCGTCCTGTTTGCGCCCATCTCTCTTCCTATCGCTGACATACTCTCGACGATCCTCGTCTGCCATCACATCCCCCAATATACTCACATCCTGTCCGATCCCAAACTACCGCATTATGCAAGATGCCGCCCAGTGCCTTTTTGGAGTTGATACAAATTATGTTGCACATTCAGTCGATGTCGAACCCTCGCTTTCACGGTAGAGACACACACCCAGGGTTCAGAATTATTCTCTGCCCGCTTTTCCACGCTCCAATCGTCCTGCTGTGGCAATCTGACGGCGTCTAAAATGTCTACGAGGCACACTGACCCCGTATCCATTGGTTTGATGTTCTATCTCCTGACATTACTCCCACCAAATCCTGCCGCGGTGGTCGTGGGCAAGGGTAAGCCCTCGCTCGGCGAGAATGGGCCACCACCGCCGCTGATATAGCTGGTCCGACTCGGCGATGTTCTCGCCGTTTGCTCCTCGATAATATCGCTCAGGCGCGTCGGGTGCCGATGTCGTGGTTGGACATTAAGGCTCTCCCAGCCCGTTCCTGGCGGATCACTTGAGCCGTAGCCCGCACCTTCATAGTCGGGAGACATGACCTCCTGACCCTGTGGGATCGGAGGCAGTGCAGATGGTGATGATCTCGGTACCGCACCGGTCCCGCTAGTTGGTGGGGACGACAGGTATTGATGCTGCGACCCAGATTGCTGTTGAGGTGGCCGAGGCCGAGTTTGGTCTTGTTGTTGACGATACTGAGCTGCATACGTCCTTTCCCGCTCGGCGTCGGCAGTATGGTCGTCATCGTCGTCATCGTCATCGTCGGGCGATATGGGAGATGATGGTATTTCGCCAACATCACTTTCCCCTCGAAGCTGGTGTTGACCGAGCCCAGACGCCGTGCCTGTGGACTCGTGAGCGGCTTGACGGTACGGAATCCGTCTTCCACGGTCATCCCTGGTGTAGGTTCCATCAGGATTGATATGGTATTCTTCCTCCGAAGCAGCGGAGCCTGTGGAGGGGATGAAACTTCGATCTGTGCCCGCGGTGCCGGAACGTATCGGTGGGGGTTGCGAGTAGGATTGGGATGGCAATTGCCCGATTGCTCCACTGGTCACAGCTCGTGCGGCGGCGATTGCGGCGGCAGATGTGGGGGGCTGAGTAGCGCGGGGAGATGGGACTGTGTAAAACTGTGAGTCGGATTCATGGCGTAGTGGATGTTGCTGCTGTCGCGATGACCGAGTGCCGTGATGAGATGAGTCGGTGTAGGGGTCAGTAACGGTGGGAGAGTGTTCAGGCTCGGGCCCCCCGGGTTGAAAACTGAACTGGCGAGACTCCTCGCCAGGCGAGTCGAGTGACGTGGTCGTCGTTTGGCTTCTCGAAGGGGGGCCCTGTTGAGAGACGGGGAGTGGCATTTGGTCTTGTGCACTCATGCCTGAGAGAATCCCAGGCCCGGCGCCGACAACTGGACCGTCTCGGGTCTGAGGGCGCTGGATGGTTGAGATCTGACGGGAAGGCAGACCTTGCATCGGGACGACTTGGACGCCACCAATGAGTGTCGGTTCGCCAGATCGCAGCGCGATGGTTCTCTCTCGTTCCTCTTGCTCTCGGCGACCTAATTCTTCCCATGCTCTTCGTGCTTCTTCTTTACTGATCTGAAGCTCTCTCCGCATCTCCTTGACCAGTTCCTCGGCTTTGGCCTGCTCCGCACGTGCCGCCTCTATGGACGTGGAGCCTTGCGATCGCGCTTCTCGCTCAGAAGCCAACTGTTGTTGCAGTTCGGCCTGGCGTGCGGCAGCCTGCTCTTGATCGTTGCGAGTTTCGAAGAACCAGCGTTGAAACTTGCGCTCCGAGGACGCTCGCAATCTCTGCAACTCAACAACGGCGTGAAACAAATTCGCGCCGGCGGCGGAGAGATCTTCGATCTGTCGGGCAATCTGTCGGTCGATGGGCTTGGCGGCCAGCTCATTTTCGTTCTCCTGCAAACGACGAAGAAACGATGAGACCACGCCTTCCCAGTGGGAAGAAAGTTCCTCCCAGCGGTCAAAGGCGTTGGGGAACCGGGCTCGATTGGCCTGGGTTGTGGGTGCAGGTTGCTGCTGCGCTACGGGTTGAGGAGGTGGTTGGTGTGGAATGTTTGATGGACCGGGTTGGATGGGAAGTGGTTGTTGTGGCTGTGATTGATCTGGACGAGTCGTGGGCGCCGGCCGTGCGGTTGCGGGGATGTTCAATTGATCATAAGCCTCGGTTCGATTTCGTTGTGTGTTTGCGGATATAACACGCTGAATTGGCGGTTGTTGGCCCGGCCTCTGCTGTGATGCCATTCTGGTGTGGGAAGGGTCGGGCATGGGCGGGACATTCTCTTGCCGTCTGGCGGAGGTTGGGAGCTGAGTTGATGATCCTACCGCAGGATTGGTTTGCGTAGGTTGGTTCGAAGCCCTCCGGGTGGTTCTTCTTGTGTTGGGGTCATCCACAACGCCAACAAGTCGTTCTTCTGGCTGTCTTCTGCTCTCTTCTTGTTCGGCCTGCTGTAGCAGTTGTCGTTGCTGTTCACGGGCGGCTTCATCTGCTCTGCGAGCTTCCCTAGCCCTTCGTTCACGCATCACCTCTGTAGGCGTCCGGTATCTGGGAGGCCTCGTCGGGGTCGGTCCAGGGTCGGCGGCAGCAGCCGCTGTCCGAGCCGCAGCTCCTCCATTTTGAGATCGACCTGATGCAGCGAGTGGGCCGGACGGGTCTCCCCGAAGCAGATCTGACATCCGAGCCTGCTCTTCGAGCAAATCGGCGGTCAGAGGTTGGGGGTTGACACCGCTGCCGGATCTGATGGTTTCCAACGCAAAGACGATGGCGTCGTGGGTGGATCTGGTGATGCGGGTGGATCGCTTGGGCCAGAAGGTGGTGTCTTGAACGAGTCTCTGGAAATCACGAGGCGAAGCGGAGGCGGATTCGTCGATTCGGAGGGGAGGTGTGTCGGGCCGGGACAGAGGTCTTTGGGTCGGCCGGGGAGTGACGCGAGGACCGAACGGAGAATGTCTAGGCCTTGGAGCAAGTGAAAGAACTCGTGCGTGTTGAAGTTTAGGGGTGCGCCGGAGGGTACGACTCCCACTAGCGGACGAGTGGGAAGATGGACGAGAAGGGGAGAGGGCGGGTGGAAAAGGTTGTTGGCGTTGTGGAGGGAGGAGAGGAGGGTCTTGAGGGTCGTAATATTCGTAAAGGTCGTCAAGGTGAGGATGGTGCTGGCGCGACAATTCGTCAGATGGGAGGAGAAGCGAGGGTTCGAATGACTTCAGGGTGGGAAGCGCTCACAGCGCGAGCACAATGGTTGAGAGATCAATTTGGGAGAAAGGATAGCATGGAGAGCAAGGTGGTGGAGGGAAGAAAATGGCTGGCTAGGTGCGGAAGGTTGATTCCAGGGCCCAGCAGGGTGGTTTCAAGGTGTCAGCGATATGAGAGAGAGAGGCATTGAGTTGAGGAGGAGGAGCAGGAGGAAGGAGAAAGCGCAAAAGGCAAGAATCGGTGGTCGAGAGTGAGTTGGCTGTGAGGTGAGTCGAGAATGAATTGTGGTGTGGCTGGTCCAATTCGCAGTCGAGATCAATCTCCCAGTTGGTAAAATCCGCGAGGCTGGGGTTTGGCCCAAATTATTAGTGGTTTAACAAGACTGAAGTGATGAAGCCAGAAGAGACGAGGGATGGTTTGCAGATAGTCGAAGCGACATGAGACTCTTTCTCTTTTTTTTTGATGTCTCAAGTCAACAGGTTGGAACGAGCGTTGGGTGATGGGGTTCGTGCGGGTTACCTTTGAACGTGGTGTGGAGGCTCCAGGCAAGATCCGAGCTTCTGTGAGGGCACGAGCCAACTGTTTGCATGATTGAACTTCTGGCAAAATGAATGGACGGTACTATAGGTGCAGGCGAAGCTGACGACGTCGAAGCCGACGCAAGCGAATGGGACACGAGGCAATACTCGAATCCAGATGTGTTCTCTAGAAGTTGGTCAAGTGTAGACAAAAATGGGCGTAGGCGAGGGCGCGTTGAGTGGTGGCGAAGACCGAGGGACATGGCACGGGGGGCCAAGGTCCAGCAGCATGCTCATACAAAACAGGACAGAATAGTAGTGGCAACGAGTCGTCCGAGTATTAATGCTGGCGAAACGTCAGCTGAAGCTGGGCTGATGATACATGCACTGAAGGCAAAGTCATGATCGTCGACTTGTCTATGTGCGAGATGGTCAAAGAGGTCGACGTCCTGGAAATGTGCTTCGTTGTTTGTGGGATTGGCAGTGACCAGATTGGGATTGGGCTGCAGGGCTGCTGCAGAGAACCGGGAGTCAGAACACGTGCAGCCCACCCGAGGGGACCCAAGGCAAGGTTTGGGGGCCAAACACATCCGAAATAGGGACCAGGAAAAAACAGTTTAGGCGTAAACATGGGTGTGTAGGGGCCCAAGGGGCCTAAGCGGAATGCCCGAGGCCTCCCTAGCTCCGCCTCCCCACGACTACCTTGGGTATCTACCTTACCACCGACCTTCTGGCTTTATCCCCCGTTGCCCCCAAGACTCGCCTCGTCACCCTGTCACCACAATTACCACATCGCAAGCTGAGATGACCCTCAACCTTGGAACTGCCACCCCAGAACTTGGTGCAGCCATCCTTGGACGCTGCAAGTGGCCCCTCGGCCCTGGGTCTTGTCCTCATTCGACCATGGTCTGCTGCAGGCCCATCTTTCAATTTATCTAAATCGACTAGCCAAGTGATCGGTGTCGATCTTGCACAACTTTACAGCATCTACACATGAGGTACAGTGAACAGCGGATAGAAAACTCGTGTTAATCCAGCACCTGCAGTAATAGGCGACGCGGTGCTGTCATGTCGGGCAAGAGCAACCCCCAATTACGGTTGAAGCCTTCCTTCCCATGTTCAACACACACATAGACTGCCTCTTACTACAGTATGTTAGAGTCATCTAGGTCAAGGTAGAAGGCTCGGTGATCATGGGTCGCTCCTTCCCAGTCCCTCGATCCTTCCAGATCTATCGAGTGGAAAATCAGGAAAAGGAAGGCGCATCAAATGCACGCGTTGTTTGCCTTCTTGACTGCCTGCGCCTGAACAAACTTGACTATCAAACAAATCATCACGCGTGTTCCATCCCACCAACATCATCCATCCATCCATTCACTCAACTACGTTCCATTGCTCCATTGATGGGTCCTCATCAAACCTCAACGCTCAGCAGCCTCGCTCTCTAGCTCCTCCAAGCCACAGACTATTACGCATACACTCCGGTCTTTCTGCCATCCGCCCCTGCATACTCGTACTGTATGTTCCTGGCCACCATTTGGCCTTGTTCAACTACAGCTACGAGTACAGTACGTGTGCATCGTTTCATCTCTCTACTATACCGTCGATATCCAATTTCTGAAACGACGTCACCGACGCCGAGTCTCTAGAAATCCCAAGAGAAAACAATGACCATTTCTGGTCTTGAGCCTCATTCGGATCTACCCTATTCTCTTGTCTTCCCATCACGCGGCGCCAGCAAAGTCCACATGTCAACTTGCTAGTCCCGGTACGGTCATGCTGGCCTTATCATTCCCTTGTCGTAGTTTTCCCGATTTCAGATCATCGTCTATGTACAATACCATCCACCTGTCAACAGTCCGATCGACTCGTTCCCGCCGTCACAGGACGACAGACAGACGCACAAGCACGGAGTACAGCAATTGTTCCATGTTTCGGGAAGCTACAGCCTGTGTGGAGCCTGGGAGGGTCACAAGGGGGGCAAGTGACTCTCGGGCCACGGCGCGACCCCTCGGCCCCGAACCAATAACCGTGGCCCCTTCGATTTGACTTGAATCCTGAACAATAGCCTACACCTTGCTGTGTGTTGTTTATACATCACCTCCAATCCGGCTATGCTCCCTGACTTCAGACACAGGATCATAATAGTATACCCGTCGAAGCAAATTATGACATAGGATTGATTCACTATACAACCGGAGTCAAGCACGCCTGGCTTGTCGAACCAAAGAATCTGATCAACTGCATCAACCATCCCAGATGTCAGATTCCACCTTTTGCAAATACGACCCAAACCCAGGCATCTACCGACAGTTTGGCACGCTACCAGATCACCTGTCAAACTCTCAACCCTGCATCCATGCGTGCGAGACTTGATGTGATACCCGCTCGCACAGTCTCCATTGCGTCGCGCTGTACCTGATATGCCTCAGCTGGACAGGCCATCTATTAATGGCCATTCCGTCTTCCCTTCAACCTTTTTGTACTTCAATGCCACAGGACCCCCGGCTAGTTTGACAGCGGCGGTGGCGGTTGATAGGCATGTCCAGTTTACCGGACTGTCCAGCGGGCACAAACGCCGTTGTCATCCTCGAAGCCCCGGTGACTGGCCTTTGCACTCCTCGTCCCCTTTTGAGAGCTGTTCATTCTCTAATGCATACTCTGTGACATGAACCTAGACTGCATACCCTCGCTGCAGCCTATCTCCAGTCCTGTTGACCTGCCCGTTCGAATCTCCTCCCCACAAAATCCGTCACAAACAAGCAAACTCCGACATTATCGATGTGAGCCATTTGCCAGCCCACTTCATCCGTGGGTTGCGCCTCTTCACACGTTTCGTGATAAAGCGAACCCTGGATACTGCATTCTGTCATTGGGTCCAGTCAATCGATTTCAGGCGTGGCTAACAAATCGGACAAATTCAAGCACATGGTGTTTGTTCATTCGTCCAGCACCACGCCTCCGCCTCCAGCTCGACTCAAGCCACGGGGCTCCTCCCAACCATTCGTGAATGCTTTGTGGACAAACATCTGAATATGTATGAAAGATGGGAGAGACCTGTTTCAATTTCCACCTTCTCCTCTCTCTTTGCGTTCTATCGCTCCAGAGACTCTCCATTCCGTCAGATTGGTTGGTCTGTTGTTGACCAAGAGTGACCAGCACTCCATCTCCAGATTCGCCGTTGTGGTCCCCGCCCTACTGTCGTTCTTTGCAGCAAGTTCTCAAGTCTGTTGTGCCTGTGGCCAGAAGCCCCTACCTTCATCGAGTGACAGCACACCAATTCAAGCCTGTCCATTCCACAACATGTCGACAAGGCCAACGGACCTCATTCTGGAGCACTCTTGCATCTTCACTGGACCACAGCGTCGACTTTCGTGGCACCAAGACTCTCTCATTTGCTCCCCAGACTATTACACCTTGACCACTCCAGATGTTTATGAACCTCTTCTCCTTCATCACGTCCCTTCCCCGTCGTTATGCTTAGATGAGATGCTCAGACTGTGGCCGGCTCAGGACAAGAAGCCCTCCTCCCACGACGTGGAAAGTAGCGTTTCTCCCCCGAACGACTGTCGAGACTCGGTCGCAACCCTGGTTGACTTTGGAAGCTGGGTCTCTAGACAATCGCATGATCGTCGATCGAGTTTACTCCCTCCAGCACCCCATTGGGATCGTCCCGACCTTGAGGCATCAAGTGACAGCGTTGAGTGCCGACTTTTGTCCCCAGAAACTGCTCCGGAGGGCCAGCGTAACCGTGATCATTGGCGGTCTTCTTCGCCTCCTTTTTCCAAACGCAGCGCCACTCCGGATCAACTGGGCAAGTTGTGTGTTGCACTCGAGAACTCTTCGTTGTTCCCCAAAACAGCATCCCCAGTCTCGACGAGAACCAACACCCCTGTACCATCACTGTCTCAATCTCATTGCTCCGTATCGACGTACTCAGCGGTCGATGCTGTATCACCCGAATTCCTCACGGACACCAATGGCAAGATGTCTCGCGAGCACTGCCATAACAGACATGATGGGTCTTTGCAGAGCGCCACAATCAGTTGTAGGGCAAGTGGCTTTCAAGACATCAGCCCCCGAACTTGTTCGTCCAGACTCGAGGGCACTTGGTCGGGACTCCAGCTTGTTTCTAATCACGCAAACAGAGATTTGAGCTCGTCTTTGACAGTAACCGACTTTGGTCAGAGGACAGGCAGCCTATATCCTCGAGCTATGCCAGGCCAGAATCTCTTGTCAACTTCTTCGTCAGACCCAATCAATCATGACTCCAATCCTGAAGTTTCATATATTGACTGGGACGACGATGAAGAAGAAGAAAGGGGCCAGCATCGATCGCGGCTAGCACGAATGAAGAAAAGTTTGACAGATCTTCGCAATGCAGAACGATTCATCTCCGAATCTGTGGGAAGAGGAAATGGCACGACAAAAGGCTATCCGGGGAAGACGACTGCCTTGCAAAGTCCTCATCTGGGGAGATCTACAATCAAGGCAGAACTCAACAACCACCGGGCGGTGGCTCTCCATCCGCAGCATAGCCGTGATCAGAGCTTTGGGAAGGCTCATGCGCACATGATGGTCAACAATACCAGCAACATCAGCTCTTTGAAACAGGAAACCATGGACACGTGTCGTACGCAAGCGGTCTCTCGCGCCACGAGCGTCCGAGAGCGGCCGGCAGTGCGATTGAGGAATCATGCCAGTTCCAAGTCACTCTCGACCATGAAATCAGATTGTCCTCCCCCATGGTCGTGTCATGGGTCAACGCATGGGTCAAGATCTAGCATTCTACAATCGATTCGTCATAGGCGTCGAACCATCAGCTCTCAGCTCGAGGGGTTCACCCCTTTGGGGTCCCTAGACTACATAACTCGAGCGAGCAGTGGAATTGAAGATGGTTGCCAGTCGCTGCGCGCGACACCAATGTTCCCTCCTCCAATGGATGGGTCGAACAGGAGAATCAGCTCGATAATGCTTCGTGGGGGGACGATGGGTATGGGGAAAGCCAAAGGGACAGACAAAGGACGGACAAAGGTAGGCGGGTTTGGGAGATGGGCAAGGATGCTCTGTGGAAGGGGCTGCCTACATCCTTAAGGAAGATTGGCTGTGGACGACTTTCAAGCATTGCGACCAGCGAGTCTGGATTACGGTCTGGCATCGTTACAGCTGGAAAAGGGAGGGGATTCAAAAGCAAGCTGAGCGTATGAACTGAATGAGACATGAAGAGCGAGCTATGTCGCATTTTACATCAACGACGGTGCATGATAGACGAGGAATGGGCTGATTGGAACGAGCAAATATTATTACAGCCGATAAGTAGTCTGTCGTGTGTGATGCAGGATAAGGAGCGATGGGAGAATGATTGCCATGTGAAGACGGGAATCGACGAGGACATTTCGATACTCGTGTGGCAGCCAGCAATGTCATCCACTACTGCAATACCGTAAAGAGGACAAAGACCTGACCTTGATTGGGGCGAGACTTGGTTGAAATGATACTAATGCGGCTGTGTGGATTCTGCCAACGCCATGTCTCATAAGGCATGGACAATTCTACAACTTTATATGTTTAAGGGTTTGACAAGCTATCGAGACAACCACGATAATGACGATCATTGGGGTGAAGTAGTCGAGTGTTTACATATATAAAAGAATAGATGATACTTGGGCCATGAAAGGGACGAAGGGATGGTGTTATGGGAAAGATTGCCACGTGATGAATGACAGTACTACTACTGTAGAGAGGCAGGAACGACCATTGAAACACTAATAATTAATGCACTGGTCGCTCCTGCCCAACTGCAGCTGTAGTATGTAATAATAAACGCATAATAGGCAGCCACGAGCGCATCAAAGTCAAATGGCAGGAGCAACCGTCTAGGGGGCTTGAGTTGACAGTTGACGCCCAGCGCCTGACGCATGACGGCGGCGTGGCCGATCGACAATAATGGGTGGGCGGGTGCCGTATCCATGTGTGTGCCATGCTAGATCCCTCTCTGGACAAAAGGCCAGCCTCAAGCCATCCGAGTTCAGAGACAGCATCATCGTCAACAGTTGAACCAGATGATGGATGGCGTTCGCATACGGCGTCAGTGCGAATCTCGAATCTCGAATCTCGCATGGATGGTACCCGTGGGTCTCATGGTCTGGCCTCGGGACAATTCCAACAAGCCTACGGAGTACTCCATACTCCGTACATAAAAGGTGGCTCGTGTCTTTCAATTGAAATGCTTGGCTACAACAAGCTATTCACGCTGTCTATCCCAAAGCCGGCCAAGGGCACGACAGCCAACATGTACAGACAATTTACCGAGAGTGATGAGATGGAATGACCATGGTTGGATGCGACCCATTATTGACCACATACAGAGTAAAAGTCAGTACATACCACGACTACTAGAACCATTTATTTATTTATTATTGGCCTTTGTTGTGGACGCTTGGTCGTGCTTCGTGGATGACACAGGGGTCCGTGCTCATCCGCCGTTGTCAAGCCTCTCGGTGACTTGTTTGTTTGTCCATGCGCTTGTGGACAGTTCATTGACAGGCCAAAATTGAACTGTGCACTGACATCATGCAAGATCATGTTTGTTTTTACTAATTGACTAGAAACTTGCACATCCGACGTGTCACGACTCACTACTGATCAGAGTCAAGAGATGGGCGGGCTGCACCACCCTTTTTTTTTTACCATGTATCGTTCTATCAAGTCCCTAAGAGCATCAACTGCCGGCTAACTCCTCAGCAAGCCTCTCAAGCAAAAAAAAAAGAAAAGAAAAAGATCTTGGGCCCAGACCAGCCTCAATAGTGGAGTAGCCAACGTAGAGTTCGACGCCAACCCCGTCCAGTAACGGTGCCGAACCCATCTATTGTACGACGCCTCATCTCGGTCATGGATGCCTCATGAGTCCTCCGAAGGGAAATAAACATGGGTCAAAAGGGGTCGCATCATTGCGATGATTATTGCAGTTGGCCAGAGTGATCCTCTAGAAATCATGTGAATACAACAATATTCCTGTCAGCCACATTCAACAAAGTCCTCATTCAAAGCACAAGACTATTAGATACTATGTTTTCGTGTCAGTACTATCACTATACACTGGTAGTCACCGGTGCAGAACTTGAGAGGCTGGACCTTGGGAGACTGGAACCAAAAATTGTCTAAGTTCAGCAAAACCCGAATTCATGATGATGATATTGTATGCTCTGTCGAACCCGCCAAATCTATAGCGATATCAATACTTACTATTGCTCGTCAACTATATTCCACACTCTTCTGTCATACGGGTCGCGCCAGTCCGCATCAAGTCAATGTCATCCCCTACCCAAGATCTCAAGAAAGATGAGCGATGATCTGTTTCATCATCAGCACCACCAGTCTACAAAGTACCAACTTCCAGGACCAGTGATACATTAATCTGTTTGCTGGTCTCATCCTGTTTATGGAACCCACGGTAGCTGCTTTGAGATTGAGATTGCACAAAGGAAACACTTGCATGCTATGTCTAGCTTGGTCACTCCTTGGGATCAATCTTACGATTTCCATTTCCATTTCCATTTCGTTAGAAAGCCAAGGACTGCCGGTATCTACCACTACAGACGCGGACCACGGATTAGTTATAAAAGATGCTCTGATCTTGTTGGCTCCATCTTGTCACATATTCTCCATATGGACGTACTATATAGCAAGACGACAAAAATGCACAAGTAGATACTCCGTATGAAGATATTGTCTCTCCAGTCCTCTCCTACAGCAGCCAGGGACATGCATACTCCGTGAATGAGATTGCGCACAGAGCCCAAGACTCATGCCAAGTTCAACGGAGGGTCTCTTGGGACAAATTGCAAGGGAGGCCAGTCGGTGCTCCGCAATCTCTCCAACTGTCGCGTGTGACCCGGGGTTTGCTACGATAGGTTGGCATGGTAGGCATGGGACCATGTTCAAATCGCAGCTTGGGTTTTTCTTATGGTGATCAAAAACATAAGAGAGATTAAAATGGGCCGGGCCTGTCTCTGCACTGGCCACCTTTACGCATAACACTATCGGCTGGCGCTCAGTTGAGATGGAGGGGCAAGAGGGTCCCGTTGACGGGCTAGAAAACATCACCTTCACCAGGCCTGTGGGCTCGAGAGAAGATGCTTATTTTGGAAGTCGGGCACCGTCATCAATAATGGGATACGCATACATCTCCGCTTGCTTACGGAGTACTGTATGTAGCCCACCAGTCAGCCCCAAATTCGGTAGTGAACATCCATACGGAGTAGAGATGGTCTTGGTGAGGCGTTTGAGGATATTTTCATTTCACCATTCTCGAGGATAGAATCCATCAATACTGGACATACAAATTTGTAGTCAAAACGGGAGGCCCTGCCCCGATCCCCACCCCGTCACTCGAAGCACGCACGGCACATCTACTCGTATGAACATACGCTATAAAGCACCGTCGACCTTGGCCTTGACGACATTTATCTCAGGGAGCTTTCAGCACCCAATGGCAATCATCACCTGGCTCCTTCAGTCGTATAGCGAAGTCCATAGTGTGTCCACGTGTGGAGTTTCAGCATCATTAGCTTACGAGTCTGTAGGGTAGCAGAAGACGTACTTTTTTCCTTTCTGATACGGAGGAGGCAACCGTATGCTCGGCCGCCGATGCTCTGTCCAAAACCCCAAGAACTCTTATTCCCCCGTACTCTGTACGGAGTAGATTCCTCTTCGCTCCCAAAGTCCTTAGTGCCGGAGGGTGGTTTCACCTTTCAGCTGCTGACAGGTGTAACGTTCGGCCAAGATATGCACACACGGCAGAAGATAAGAAAAGTGGAAAAAGTGCCAAATACATCCTCGTCCATGATGAATAGATGATGGCCCTGGTTGGGTCTTCGGTGTCCCAGAATACACCAGCAGAATTCACGTTGAACAAATCACACACAAGGAATCGACAGCTAAGCCATCTTTCATATGACGCTGCCACTGAGAATGATAATATGCAATGTGGAGAGAATTATAGTATTGACGTGCAAACACCAGTACCAGGACATCTCTCCCATGTCCCCATTACTTTTTGGTGTCTACCCTTTGAAGCTCATGACAACCAATTCGTTCCAATCAGCAAATACAATATGTAATATTCGCAAAAATAACCTTGTGACATGTTTTCGACGCCTTCGCTAATGACCACCCAATCCCCTCAAGAACTTGCAATGTTTAACCACGGCTGGGCAGAGTGACGCTGCCGCCAATGTCCTTGAGCCATGCAATGCTGTTGAACTCGGTGAAGATGGTCTTGATCTGCCAGGTGTCCTTCTGTCCTGCGGTGTTGGATGCCTTCAAGATAGTGATGCCCTTGACTGGTTCGGGCTGCAGGGTGGCGAGCCATCGAAGAGCAATAGTGTCGCATGTGTAGGCGTCGATGGCCAGTGTCTCAATGGGCACTGCGGGTTGAGCACCCTGGCCAGCCTTGAAGGCAGCCTTGCTGGGGAATGTCACTCCACCAACAGGGTAACCAGCGAGCGAGTTGATGCTGTCCGAGAAGTCGGTAAAGTCTTCGGACAACAGCCTGTCGGCGTCGGCATCGGTGTAAGCGGCGATGAGTCCTTCAAACCCGGCCACGAGATAGTTGACCGAGTCTGGAGTCAGGCATTTGCCGGGATTGAGGCGGTTGCCCCACCAGCCACCAGGTCCCCAGGGGGCAGCGGCGGTCGAGGAGATGAGCGAGGCGGCGGCGGCGACGGCGACGAATGAACGCATCTTGAATATGGAGATGTATAGGTTTTTGTGGAAGAAAGATCCAAAAGATGGTGATAGCGAGTGGAAAGTGAAAGTAATCTGATTAGAAAAGTAGCGAATGACTTGACTTGTGTGTGTGTGAAAATCTATCCTCCACCCTGGGGCATGTCATACTTCTTATAGACTCGAGCCTCGAAGCGACGGGACCCGGGTGTCAGGACGGCATCATTACCCAAAGACTCACCCTAGTCGGCTACTGCTGACGGACCGATTCCTTCGATATTCGGTGGACACTGGACATCTCTAGTGTCAAAATTGTTGTGCTCCACTGTCATGGTGGCATGGTTCAACAAGCCTCTCGATAGAACGAGCCTCGATTCAAAGTCAAATTCGAGAATCTATTTGGATCACACAGGGAGATGTAGTGGGGAAAGGCCATGATCCACCCACAACCCGTGAAAAGTCAGGGCACGGTCCCATTGTTGACACCCACTAGACTAGTCCGTCAGCGGCCCACCCCCAGCCACGAGGTCTTCCGGCTCTGCAACTGGGGAATCATGTCCAATTGTGATGTTGAGAGCAAGCGAGAGCAGCAGCAGCCACGGTCAGCGAGCCAACGCCACCAGTGAGCAACAATGTTGGCAGCCTCTGTCACCTTCAGCCCCCATGAGCGCAGCGGCTATTCCCGACAGAGGTCAAGTGCTCATAGCCAAGAAGGTGAATTTGGCTGGACTTGTGAAGCGATCAAGTCTTGTCCCCTGACTTTGATCCTTTGGGCTCTAGTTCAACCGGCTTGTTACAAATTCTGCAAAGCGGCCACAATGGCCATTCACCATCCACGACCTCCTGACCCCGTGTATGTACTCCGTACTCCATACCTACGGGTGCTCGTAAGATATTTTTGGACATGTTCACCATTTCTCTTGGCCTCCCCGTCAGACTTTAGCCCGCAGGGCGTGGTCAACGAGGAGAGCCGCTGGCTGCAGCGAATATCAAACACTCGGCCCTGTATCATGTCTCCCCTAGGCTTCAATTGATTGACTGATTTTGGGGCACTGTCTCTGACTTGTCTTTGTCGCCACTTCAGCGTCAGAGCTAGGAAGCTGGCGCGTTCGATACTATTATCGATCAAGTCCGTATTCATATTCTCGACCCAAATGGATAGGTCCAAACGAAATGACTACCCAATCTCGCGGGGCCGGCGGCTAGAATGGTCTACTCCATATGGGGCGTTAGGCAAAATGTTCCATGCCTCATGAATCATGGTTGACCACCCAAGCTCGGACCATCAGGGTATAGCCCCAGGTTTGTTGATGGCAGTCGATAAATGTTTGTCCCAATAATAAACTGACTTCATCTCCGCACAGGCGTAGTGCGCACACCTAAATCACCGCACGGGTCACGCCTCGTGGATGGCTAGAACGATGGATGACTGCTCCGAGGCGTCGGGCTGTCACTTGTCAATCGTGTCTCGTGCCCAGGCAGGCAAGCCAGTCCAAGTCCGCCTATGCCAGGTGAGGGTATCGGCCCGGATCTTTCCACTATTGTTATTGTGCCTGTTAAAAAGTCACAACATGGTAGTGATGACCACCATCGCAACCAACGAGCATTATTGCACGTCACCTCTCGCCGGGATACTGTGGTCGTCCAGAGTGACCACGCCCGCGGAAGATTCTCGAGCTTCAACACGGACCGTCCCATACGGTACCGCGAGAGTAGCTGCGTTGAGCTGCGTCAACGTTTTGGCCTTGATCAACTGCATCAACATATAGTTGAGTGCGCATTTGATGCCTTGCTCCTCGCCCCGACGGACAATGTAGCCGTTGATATAGTCAATTTCGGTCGGTTGGGCGTATCTAGCGTCCTCACGCATGCTGCTGGAGTTCTGTGCCGTTCGGGCAGTGATTCCGAGCAAAAGGTGCTCGAGCCTTGTGGCCGAAAACCGATTCCGTACATTCGGAATGCCTTTCAACTCCGGTAACGAGCGGATGACCAGGGAGATCTCGGCCAAGAGAAGTCTGTGGACCACGCTGAGGTTTCCGTTGTGCAGCAGGGCGCCGTTGGGCACGTTGAGCAGGGCAGTTAAGGGATTGATGATGGCATTTGCCGACAGTTTCTCCAGCTGCAGCTGCAGCAGGTCAAGGTATGGGAAAGCGGCACAGGCCAGGACTGGAGATCGTGTCAAGGTGCGAAGTAGATATCGGGAGGAGAGATTGGAGAATAGGTCTTTGTCTGTGGGAAAGTACATTCTCTTTTCCTCAAGAGACAACTGATCGAGGTCGGGCATGGAGGATTGGCGCGGCAATGGGTAGCGGTCAGGATCTCGGTGAATTCCCAGCGCTACTGTTCCAAAGCCAGCATGCATGACTGTGAAATGGCCTCTCATATGGCAGCCATGTGAAATAACGCCCAGCATATAGGTCGGTCGTGTCTCTGGGTCGGTAAAGACTTCGCGATTCAATTCGTCTATCTGTCCCAGGCCATTCTGCATAAAACAGATGGTGGAGCGAGAGTCCACCCTGTGCTTGATGGAGCGCATTGCTGTGACGGTGGCAGTGCTTTTGACGGCAGCGACCAGAGTCGATATGAAGGTCTCTCCGGTAGGCAAGCTCTCGTCTAGTTGACGAGGATTTGCAGGAAAGCCCAAAGGCGCGTCGGCTTCATAGTCCCAATAGCCATCCGCCTGTAGGACATCAAGATCGTAACCAGTCTGTTCGTCGTTAACATCGCTCTGCTTGTTTATTAGGCGGATGATTCTCCCGCTTTTCTTGAACTGCTCATACATATCGGGTCTGTGCAGCATCAACGTAACAGGAGGGGGATTCGGTAGACATTTGAGCGAATGAGCGACCAATGTGCCGATGCTGCCCAAGCCGATGACATGAACCCTTCTTGTGAGTAATTTCTCCTCTTCAATCTCGTCCAAGGCATCGCTGTGCAGTGGCTGCGACTCGAACGTCGGCGTATTGGAGGGCGAGGCATCAACCGGCGGCGGGCCCGACCACCACGACCGGGATTCAGACATTGTGCAGAAAAGGGCTGACGGTGCGAGAGGAGGGGGGGAAGGGAAAGGACATAGAGGCTGACGATGCGGCCAAATATGATCAGTCGCCAACGTCCTGGGCCATCTGACCGAGGCCCTGTGGAAGGGCGCAGGAAGCAAGCGTCGAGACAGTTTGATTGGAAAAGGTCTATGACCCAGAGCTATAGAAGAGTGGAAGCCCAGAACTGATCGAGTGAGGGTTTATGAGTGTTTCCCAAGAGCTTTGCAAAGGCAATGAGTAGGTCCAGACTTTAGATCAACGAAACAAGGGGATCATGTACAAGGGACGAGGTTGTCGCAGGCTCAGGCGAATGGATAGAAATTCAATTCAATCGAGACCAAAAAGTAAGTCTGGGGTCGCACCTGCACCTGTGACGTCTGCACACTTTCACGCACCTTCCGTTTAGCAGGATGGAAAGTGGCAGGCAAGGGCGAGGGGCGTGCCTGCGTGCCTGCGTGCCTGCCTCATTAGGGTTGACCAAATGCGGAGAAATATTTTCTTCCATTCCGAGTCGTCGCTTCCCCATTGAATCTTCAATCTTCAATCTTCAATCTTCAATCTTCATTCTTCGCAGTTGATCTTCCACGTCTTCTTATCAAACCCTCAACCCCCCAAGCGACGTCCACCTCAGTCCCTCCAGATGCCAGACTCTCCCACACTGTTTACTACGAATTGAAGACGCTGGGCACCATGGATACCAAATCCGTCCTCGCGTTGGTTGATCAGCTGGAAGAAGCCCTCGAGGACCTCGAAGACAACCTCGAGCCACTCCTGGTCGATTCCCTGACCTCTACCACTCAGAAACTCCCTCTTCTCGACAGGGCAAAACTCAATGTCCTACTTGTGTATGCCATTGAATCGCTCATCTTCTGTTTGTTTCCCTCGACTTGGCGCATGCCCGTGCTCTTGTTATCCTTTCACTGACCTAGTTCTCTTAGCCTACCTCAAAGTCCAGGGCGTCCAGGCCAAAGAACATGCTGTCTTTCGAGAGCTGTCCCGAGTAAAACAATACTTTGAGAAAATCAAACAAGCCGAAGCCGCACCTTCCAAAAGCCAGCCGACTCTCGTACTAGACAAAGATGCCGCAGGCAGATTTATTAAACACGCATTGGTGAGCACCACATCTCTCACCGCACACAGTTTCTGCTTACCCCCAGACCAGGCCGGCAATGACAGGTATGACCTTGAGCGTAGGGAGCGCGAGGCTCGCGAGAAGCTTCTTGCCAAGAGAAGGTTGAAGCATCTTGACTCCGCAGCCAACGATCCCATCACTACAAGTCAGGCTCCTGAAAACGTCCTAGACGATTCTGATGCCCTCGCCGCAGCCCAGGAAGCCGCCAGGCTTATAGCCATGGATGATCACGTTAATCAAGAACCCCAAGATGTCTCCATGTCGAATTCTTCTGACCATGACGATGACTCGGCAGTCCCAGAAAGCCCAGCCAAAGCTGATTCATCTTCCTCACTATCCGAGTCCCACGCAGAGCCTCACTTGAACGGTTCTAGTCAAGGTCCCTCCAATGGACAGACTAGGAATGATGTGGTCGATAGCAATAGTGGATCGACACCAGACAAACCGTCACGCGCCGAAGCAAAGAAACTTCGCAAAGCAGCACAACGATTGAAAATGAGTGGCCATTCATCGCCAAAGGGCAGCAAGGCACTCAAAAAGGAGAGAAAAAAAGCGCTGAAAGAAGCCAAGAAGACAAGCAGCAAGTCAACATAGGGACAACACAGCAAGGCCATCTTAGGGTCAGGGCTGAGCAGTCAGCATGACAGAACCCCGCCTAAATAAGGAGTACTACATTCCATGGTCGGTGCTGCGGCCTCTATAATCCAGGTGAGAGAAGGACTACGTCTTGTCCGGGCCTCATGGGCATCTGGCGGATAATCACTCTATCCCGTGTCATGGTTTGTATGATCTATGACGTCTTTCATCGTCGTAGGAGAATTCTGCGACCCGAAGCAGCGTCTTGGGCCGAGTTCTGGAGCCATCCAATGACAGCCATGCTTGTCGAGTGTTGACAAGCCAGAATTGTCATCGGTACTACTCGTCCAGCGCAAAGACCGGCGCAGCATCATATCCTTGTTCCCACGCAAGGTGTAGTGTGATGGAGAGCAAAACCGGCGAGGCAACAGGTGACCAATCGTTTCAGACAAGGCATTGCCATTTGAAACGAAACGATGTCACCAAAACGGATGAGGCTTGAGCACTAAAAAGTGCCAATAGGCAGAGATACTCGGCGTGGTTGGCCAAACAAAAGTGTCGACCATGACAGATCCTATGAAGTTCCCAAATACAGAGACCTACATGCTGATCAAACTCAGCCGTGTTGCATGACTTCATGGCACCTTTGTCTCAATAGTTCCATCTTCAGTGATGCTGCGCTTGCCTCTACGTCCTGACCAGGCAAGGTTGAGTAGAGATGTAGGACGGCCTTGTGCGACATTTCCAAGATCTGCATCCATCGTGTCATGCATAACCGGAGCCTAGCCAGTTCTATGGTGGTTGTGCGCTTTTGGACATTTGCGCCGGTCCCACGTCCATGCGCAGAAGTTGATTGTTGTTCAGAGAAAATGCGCATCATTTGGTCGTGGAAAGATGGATCAGATAAAATCAGCAGTCCATTGATACTGTCCTCTGCTCGGCGTGTGATCTCGGCAAGCCATGCAATTTGTCTCTTTTTGACCTTGGTACTGGGCATCAGTTCGTCGACACTGTTATTCTTGTCGGATGCAACATGACCTTGGTTTCCTTTTCTCCGCTTTCCCGCGTCCCGGTGGACATTGTCCGAGAAAGCTCTATCAAGCGCCTGCGGGTCCAGCTTTCCTTGGAGGAAACGATGCCACTGTGTCGATGTCAAGATACCCAACCAGGAGACGACTTCGGTTCGCCAACAGATACCCGATGAGTTCAAGGTGTAATTGCCCAGATAACCCGTGTCTGACAAGACCTTTTTGTCACTTTGGGACAGGGTCGCCAAAACCACATGATCAAATTGGACATGATCGTCTCGGTTGGGATCCATGGCAAAACCATACTCGGACCAGAGAAGATCGTTGCCGTGGGCGCCGTAGCTGAGAAGCAATTCGGAGTCGGGAGCAATGTCCACACGCGTAGAAACGTAAAACCCCTTTCTGTCGTACGACGTGTGACATGTGGCACTGTCTGAATGATTGAAAAGATCCATACCCGGACAGAGAGCCATTGCTTCGTTTGAATCTCTCGGCGGACGTTTGCCCGCAGCAACATGGTAGAAGCATCGAGTGTTTATATTAGCCCAGTTGTAAAGGTAAGCTTTATGTATGGCAGATTGCGGGTCTCGTAATGAGGTAGAATGGCCTGGAAACAAGGTTGCCGTGTTTTCGATATGGCCACTTAGCTTGGCCAACTGTGCGTCGAGGAGAGGTACATAGGACGGGTTGCCCGTGGACATAGAGTCAGAGGGAGAATCCTGGGTCCCGGTCAAGGTCGGTGGGAGAGCAAAGAAATGGTGTTGGTTGGCCGCACCGGCGGACTCTGTTGCGGGCGAACACTCGATGAAAATCTCTGTTCTCGTCGAGGGAGGCCAGAACACTGGCATGGATGCGCTGAAATCATCCCACGTCGGCCAAGTCGCGGTCCATCCGTGCATCTGCTTAGCTCGCTCTTGGGTGATACCAAACGTCAGATAGGCGGCGAGTAATGCGTGAACCGGAATCTTGGGCCGGAGGTCTTTACTTGCAAATGAAAATGGGATGGATGAAGTGGTGAAAAGGGCTGCTGTGGGAACATGGAAAATGCGAGTTCCCGCTGGAATCGAATCCTTGGTGAAAACACCAATGCCTCTTCCGGGCATACGGCGGAAACACAATGCTGGGGAGTGGGTGATCTTGTGAGCTTTGAGATAGCTGATGAGATTGGTGAGAGTTTCGTCGGGGATGGAGAGAGAGGTCGACGACGCCATGATCAGGAATACAGGCTCAATGGCCGACTCTCCCAGAAATCAACAAAGCCACTTGGAATGGGGATTAAGTGATTTTTAATCGTATCTAACCTCTTGGAAGGCTGTCACCGGCTCTTCATGGTGTTGGTCATCGCCTTGGTCTCCTGCACAGCGCATGCAGCTTTCGATTGATTGAAGATTCCTAAGTAGCTCATATTGTGTGAGAGTGGTGCGCAGTGATGTTGTAGAATGGGAATCGATGGTGCTAAGGGAGTCATTGCTAGGAAGACTGTCAGTGGTTAGGGATTGATGTCCTGTATGTATTGAGAATGTTGTCAACAGGGTCCAACAAGCAGTTGTGGAGACCTCGGATATAATATTCTTTTCCGAGTCGTGTAATCATTCAATATACGAGGCTTACCTGGAATATGAACTTCGAAAGGGCTCAGGTGAATGTTTGAATCAATAGCACCCACCTTGGGCCTCAGGTAATTGTCTCAAGGGGGCATTGATCTCAATGGATGCTCATTATGGTGTTTACAAGTTGGTCTGCGTCTGTGATGGAAGGCGTTGGACTTTTCACCCAAGAACACGTGATGTCACATGATATGCTGCCAAGATCTGCCTCTTTGTTCCTTCCCTTTCTTCATGAGTTCCTCCATCACTCCTTCCCCCCAACAGACAGACAGATGACATGCGTAAATTTTATAGAAAAACTTCACATTTGTGCTTGGATTCTCTCTCTAACCTTGACATCAACACGTCCTGAACACTTTGCAACATGCTCGATGCTCTCCAAGATCTCTGAACAACCAAAACCCTCTTTCCTTACCTGACCACGAGTCTCTCCATGATGACGATCGACCACTGACCAAAAACCCTATCGAATCCCGTTCACCGCCACCAAACTCTGCATCCCCAACCTCTCCAGCCTTCTCTTCTTTGTAAAAGCCAGAACATCAAGTGCCAAGGTCATCAGACCACATCCTCTGCACAGCATCACTTTCTGCTTCCACAAGCTGACCTGTCTCATGACGCAGCGGGCGTCTCTAACGGCCGACTTGAACATGGCCCTGGCGATGCACGGTGAGTATTGGTATCTCACCGCCGCAGCATCATTGGTTATCTTTCTCGTATACGCCTTCTGTCTCCTACGAACGAACTCAATGCTTCCTCCGGTAGCACTAAATTATCCGAGCGCCCAAACTTTCTTAGCCCAATTCCTGCCACGTTATTTCGACCTCCCATCATCCTTCTCCTCTCTCCAGGTCTGCCGGATGTCCTATTCCCAAACCTGCAAAATAGAGCAGACTGGTCACTGGTACTCGATATGAAATTCGTCACTGCCAGGATTTCCTCATCTATGCGCAGGTTCCATTGACAAGAGCACAACATAGGAACTCGTCGGGGCGGGCCCTTCCAGCCTCCCGCAAATCTGAGGTGGCCCGAGCCCCAAGGTGCGCTTGGATCAACAGCTGTGCCCCTCGCTTTTCTCAACCTCTTCAATACAGTCGACCATGCCACCTCACCGCAGCGTCCTGCTTCATCTGAATGCACTGCCGAACTCAACTCGGGTCTTGCACAGGTCGCTACATGCTCAAAGCCTCAGAAGCAAGCGCCCTCCACCTCCGTCATGTCTTGGGCGATGCGGAAAAGCGAGTGATAATCTACCCTTTCCATGACTGTTGATTCGCTCTTTCTGTTCTAACTAGCTCCTCCAATATCGCGGTTTCTTGCGCCTTGGGTGCTCAGGAGTCCATACCCTCAAAATTGAACAATAACGAGTATATAGTCTTGAATGTCAGCCACCAAATGGTTCACGGTTTGTCGATCACTTCCACGCATTGTTCATGTTTTGAACTTGCTTCAAGGCTCGGACTCTCTTCTCTAAACCTTTTTCCCTCCTCTCTGATGTCTCTGTGCATCTCTTCTTGCTTCCCGACATGATATCTCTTGCACTTCGCTTGTTTGCCATCACGTCTGCCCTCTACGGCATCGTCTTTTGCGCACAAGTCAGTTCCACCACGTTCCTCAGATCAACCAGAAAGAACATCATCATGGATCTGGAGAACATGCTCCAGACCGACCGAAAACCCCATCGTCCTCAACTGACTATCGACACATCAATGGACTCGGACGACGCTCCAGTAATTATTGAAATCACCCCTCGCGCGACCTATTCAATATCAGAGTTCTTCACCGCAGCCTTGCAGTTGTCAATAGCCTTGTTGAGCGCTTTCGATCTTCGCTCTGAGAGAGCGCTTCGCTTCCAAAAGAGACTAGCCCGAAGTCAGTATCAATGGGCAGCTTCAGCAACCCAGTTCTCGCCTGCTGTTGTCTAGTCTCTGCTCTGCGCCCAGAAACTCTCATCAGAAAAAACAAATTCCCTCTTATTCCTCACGACCAAATCAATTACGGTAGCCTCGATGCTTAGCAGGGATATCACATTCGCCCTGCCTGTCATTTCGGAGCCAGAGAGCATTCATTCCATTGGTTTCTAACATCCCACTGATGCACCGGTTCCAAATTTGTCCACTCTAGTCACTCTTTCGCAGCGCCGGTCGCTTCACATTCAAGTTATCCATCACCAGCACAGCTGCAGATGTCCTGCTAGGATCCCAGCAACCTCACTCTTTGAAGCTTCATTCATCATTTCGTCGGCAGGTCCGGATACTCTCATTCAGTCATCAGAAGTTATAGCTCATGCCCCAAATGGCGTTGATCACCAATTAGCCGGTCATGGACAAGCCTCTACGTCTAATCCAACCAGTCCAAGGAATGCCACTTGGCCCATTCTGGTGCGGAAGAACTGAGTTCTTGCTTTGTTCGGCTTTATACACCACTTTCATTTCATTACGCTCATCTGGATGAGTCACAACTGTCGCTACCGCTAAAACCGGCGCATGACAACATTGACGTGTTGCCGAATCGTTCAATGTGTCCCTTGCCTTCCAAACCACAACTCGCTCTCTTTGGGCTCTCATTGATTGGCTGCCTGCTGGCAATGCACGCCTTTATCACTCTTTTCTTCTCACCCTCTCTGTCAGTTAACGACCTCACACGAACCGAATCTATACCTTGGTATCCAGCTCTGTTATAAATTCTGGAATGTTTATTTAGCACATCGACTGTTTACAACCCTCGCAAAAAGCGAATCTTGATCTATACCACGACGTTCTCTACCACGACGTTCTCTAACACGACGTTCTCTACCACGACGTTCTCTACCACGACGTTCTCTACCACGACGTTCTCTACCACGACGTTCTCTACCACGACGTTCTCTACCACGACGTTCTCTACCACGACATTCTCTACCACGACATTCTCTTTCATATCGACTGCCCGCGCCATAGCCTGACGTTGACTTGAAATAAGACATGGATTGTCATTGCACATTCAGACGGAGCGGGTTCTCCTCATAGCATAGTTTGATTCCATGTTCATCCCAAGGCCAAAACGCCATCATGTTACTTTGATACTCCCGTGGCCAAATGTGCCTGGGGAGACGTGCTCTCTGCAAGCTTGATTTCCCGTCATAGGAGGTGACGCTTCATGAATCCGCAGGAAATAACTCGAATAAGGCATGGTTGAGTATGCAAGAAGACACAAAATATCCTATTCGTGACACTGCGCCTTGTGCAATATGTACAGTACTTTGATACGCTACCTGGCTTGCTTCGATCGACTTTTGCTTGCTTGCTTGCTTGCTGAAATATGCCAGAAACCCTGTGAAACCCCCCAAAAAGATAAGCCAGATTTCGCCTGGAAATGAGTACACCCGCCTAGCAATGTAAATGCACGATTCGCGTGTCGATTCGCGTGTCAATATGTCCTGGCTCTGTCATGACTAGAAGTGTGCTTGTGATGGTTCGTCTTGGTTGGTGGCCCTTGATATGCCGCTATTGCACGAACCAACCGCAAATGTTCGAGGGGAGCATAGGAAGATAGCATCTGGAATGCAACCCCCAGAATACACTCGCCTCTTGGATAAGGGCGACGCTGATCCGCATCTTAATCATCCCATTTTCCATCGCCGACAAACACTGGCATCCATTCCTGTCCCGGATAAGCAGTCGCACTCATCACGACTTCCTCTTCACTCTCGTACCCATCAGGTTTGGATCCAGGGAGTTCGATGGCCGCCTCGTCTTTGTTCATACTTCGGGCTCGATCTCTACCATTCTGACCCACACCAGCTGCTGTGCCCGACCGGCTAACCAGGCCGTGACTCAAGCCCTCCCGGGTTGCACGTCCCACTGTCCCGGTGCCTTCGTAGGCTTCTTTCGAATGTGCAGAGACAGGAGTGTCGCTTCTACCAATGCCCTGTCCTCGTCCGCCTTGTCGCTCTCTTCCATCCTGCTGCTCGTCCTCGAGCATTCCCGGCGGTAGTCCAATCGCAAACGGTCGCTCTTGATCGTCCTCTGACCTGACCACACCACCTACCGGACTAAGTCTTTTGTTTGAGAATGTGCCTAGACTGTTACTTGCCAAACCTCGATCCTCTTGCAGAAGATCTGGGCGTGTTGGCAAATCTTCAGAAGAGCGACGACCGAGTTTCGGAGATCGGGAACGTTTGTGCAGATCGATGACGTGACTACGCTGGTCCTTTGTGTTTGAGCTCTGCGTTCTGGGGTTTGTCATGGCCTTCAAGTCTTGATGAGGCATCTGTCCGCCAGCTGTTGACGGCACATGTGAGTATGAGTCTCTGGCGGGATACTGTGGGTAGATCTGAGTTGGCGCGGTGGCAGGGAAGCCGGAGCGACCACCGCGAATAGGGCTGACTGTGTCGATACGTAGATCAGCTGGTCTGCGTTGTTCAACATTGGGCGACGATACTCGAGTCTGCTCATGTGGAGTTTGGCTCGCGCTTGGACCGCTAGATCGTGGTAGTCCATGAGGACCTCCTAGAGGAGAGGATATATCGCCTTGGGGTGATGTGCCGGCAGAGTACGCATTTACTACTCCACCCATTGAATCAGTTCTGGCGAAGTTGTTTGCCGGGAAACTTGCGCCCTGGTCATGACTTGCTGATATATGGGGAGGCGGGTAATTTTGAGAGTAGCTTCGTTCCGTATGATTTGGTTGCGAGGTAGATGGGTGCATCCTCCCTTGCTCTGATGGATACCATTGTGAAGCGGCAGCCATTCCTTGCCCCGGTTGCTCAGGTCTCTGGTTCATAAACGCGCCGCTTCTGTCAGGCTGATCCCGATGCATTTGCGACATGTAAGCCTGTGGAGATAAGGCATTTGAAACAGGTGATTGCTGGTTAAAAGGCTGTGCTGTTCTGCCAGGTGTGCTTTGAGGAGGAGCACTGGCGGCCGGTGCAGCCTTATGGCTACTTCGAAAGAGTCCACCAAGTCCGGAGAACCGTTTCTTTTTTGTTTCATTGGGCTTGATAGCAGATTGCTGTGGCTGTGGCTGCATCCATGTCTGAGATTGGCGCTGCTGTTGCTGCGCTTGTTCAGGAGGCGGTTGAGGAATTTGATGCTGATGCGGTGGCTGATGTATCCATGCTTGTGACTGCGCCTGGGGCCGTTGAGGTTGCTGAAACGTATTATGTGAGACCGCGTGACCTGTTGGTGGTTGATTTGAGGTTGTCTGAGATGCAACATGCATGGATGGTGGTCGTTGACCAAATTGTTCTTGACCACCGTATAAGCTTGATCGTTGTGATGAGATACTGTTAGGACGACTATTTCGTCGGAACAGACTAGTTCTCTTCTCCTTGGGTTGACTAGATGGAGTGTTGGTAGTCGACTCGGAAGCACCCTTTTGTAGTTTGTTGCGAGATTTTGCCCCCGTTCCAAAAAGCCCGCCGAAGGCGCTCTTTTTTCGGCCGGCCTGTAAGTCCTCAACAGGCGTTTGAATGCCGGGCAATGGAGGCGGCCCCATCGACTGTCGCTGAGACTGTGCAAGTCCTGCAAAGTGCTGACCCGTACTTGCATCGACGGATGTTTGACCTTGATTTGATGGCACCGAAGGCGGTAGGCCGTAGGCTTCAGATCGTCGGGTTGCCTGTGGAGCCTTCTCGTGACGCTCACCGTCATATGATGCTTGCTGTTGTGGTTGCAATGTCTGAGTCTGCCACGGTTGCTGGATTTGAGGATAGGGCTGGTGTTGTGGAAATCGCTGGAATTCTTCCTTAGGCGGGCGAGGGAAATCTTGTCCATAGGATTGCGATTGTCGTTGTTGATATTGCTGCTGTTCCATAGTTTCCTGATATTGCTGCAGTTGCTGGGCCCTCAATGCGCTTGGTAATGGCTGTCCACTGGCCGCTATCTGGGTCTCACTACGACCAGTCCGTGGGGTCGTAATCTGCTTTGGTGAGCGGTAATTCTGGATGTAAGGACCTGGTATGCGGTAGGTCCCTTCTGGCACTGGCGGCTGATCTAGTGGATGACTGAGATAAGAGGGGTCAATCTGCCGAGACTCGCGGGTCGCATCTGCAGAAGGCTGGGGTTTCTGGTGCTGAAGGTCCTCAAGTGGACGCCGAGCGCTTGGTAAAGGACTCTGTTCGGCGGCAAAAGCTGATTCCGTCGAGTACATCTGCGCTCTGTCCATCGGCGGCTGTTCAGGCTCAGCATCTTTGAAAGCTGGATGATTGCGGACATTTGGATCAGCACTGAATGGCCGCGAATATGATCGAGACTGTCGCGGGCTCATGCCATTGTTTACATCGTTTACTTCTTCAACACTGACCTGAGAGATTCCTTTACTAAGGGTTTGGCTGATGGGACTGATCGGTTGAGTAGAAGCCTTCCTCAGATCGGGCATCTCGGGATTCGGGTCATCGCTTGTGATAATATCTGGACTTGGATCAGACAAATGAAAAGCGGCGGCATCTGCTGACATGTCATTGGAATATCGTGGTGATGGTGCACGGCCTGGCTGTGGTCTTTGTTCAGCTGGGACGATCTCCGATGCAGAGATGGCTCCCTCCTCCATAGAAGTGTCTGCAATGGCCGCTTTCTCTGGAGGCAAGTCTGTGAGACCAGATGCAAGGCCAGGATATCCTGGCGGCTGGTCATCAGACGTTCTGGCGACGGCAGCTGAGTCCTCTTCCTCAAAAGGCGGCGGGGACGCTCTGAAGCCTTCATCGTGGGGAGAGACACTTCGCCGTGATATGTTTGTGTCGGTTTCCCTTGCCGGGACTGGACTTGCGCTAGACACATCTGAGAGCATGGATCTTCGTCGCTCGTCGCGAATTTGAAGGCTCGTGGGTTCCGGCGAGGCCTCAGTGAAGCTATCACCTGCAATCTGCGCGCGAGATTGCGTACGAGGCATAACCACTAAATTGTGCGCAGGGTCGTCGTGGTATGAACGCGATGATGACGCCTGACCAGGACTGGGATTGTCGCCGATAGTACTGGCGGGTAGAGAGCTGGTATGCGAATCATCAGCAAGTGGACGTGTGACTTGACTTATGGAGCGACTCGGGACAACTGCCGCGTCTTCTGTTTCATCGTCAAGAGCGGATACGGCAGAGCTGGTAGAGTGGGCTTGATGTCTGGTGGCAAGGGATGCCATGGGCTCTGACGCCTGACGCAATGTTGGGTCGGAAGAGGCGACAGTGTCCACATTGGAAGGTCTTGCATCCTCAGAATTGCTTGTCGAAAGGGGCTTTGTGTCCGCGAGCGAGTTTGAGAACCAGTCGGAGGGTTCCACGGCGAGCGGTGATGCAGGAGATAGGGTGAAAGGGATCTGAGGAGGGCCATCAGACATGACGGCCCGAATCTGCGATCGTCCTTCTGGGAGGGCTTCGTTCGAATTGACTGATGAAATGCTCGGTGATTTCCGACGTCCCTATAGAAAATCAGCCAGGAGCCAGGTCAAAAAGAAACATTTGGAGAGTGACAAGAAGAACAATGTTTGATTTTGAGGACTACCGGAAGAACAGGCCAGATGGTTCGCACATAAAGCTTTCGTCATGGTACTGGGAACCATGTCATCGCTCGTCGGAATCGTGACGTCCGTTGTGCATCCCCTGCCGATAGAAAGCTAATGTAGAATAGATTCAACCAGAAAAAGAGGGAAATCAATGAGCTACCTTTTCTCCAGAACTGGCTGTCCGCATCTTCTCCTTGCCCCGGGCAAACAAGCCTTTAGCTGCCGAGCCAGCCTTCCCTCCGAATCTTCCTGCCTTGGCTATCAACTTCTTTCCGTCTTCTTGTATATGTCTCGAGCCGACCGAGTCGCTGAGCATTCGTCGAGGGGAAGCCTTGTAGCCGACACCGGACTCGACTGCATCATTAGCAAGGCGGCCATTTGATGCAAACAACTCGGAGTATTCGGCTGTATTCAAGGACTGTAGCCATTCTTCGAGTTGGCCATCCGAAACACTTTGTTGCCGCCTGCTCTCATTGAAGGCCAAAATGCGCTCTTGGGCTGTGCCAAGGTTCATGATGGATCGGAAAGAAGCCGACTCGACGGCTGTCTGACTTTTTAGTGGAGTTGGGTCAAGAGGCATACTGTTGTTTCTGGTCTCTTGAGGCTCCCTGGGCTCCATGGATGACATCTCGGACTGCTGCACCACCATGCCGGGCCGACCCTGCAATTGAGAGATGCTTTCCTCTTTGGCCGTTTGAGAAGCCTGCCGCAAGCCTGTTGCCTGAGCAAAAGGAGAAGGCGAGGTTGTGCCGGACTCAGGTGCTTGGCCTGTAATAGCTGTTGTAGGGCTACGCACGGGTGGTGGTGATTGTGGACCGATTGGGTGCTGGAGTTGCCGCGGATGTGAAACGCCCTCAACATGACCAGGGCCCGTTTGCAAACTGGGCAAGTCACTCGACAATCCCAAGGTTGCTTTTGGGGTGCTCGGAGAGCCAGTGGTTGGAACGTTTGTTGGCTTAGGTGTGAGAGCGGTAGTCGAAGGTTCACTCTCGGTCTCCCATGAAAACCGTTTTGGTAGAGATGGGCGGTCGCCTGCAACTACGCCGGGTTCGCGGCCGGTTGTCGATTGGCTGCCGATCAATTGGCCTGTCACAGGGCTGGATACTGCTTCCGTCTGCACATGGTCGTTGATCACATGCGTGCCTGTTTCTGTTGATTCGATCGCAAGTGAGGTCGGATCGCCAGTTTTGGAATCAGGCACAAAAGAATTGGCGGTTAAGCTTTCGACTATATCCTGTTGAAGTTTGTCATTTTCTGAATCAGGTGGAATTGTGACATCCGGAATCGGTGGTCTAGTGGTGGGAAGAGATTCGGACAGCCTTGAAGTGCGAAGCGGTGCAGGAATATCCTCCAATGTAGGTGACGATATGCCAGTCCCACCTGACATGGCGTTAGAGGAAGGCATTGACGTCGTGGCCGAGGGAGGCGACACCAATTTTGTCTTGGGAATGGTCCCAGCCGGCTCTCCACTCGATACGCTCGATGCGTCCCATTCGTTCTCGCTGGATATCTCTGACCGTGTGGGCGAGCGATTAGGCGTTCCTGACCCACGGTGTGCAATCTGCTGACCAGACAATGAGCCTGCTAATGCATTTCCAGCGCTAGCAGCTGCGGCAAACGCCTTCTGAGTAGGATTATCAGGTCCAAGAGACGAGCTGGGTGGAGGTCGGGCCGTTGGAATGCTCTCGGTGCTTTGCTGGGTGTCATTGGCATTAAGAGCAGGACGAGCCAGTGGATGGGTTGCGGGAGGTGCTTGTGCATTCTTTGCCTCCGTATTGTCTGCCGCAGGATTCAAATCCTTCGAATCAACAGCCCCAAGCTCAGTGGCGGCCAGATCCGGGGAGGCAGTTCCTGGGGTGTTCGTGAATGATTGCCAGCCTCCTGGAATTGCTGGGCGAAAGCTTTCTGCACGCGTCTGCGCCAAAGGCCGATCGGGGTCCATGGCAGACGACGAAGGGAGGACAGCCGAAGAAGTCGGTGTTGACCTTCCTGAGTTTGCATCCGTTTCCTCCAGGTGTGTAGCCTTTGAGCCTATAGGCTGTGTCTCTGGTTGCGAATTCGGTGACGAGGCAACTGAAGTGTTTGTTTCAGTATCATTCAGTCCTGCCTGTGCCTTGAATTTGTGCCGTTGGGCCTGCCAATCTTCCCACTCTTCGGACGTCGTTCGCTCGGTGCTAGGCTGTTCCGGTGAAATAGCCGTTGTCGATTGTGGTACAGGAGGAAGACTTTTTTCGGTTGGCGGTGGGTTCTGCGCTGGGGTGGTAGTCGAGCTGCCCGATTGTTGCGTAGGTGCGTCATCGGTACCCATTGGGCTGAATGGCCGTCGGTAACCTGACCGCATGCTGTCGAAGGACTGTTCCTCATCGTCATCTCGACGGCTTGATGGAGGCTGAGCGGCTTTCAACGTTGCAGTCGATGTAGGCCGAGAACTAGAAGATTCCTCCTCTTCGAGAATTGCAGGGATCCCGGGTCCCGGATCTGGGCCAGTGATTCCCAGACTCGAGCCTTTGTGGCCAATGATAGGGCTGATATCTGTGGTAGAGGCGCTGTTGGACCTGTCGCAGTCCCCCGAACTCGACGGGGAGGAAAGGGCATCTGTCTGACTCTGCTCAAACGCTGTTCGAACAAGCGTCTTATACCCAAGTGAGCTCTGATGCTGGAGAGGTCTACCTGTCGAGGCTTGGTCAGAGCCTTCATCGCGGGTTCCTGGAGCAGGCAGTTGGGTTGACGCGGGCGTGGGAATTGGGTCAGAAGAGGTCGAGGGTGTGACACCGAATGATCCCAAGTCCACACCAAAAGTGGACAGCCTACCAAGCGGAGGGAGACCGAAGGCGTAGCTGGAGCGGTCAGGCGCTAGGGATTGTGGCTCCGGCTTTAGGTCAACTGAGGACGATCGCGAAACGGTGGAGGCCGAAACAGGGTCAGGGCGATCTGTATAAACAGACGAAGCGTTGGTTGGATGCCTCGACACTCCATCGGCTTGGGTATCCTTGTTTGTATCGGAGGTCTTGACTTCTGGTGGGGCAATGGAGGTTGTTGTGGGACTTCCCAGCAAGTTTTCCATGCCATACTCGGATTTGCGTTCCACGACGGTGTCGAGTGATGGCTTCAGGCGCCGCATAGAGTCGGAGTCATCTGTGGATTGCGGACCCGGGCTGGGAAGATCTTTGGGATCGAACGAGCCACGGGGCAGTTGTCGTGAATCTGGTAGTGGTGCTGGGAGTGAGTCCAGACTCGGACGTGAGGAATCTTGGGACTTGCGGACTTTCTCCAAGGCCTCGGGGATTTGCTTGTAAATGTCTGATGGTCGGATAAAAGCAGGGATAGGTTTGTCTTCAGTGCTGGGGGAAGGAGCCACGGGGCCGCTTGGGATATGATCGGCAGAGGAGTGCGGCAGGTCTGAGGGCTGAGGCTGCTGGCTGAGACTTGCCTTCCGAGGTGGGAAATGCCGGGCAGACATGTTTGACGAGCGGCTGTCCGGTCTGGCGGGACTGTCGTGCCGTTGGTATAGGTCGGCAAGAGCTGGCCTGCCGCTGGATCCGGAACGTCGCTGCTGGGGGGAGAATGGGGGCTGGGGGTAACCACCTGGGGCAGCGTAAGCCGCATCGTTGTAAGGGGAGTATTGTCTGCCTCTTGAACTGCCTCTAGACCCTGGTCGAAACGAAGGTGAGGGGCTTTGTGAAGGGGTGTTTGATCTCAACGAAGACTGGTCACGTAGTGAGGAGTGAGAGCCGGTGTCATCATGTGTCAGGTCAGGAAAGGGCGGGCGTTGGGAGGTGGGATAGGCCGAGTCGAAGCCAGCGGAGGAAGGAAACTGGCGCCGATCATCACCTCGGTCAAAGGAAGGCCTTGCGTAGGATTGCGACGGGGCGGGAGGCGGAGGTTGAACGGGACTGGTGAAGCTTCGGGCAGGCTGACGCTCCCAGACAGGCTGAGAAGGGCGAGTTGGACCAGCGGAAGCAGGAACAGGAGGGGGATGAGGTTGGTGGCCATAGTCCTCGTCATCATCGTCTCCCCAATCATCGCCATCGTAGCTGATCTGGTTTGCTTCCTTCCATTTCTTTGTGACAGATCTACCGACATTGGTCTTGTAATTAGAGTAAGAACTCGGCGCAGCCATAGTTGGTGGTTTGGTAGAAGAGGCGAGCGACGACGACTATGAAGCGAAACAAATGACACGAGACTTGTGCATCAAGTCATGTTGAGGAAGAAGAGAATCGAGGGAAGCGAGAGAATTGGCGACAAAGACTGGGGTGAGTAGGTTGCGACCAACAAGAGGAGCGAGGAAACAGTCGGCAAGGGAAAGGCGACGGACGGGCACAATTACATGCTATATGGGGAACGGGAAGATACAACGAGGGAGGTGATAGTGTCAGGAGTGGCAGAAGGACCGTAGGTGTCGAGGGCAACGGTGGTAGTAGTTGTGGTGGTGGTGGTGGTGGTGGTGGGTGATGATGAGGTTGGACGAGAGTCTTGAGTGGGAGGACAAGTAGCAAAGGCTGCATGAATGCATGGATTCAACAAGGAAAGCGCAAAGATCATCATTCGGGGCAACGCGTCAGAGGGAGGAAGGTGCTGCGCCACACCGCGTAATTGGAAACCCTGAGAAGTCACGGGGATGAGTGTCCCGTCCTACGCCACATCTACATGAATGAGGACGATTCGCTATCGAGGGACAGTTTGGTAGGACTGTCCATCTTGTAGACTATCTAATATGTTAGTATATCATCAAGCCTTGCTTTATACTGCCAAAGACACGGAGCGCGAGGGTGCGACCGAGTTGCGTTGGCACTTGTGGTGGAGGTGAGGCTGAAGCTGGTGTAAGCATATGGCAGGTGGTTATGTACTGTATGCACGTTAGGCAGCCACTTAATGGTTTTATCCTTCGTTAATTGGCGAGTCATGTTGACCTTGGATCCCTCAGATCGCCTGTCAGGCATAATGCTTCGAAGTACCTAGCATAGCGTGCATAGATACCTATGTAGTATATATGTATGTATGTACTGCATATGTGGCACTTTTGATGCTGTAGTAACCAGGCATCATCTAGACTATACATTCGTCGTTCGCGGTTAGGGCAATGCATGAATCCTGATTAGTTGTGGTTGATTGCGGTCAACAAAGAAGCCATCACCGCCAACGGCATTCCGCCATAACCCTAAGATGTGGTTATGCAACCTGCCACCCCGGGGGCCTTTGGGCGTAAAGAACACCTGGACAAAGCGCTAACCTGGTGCCTACCTAGGTATGTTATCTAGGCGTTGATCTTCGCCCCCAACACTATTATTATTGGGATAAAACCACCGAGACTTGCTCCTAAACTCCTTGGGGATTTCCCTCCAACATTTTCTGCTTCTGGCCTCTCGTGCCTCTGTGCATCTCTCCTGTTGGATCGCCCGTCAACTGTCACTGCCACTCCCACTTCCACTGCGTCTACGAGACTTCAAGACTTCTTTCGGTCGCTTAGACACCGTCACTTTGTCTTCTGGAAACTCGGATCCTTTTACACTTTCGACTCTGTACCATTGATTCCTCACCATGTTGTGCCGCCTTTGATGTTCCGAACGAATATCCTCCGACGATGAGCCAATTGCCATCGTGAGATTGTCTCCTTCTACTTTCCCCTTCGTCGCCTCTCCTTGCGCCTCGTTCCAACCCCACGACTCAACCTCACTTTGCGCGCTGCTAGATTTACCTCTACAATCTTCTCAAAATGGTCTCTACCACCATCCAAGATCGAACCAACGAGTTCAGAACCATCCTCACTCAGGCTCAAAAGAGAAATACTGCCACAAAAGGAGGGTCCCAGAGACAGTCTCTATTGACCGACGCCGAAAGACACGAGGCTAATGGCGCATCTTCCAACCCATCAAAACCCGGTCGCTCGGAGTTTGCTCGAAATGCGTTGCAAATTGGCCGTGGCATCGGTGCTACCATGGGCAAACTCGAACGATTAGCACAGCGTAAGTGGATTGATCCCTCTCCTCCCTGGTCCCTATTGGAGGTCGCAACTAAGCCTACTTGTCAGTCGCCAAACGAAAAGCCATCTTCGACGACCGACCTGTCGAAATATCCGAACTCACCTATGTCATCAAACAAGACCTCGCTACTCTCAACTCCCAAATTTCTTCCTTGCAACAACTTACTCAGTCCCGCCATCCCACCGCCGCCAACCCACGCTCTGCCGATCAAGAAGGCCAGCATAATAAGAATGTTGTCTTGATGTTACAGAACAAAGTCACCGATGTTGCTGCCAATTTCAAAGATGTACTCGAAGTTCGTACCAAGAACATCCAGGCGTCTCGATCGAGGACTGAGAACTTTGTCTCCTCGGTCTCTGCACGATCACAACACCTGGACGAATCCCGCTCCGAGTCTCCTCTATACCAAGGCTCATCAAAGAAGCCAACACATGGCACCTCGACCGACCTGTTGACTTTAGAGCCTTCATCTTTGTCTGCGCTCTCGGGTAACGGGCCACAGTCGGACCAACAGTTACTGCTGATGGAGGAGGCTCACGCGCCCAACACTTATATCCAAGAAAGGGGCCAGGCCATCGAGGCTATTGAACGAACCATTAACGAACTCGGCGGGATTTTTGGTCAACTGGCCTCCATGGTGTCGGAACAAGGCGAGATGCTACAGAGAATTGACGCAAATACCGAGGACGTGGTAGACAACGTTCAGGGTGCTCAGCGTGAACTGTTGAAGTATTGGAGCCGGGTCCAAGGCAATCGTTGGTTGGTTGCCAAGATGTTTGGTGTCCTAATGGTGAGTGTTCTATTCTCTCTGTCATCTCAATTGTTTCTAATCGAGGTAGATTTTCTTCCTCTTGTGGGTTTTGATATCTGGTTGAGCGATTACGGTTCAGCGTGGCAGTTGTTGAAATTCAGGGATAAGCAGCGTTCCCGCCTTTGCGGATCGGGGCCAACTCGAGACCTCTTCTTTACGCCAGCTTCTAACTCGGCATTACCTGACACTAAGTTCAGCGTCGGGCCAGTCTCAATCTGCTGACAAGACGGACCGGCCGCGTCTCTATTGTCGGTTCATACACATCGACAGAATAGTTGAGCCAGTTGGACCAGTAACCTCGCTGGGCGCACTGTATATTAAGACACCATCGAAACACAGACGACAACATCTAAAGCACCCGTAATCGGACAGGGGAGCTTCTGTTGAGTCCAGGAGGGAATGGAGCCAGGCCGGTCGTGCTTGGTCCAGCCACGGGAGAACTTGTGCCAGCGTGGAGTGTTTCCAGACGAAAGATATTGACCGTGGCTTGGACAAGATCCTGTACAACAGAATATAATCATGGATAGATCAGCGTACATATTGCAAACCCAGCAATACTCAGAAACCGTCACTTGAATGACATAGAAGTACAAATCTGCGTCGAGTGGGCCTCGGTGCAGCTCACATAAGCACTGTGTCGAGGAAGGATTCATATGTACCAGAAATGCCCATAAATGTAGACAAGATTTGGCTTGATAAGATTAATGTCTGAATAGTATCGCTCAGGTCATAATTCTTCAGTTGAGATTTTCCATGCCTCCCCCCCTTCGAATACCCTGATCTCTTATGTACAGTGAGCGCGATGCGCCCAGAGCCTGTGCAGGCCAACATCACCTAAACTGAATCCGGTCCCGTCGTGGATGGATGAGCGGAGGGTATCGCGAGCGTGCCCATACTGAGGAGGCTGTCTGGGGACAGTCGGTTCGAATAAGACTGCCAATGCCCATAAAGACGCTGTTACCAGACCCAGTCAGTGACAGCTCCACAAAAACCAGTGCTGGCGCAGGAAATAGAATGTACCTGAATGTTGCACCAGATCCAACCATGTACTTGCCCAACGTCCGCATGACACCGGCCTGACCTCCCCCATACTGAAAGACGGTGACGGTGCCTGCAAGTCATCAAGGTTAGCAATCCAGTGGGTGCGAACAGTTGGTATGTGGTGGTATGGCTCACCATAGATGAGACCCATTATTCCCCCGACGGCTGTTAACTGTCAGTACACATCAACTGAGCGAGGCTGACTCCAAACGAACTTCCACCCATAAGCATCCCCATCTTGACTAACCACAAGTTAGCTCAAGGCCTGCGTCAACATCAATGACGAATACCCACGTTTGTCAACCCATGAAGGGCCCCTTCGCTGCGCAGATGGTGGCATGGGAGGCATGTTTGCAGACCACCGACCTGGGTAGGATGGAGACGTAAAAGGTGAACAGTAGTAAAGGTAGCTTTCGACTCCCAAAGATGGATAGAAACAAGATGGCAGTTTTGATCTGTGCAGGTGGTAGCAATGCGACGGTGGAATTGTGTTGTGTTTAATCCAAGGTGGTGAGGTGAATTGGAGTCAAGCAGCAATTGAGGTGAGTTGGAGTTGAACTCTTTGCTGGTTTACGGAGTAATGCTGCAGCCATGGCGAATGTTAGAGCCACCGTTGTCACGTGTTTATCTCTTTTCGCAATAGCGTCATTAGCGTCATTGGAGACGCAGACTGCGTGGCTTGGCATATGATAAAATGCGCTAAACCCAAAGCAATCAAGCGGTTAGAATAAACGGCCACAAGGCTACAGGGCTATCCGGAGTAGGGCCTCGGGCCTGGGCTCCACTGCGTCGTGCCACGCTACAAGGCCACAGAGCCTGCAGCCCGCGGATCCTCCTTGTCTCCTTGTCGAAAGAGTATCTGGTGTGATTGTCAGAGTGAGCGCCCATGGTTGGGAGGTTTCCGGTAGCCGAGCAAAGACTGCAGAGCAGCTGTGATGCTCTGGAAAACCCAAAGGACGATGAGAAATGATGGGACCCCCTCGGCACTCCCTCCCTCCCCCTCTCACCCGGCAGTCCACTCGCTCTGTGCCGCGTGCCGGGACCTTTTCCTTGCTTCGACTCCACAGGCGTGCAAGGGACACCAAAGTCACCGAGTTTAGTTGGCCCAAGGACTCAAGGAGCCCCAAGGAGCCCCCCCAAATGGTTGTCCCCCCTTCACCCTCTCGCACGTCCCAAAGAACCGCCGTAACACGCACCCAAAAGTTGAGGCCAAACCAAACTTAACTCGTTTGGGCATTATACGCATACCATCCTTACCATCTTTACCGTATCTACCATACGCTACTTCACTACTGCATCAATTCAATTTCAACGCCCATCTTCCATTTTCCACCGCAATTCACCCTCTCGGCACCACCATCAACACCTCATTGACCTGCTCACCTACATACAGATGCCAATCCTCTTCGCAATCCACCCTCTTTGTCATCGTTGACCACCCTTTCTCCCAACCGCCCACCCCCTTCCAATCCTCCCAATCAGCAGTGTCAGGTCATCTCATCTCCTTGTCAGCAGTCCCCGCTGCCGTCCATCCTCGCACGCGAGCCTCTTCGTCGCCCGATCCCCTCTCTTGAGAAAACTATCGTACGTCTATAAACCTCTAGCTTGTTCATCAGCATCGACAACCAAATCCCTGTCATTCGCGTTGTCGCCTCGTGTATTAATATCTACTTTTTATTAGATCACTCGAGCCTCCTACTCCAACACATGACGGCTTTCCGGGTCTCTACCTCTCGGTCCCTGTTTTCGCCTGCTTTTCACCTTACCCTGATACAGAACACCTCTGCTCTGTGAGCACGTATCCTGTCACACCCTCGACTGCGCTTCTGTGGAATTCCTACCCTCCTCAGCAAGACCAGGTATCCCGATGACGACCGCCGTGGCATCTCCTCCAAACTTTCAAAATATCTCTCGCTTGAATTGGAATGGTGTAAACTCCAACGGCGGCGGCTTCTCGGCAATGAGCTCTGACGAGGTTCCACGCATCTTTCCGCCTCAACGCAAGACCGTCCAGCGGAGTAACTCGTCCTCGTCCTTATCATCCAACAGCTCCTCCACCTCTACAGTCACCATTACTCAGTCCGAACCATCCACAGACGTCGCCCCGGGCGCAAAGAAGAAAGCAAGAGGTGGATTCTGGCCCGTCTCAAAGTCTGAATCTACCGCCAGTGTCTCCAATGCACGCGCAAATGGCTCGCTGCAAACGGCCATCAGCAACTCATTGATCAACCACAAATCCCCCGTTCAACCAGCTCTACCCAACCAGGCCCCCATCAATCAGGTGAATGGATCCAGAACCGCCAACGTCCCGGCGCCGGGCGAACCAGCCGCCGTACTCGCCTTGCTACCTATGAACGGGACATTTGAAAGAAAGCAGATCAGCTTGCCCTTTTTTCCAGACGTGCTGAGGGTTGGTCGGCAAACCAATGCCAAAACTGTCCCAACACCAATCAACGGCTATTTCGACTCGAAGGTTTTGTCTCGTCAACATGCAGAAGTCTGGGCTGAAAGGAACGGTAAGGTGTACATCCGCGACGTCAAGTCATCCAATGGGACATTTGTGAATGGCCAAAGACTCTCGCCCGAGAACCGTGAATCTGAACCTCACGAATTGAGGCAACACGACACTCTAGAACTTGGGATCGACATTGTGAGTGAGGATCAGAAGACTATTGTTCACCACAAGGTCTCGGCCAAAGTCGAATATGTCGGGTTACCGGGAGCATCCAACAATGTTCTCGACTTGAGTTTTGGTGACCTGGACCCGTCTCATGGGGGTTCTCTATTACCCTCACCGGTCAGTTCGCCGATGATGCACTCCAGAAGTCGTTCCGGCGGCCCTTCCATCAATGGCCGCTCCCCGAACGCTTCCAGTGTTGCCGGGAGTCAGATGAGTTCCGCTGCCCAACAACGGCAAGCCAATTTTTATGGGTCACCTCTTAATGTCGAGCAGCTCGTCAAGTCTCTCGCGGTAAGTCGTCACGCTTCCAACTATCGTCCCAGACTAATCTGTGGCAGGTCGAGATGCGCACAGCAAAACAACAAGCAGAAGAGCTCGAGCAGGCCGGGACCTTTCTCCACGCCATGCTCCACCCGAATGATGAGGTGCCGAAAGCGCAACAGCCAGTGAAAGAGCCCAGCCACGCGCGGCCGTCGAATGGACGATCGAGGGGGTTGAAGATGGACCATATGAATCGGTTTTCTGAACCTCCGGCTCCGCCTCCCCAACATCCGCTGCCCGAGAAACCCGATGGTGCAAAGTCTAGCCCAGTCAGCACACCATTTTCGAATCTATTAAAACGCAGCGAGACGGCCAAGTCACCCAAACCGCCCTCACACTCGCCCACCAACACGCAAAGTAGTCAGATGTTGTCACTGATTGAAGCACTCAGTATAGCCAAGAAGGAACTCGACTCTCAAAGCGCTCGGGTGAGGCAGCTTGAAGACATGCTTAAAGACGAGAAAACGGCTCGAGAACAAGCTGAGGACCGGGCGCGGAAACTTGAGCAACATGCGGCGTCGCGGCCTGTGCCGGTCGTGCTCGAGGCAGACGAGTCATCGAGTTCTACTGCAGCGCTTGAGAGCACCCCCACAACTTCCGCAGAAGCTCCTGCAGAAGCAATAGAAGGCGTATCGAGCGAACGACAGCTGAAAGAGAAGCTAGACAACGTCATGGCGGAGATGCACAAGCTGAAGATGGACGTGGAACATTACCAACGGAGAGCCAAGACGGCGGAGGACGATGCCAGCCAAGCGCGGGCGAGCCTTGCCGAGATGATCAAGCAAATTAGGGAAGAAAACGAAAAGGAGAAGTCGCAGGGGACAGAGACTGAACTGGAAGCAACAGACGACGCAGGTGAGGTGTCGAGGCGTCCAAACGCGAGCGACGGCCTGGTCGAAAGCAAAGGATTGAGCCAGTGGCCGTCACAAGCAAATGGACATGTGCGTGGGCCGAGGTTGCCCGAGCATCTTGAACAGGCCGTGGCCACGGTGCTGAAAGAACGACAGGGCAATGGAGACTCGCTCGGTCAGTCAGCGCCATATATGTCCATGCTTGGGGTGGTCTTGATTGGAGTTGGGCTGATGGCCTACCTGAACTCGTGGCAGAAGACGGAGAGATGATAAAAGCTCAGTGGGAGGTAGGAGCTAGGAGTTTGAAGTAGCGCTTCGTGTGTCAGCTCGGACGGCGACGATTCATTGCACATGATTTCTTTTGGATTTTCTATTTCTGATACATGACCCGACATTCATGCAGCGTTGCATGATCTGGGCCGGCGTTTCTGGGCCTATTATTGGGGAGGCAGAACTGTGATGGATTGATCGAGGGCCAAGAGAGCCTCGATGAAAGACCAACTGCAATGCGAACATCTAACTTGGGGACGCGACACAAAACAGGATTGTCTGATGCAGCTGTCGCAGTCACAAATTGGAAGTCGACTTGATTCGACGTGGGGACAGTCTTGTGCTCACAGCAGAGTCCATGCATGAACCAGACTAGAGTGGATGGCGCGTCAAATTCTTTTGTTATGTATACATGTGGGCGGAAGAATTGTGGGAAATGGTACACGATGCATGGTCGACGGCGACGGCGACGGCGACGGCGTGAGGTTAGTCTTGGTCAACCGGGCTTACATAGATACTGTGTATGCCCTTTTAATTAGTGCAACGACGATGACTATAACGAACACCAATAAATGACAGAAGCTGAGTGCAGTCTTTGTTTTAAGCCATCATGTGACTACTATAGTGCGTTGACTTGTTCTAGACTCGTTCTAGACTTGTTCGTTGACTTGTTCGTTGACTTTGTCGGTAGAACGATGGTGAGAGAGATGTGGTTGTTGTGTGGGAATTGGAGTTTCCTTTGAGAATTTAATTATCTGAGTGACTCGAGGAACCCACACGTAGCTAGGGGGTCTCGGAGTCAAAACCCACATAAGGATGGGCATAACTATTAAGATACTTATACTAAGTAGGGTAGGTAGGTAGGTAGGTAGGTACCACCTACCTACCTAGGTACCTAATGTACGGAGTGGGGGGGCTTTAGGGGCCGAGAGCCCAATCTCCTATCCACCCCTATGCCTTACTGCCCCGATAGATGCTGTTCTAGCACCAGCAAGGCCCGAGGGGCCTATAGCTTTAGGTATTGTGTCCCTACTGTCATCCTGCCCCATGGAGCTCAAGGACAATTAATTGCTCTACCTATACCGACACCTACACCTTCGCAACTGGCAGAATTCTTTTTCAAGGCTGTTTATACCACCAATTGAAATAAAAACTCTCCGCCCGGTTACACAGTTCAATTCATGCCCACCAGAGGAAACAGTAGTGAGGCATATACATCGTAGACGCCAAGTGATAAGAGTGGGTGATCCGCTAACAGCCCTAGGAGCCACATATCGTACATACTACTGCTTACTGTCCCTACATACTCGTACTGCACATCTCTTCCCCCTCCACTTCTTTGACATTATGAGTCCATCGAAAAGCATACAGTCTCTGGCCCCGAGGTCCGGACTTCGGAGGAACCTTCAACAAAATGCAAGATTCGACCATCTTGTAGTGAATCTGGCTATGTATTGGGCCTCTAATTTGCGTTGAAATCCAACAATCATCATTAGCTCGCTTAGACACCTTAGGTAAGAAAATCTACGAGTAAGGTAGCCCGTAGCGCCCATAGTGACCTTGGTTCGTTGTATATTTTATTGTATACTTGTACGGCATTCGGATCAAGCTGAAAAGCCAAAAATGTCGCAAACAGCAGTGACGCATCGACGCACAGATGGAAAAGCGCCTCCATCTCTTTCTCGTACTTTGTCTCTTCTTCATGCCAGAAGGCGTGGCTCGGGTCAGGGGAATGTCCTCGCATTATGACTCTAATCTGACCTTTTCCCTTGCCCCTCCTCCGTGTCCCGTATCCCGTATCTCACCATTTACATCATCTGAACCATCTGGGTCTTTGAGGTCCATGATCCCGTGAATATCCTTGAGGATCCGTTGAGATCATCCACTCAACCAATCCTCCTCTCATGCACCCATAGACTTTTGTGAATACTCCTGTTCCCAATCATGATTTTTGTCACCTGTCGCATTCCCAATCTCCTCGAACCTGACGGGCACCTTCTTCTTCTAACAGTGGTGAGGTCAAGTTGGCAGTTGCCATCAGTGTAGTTGATCGCGACTTCCTGCTGACATGCACCTGCGACCATGTTTTCTGTCTTCGTGGCAGAAGCACTTCAATTTATTGATACACCACCATGTCCGTCTTGGATCTCGTGTGCCTCAAAGCACAGTCACTGTTCTACCTCTTCAATTGAGGGGCCTGGCCACATCAGTTACCCCGAGAGATCGACCTGAGGACGACAAAAGAGAACAAGTGGTAATTCTGGGAAGTGGGTGGGCTGGTAAGTCTCCTGGCCTCTCTGAGCCTTCGATTTTGTCCTCTATACACTCTAACCTGGCCTCATCTCTAGGTTATGTGTTATCTCGAAAACTTGACCCGGCCAAGTATCGTGTCCTCGTTGTCTCGCCGCGGTCTTACTTTGTCTTTACTCCTCTTCTCAATGACACCTCTGTGGGAACCCTCGAATTCCGTCATGTGCTCGAGTCTGTTCGTAAGCGCAACAGCCACGTCGAGTATATGCAGGGCTGGGCCGATGATGTCAATTTCAAGGATAAGATGATCACCGTCGAGCCTTCGGTCCTGGATCCGGTCGTCGGCCATGCCCTCACCGGCCCTCGAGTCAGCCCGTTAGAACCAAACATGGCTTTGGTCGGCGGTACTGGCCGCGACCAAGTGCCAACCTTTGCCATTCACTATGACAAACTCGTCATCGCTGTGGGATGCTACAGTCAAACTTTTAATACCAAAGGGGTGCGAGAAAATGCCATGTTTCTCAAAGACGTGCGTGATGCCCAAGCCATCCGTCGCCGCATCCTCGAACTATTCGAACTCGCTCATCTTCCCATCATCTCCGAGGAGACCAAGCGATACCTCCTCCATTTCGCCATTGTTGGTGGCGGTCCCACCGGCATGGAATTTGCCGCTTGTCTCTCCGACTTGATCAACGACGACCTTGTCAAAACACACCCTGACCTGATCAAATACGTTCGCATCACTCTCTACGATGTTGCACCTAAAGTGCTCCCCATGTTCGACGCCACTCTTGCCGATTACGCCGTCAAACAATACCGACGTCGCGACATCGACATCCGCACCTCGCACCATGTCGAGGAGCTTCGCAAGGGATTCCCCAATGACCCTGAAGCCGCGCGAAACCAAGACTCGGAAGTCAAAGGTCGTGTCTACACCATCCGAACCAAGGAAGACGGTGATGTCGGCATCGGTCTTTGCGTATGGAGTACAGGCAACATGAACAATCCTTTCGTTGCCAAAGCCCTTGACCACGTCCGACGCTTTCCCACCGCTTCCGCTCACATCACCAGTGGTGAAGATCAAGTCCAAGACCCTAATGCTCGTCAATGGACGATAGACCGTGATCCCAAGACCGGTGTCATCCTCGTCGATGACCATTTTCGCGTCAACCTCAGCACAGGGACGATTCCCGAAAGTCAGCACGGGGAATCTACCCAACCCCGACACGCCTACGTCAAGGATGTCTTCGCCTTGGGAGACACGACCAAGTTGAAATCTGGCGCTTTGCCCGCCACGGCTCAGGTGGCAAATCAACAAGCTCTCTGGCTAGGCAAAGCTTTAAATCGCTACCCAGATCCAGAGGACTTTGCCCGACAGAAAGGCTTCACTTTCAAGAACATGGGCGTGTTCACATATGTTGGCGGGGCCAAGGCAGTATTGCAAGGCCCGCAGACGGATCGCAATGGAGTGGCAAAGGGGCTCAAAGGATGGATCGCCTTTTTGGTCTGGCGAGGGGCATATCTGACCATGACTCTTAGTTGGAGGAACAAGTTTTTGGTGCCGATGCAGTGGCTGGCCGTCAAGATTTGGGGCCGAGACTTGTCGAGATTCTGAACAGGCCAGTGTCTTTTTTTTCTTCAAGCAAGAGTTTGTTGATGGTGGGTGCGAATGCCTCTGGCCATCACCGGCTGTCAGGAGTTTGCTGAGTCATGTGCGGAAATACGAGATTTGGTGTTGCATTCCCCAAACCTCCACTGTCCTCATAGCATCATTACTAAGGCTCACGTGCGAACCAAGCGTAGAGCATCGTAGCTGAGATTCGTGAATGCCGCCTTTGCCCGTGCACGGCGTATTTACAGTTCGAGCTGCTGGCTTTTGTTGTATACCCCTACATGCTGACATATGCCTGTCCTGCAAAACATTTCCCAGACAACCACCCCAATCCTTCAGTAGGCCGATATAAGAACAAAGTGTAGAATGATCAGGTTCGCAAAACGATACCTATCTTACATCCCGGACATCCTGTAGACCCTCTCACCACTTTTCTGCCAAGGCAATATAGATTACAACGGGTTAACTTGGTCCTACCATGGTCACGGATACCCTGGCCCAGACACTGGCAGAGACCAACTTGTCGGCAGTCTTCTCTGAGCCCAATGCGAACAAGCGCCTAGCGGCTGCTCAGACCCTCTACCATGCTCATGTCAGATTCTACGAACCCGGTGGCACAGAGATAACTCAAGGCGGCGACACCGATATTGCAGGGCCAGAAGGAATATCATCCCAGGCAGGAAAACTCCTCGACAAGACACCTGGATGGAAGTTTGCACTCGCGGGACCAGTACAGAAGACTGGGGATTTGGTGGTCGCTGATTGGAAGTTTGGCCCTGTGGGAGAGGGTGGTGAGATTGTGACAAAGCAGACTGGGACGGATGTGTTTCTGGTCCGGGGAGATAAGATTGACCAATTCTGGGTTATAGTTGACGGAGTGAGTGATGTCAAGGTGTGAAGCTGGCAGAGCCAGAGGGACGAGAGTGTCAAATGAGAGGTGAAAAGGGTGATTGTCCCTCCTCGTTGATAATAGGGACAGCTTCGCCAGCCATAGACCAGGACGATACTCTATACGAGGAGGTTGGGTGATGTTAAACGCGCTCTCGGCTCCGACATAGTCACGTGACTAGTAGCCCGATGAGATGTGAGAGTAGGTAGTATTGCTGATCGATGACGAACCTACACTGGAACGCTAGATATATTTCACCCCTTACTCTATTCTCTTGTACGTGATCATGTAGTCCATACATTCGAGAATCACCAAGTTTCCTGGCCCTAAACCCCGAGAACAGGAATGGGCACTTTTCCAATTTCAATAGCCCGTAGTTTATTACATGTACGCATAAAGTTAGTTAAACCACAGCGCACTTTTAGCCGAGTACTTGGTGCCTCTCAATACCAATCACCCCCTCAATTTCTACTTTACTAGGCATCCACATCCAGTCCCAAGTGCCTAACTAGGGGTCCGATTCATGCTATTCCCAAGGACACTAACTCTTTACAGGGCCAAAGGAGTCAGCCACGCACCCTCGCACCCACGCGGCCAGAATTCAGAAGCAACTTAATCCTCCGAGTTCAATTGCTTGAGTGGCTCCTACACTTTTTTGGATCCAAGACACCCTCCAACATGACACCGCAGCTATCGTCTCTTTTCATCTGCCTCTTCTACCGTCGCCATACTTGTCAACACGTATGTCCTGGGTGACATTCCAACTGTCAAGCGCCAGAACGCTACGTGCCCTCTTACCACTTCCTCCACGTCCTCTCCACGCCTCTTTTCCCCTGCAAAATCCTAGCCACTGACCACCGTCGTCATCCTGCGTTCTCGTCCAACATCCCAGGCAACCCTGATAAACTCCAACTTGCTCAACAGCTCGAATTATCACTCTGCAAGACGCCGCCAGCTCATCTCCTCTTCACCGAGTCTAATAGCGAAAAAAAGACAACAAGAAACAAGTGCTTGACTCTACCGACTGACCATCCTCGCATAATCCATCCACCCTCAGTCCTCGGTCCGCGACTTCCGTCTCTGCTGGTCATTGCTCAGACCTCCTTCCTCGTCAACAATTGGAATTGATCACACAATCACAATCACGCGTTCTCTTCTTTTTCACACTTGGTTGTCTATATCCCTGACCATGTTGCGATCTCGAATTCCATAGTCATCTACCGTCACCAGATGACGACGCGGCATCATCCCCTCTCGTTCCTGGCCTGTCAACCGACATGGCCTCCCTCATCCATCCAATCCACTCGGCCAGCCAGAAATGCCGCCCCAAACACCAAGTCCTCATCCTCAAATGCTATCCGAAGTTCCAAAAGACCGTCCAAGAGGTCAAACCTAATTCCTCTGAGCTGAGTTACCTCCTCTATTATGTCAGTACTCGTCGCCACAAGCTGCAAAAGGTCGGCGCATTTCTCGAGAAGAAGAATGCCAGCGACGTCTGGAAGGGAAGACTGGGGTATGTGTCGTCTCGCTCTCCTCTCACCATATAGCATGTTGACCTTCGTCGTAGCAACGTTCAAGTCACTCTCCAGATCCTCACTGCCATCATTGACAAGACCCCTCGAGACCTCCCTCTCTATGCCCGATACCTTTTGACCATTCTCGACTCGGTCCTTCGGTCCAAGGATCTCAACATGGTCGAAGAGACCATCCCGACCTTGGAAGCTTACTGCAAACACTTGGATGCTGCTTCTCTCGCTGCTGATCAACAACGCGCTCAGCAATATCTTTCCATCGTCCAGCTCTATTCGGGCTTTGCGGCAAGAGACAAGATCCTCGCCAACCCATCAAATGACCCAGTCCCGGTCTCCCTCCGTTGGCGCACCATCGGTCTCCGGGCCATCCGAGCCCAGGTCGCTTCCGAAGCCATTGCCGCTGACTCAAGTCGCCAGTTGAATCTTGTCATGCCTGTCATTCTTGACAACCTGTCTCTGGAGGAGGATAATATTCTCGCTACCCTTCAACAGAGAGCGAGGACTAGTGAAAACAAGGACGATGACATTGCTCGTAGGAGGCGCATGAGCATCGCTACTGTCACCACTGTTGATACCGTCGAGGGTGACCCGGCCACCGCAGTCGAAACTACCGCCGGCGCAGACAAAGTCGCCGAGGAGGAAGTCCAGGCTCTGGCATTGCGATGCTTGAAGCAGATCTTCTCCATCGGCATCGGTAGCACAAGAGGTCAGACCCGGCTTGCCACTGCTCTAACCTTGAAGTTCATCGTCTCCAAGAATCCATCCACCCAACCCATTGATGGCCTTCAGCCTGGCACCTGGGCCACTTCGCTGTTTGAGGTTCTTGCTCGTTGGACACCCGTGCAGGACCGCTTCATCATTGTTGTGACCGCCATGGAAACCTTGATTCGATCACCAGTCTCCGAATCTGTCCTGGAGAAACGTCTGGTGCTTGTCAGCCTGATCGACTGGCTCTTGAGCTCCTCGGTCAATCTCATTGGACTGAGCGTCATGGATGTGCTTCTCGGTCTCATCCAGCATATGCTAACCCTCTTGCAATTGGGCGGCCCAAATGCGCGCCTCTTTTCGCTTCAACAACACGACACCATTGGCATTTCTCGCGAGATCAAAGAAGCCTTTGAACCCAGCGCCGTCATGACTGACTTGCCGCCCACGGAAAATGATTCCAAAGTCCCAGTGACCGCGTCTCCCCTTCGCCGTGACCTGCTGGCACGGCTCCAGAAGTGCATCGCGTCTCTCTCCACACATATCTACTATTCAGACCAGATCAGTGATATGCTGTCCGCCATCTTGGCTCGCCTCAAGCCTTCTGCTCAATCCGACACACCGACGACAGTAGCCGCCATCGCTGACCCCGCCGCTGCTGCCAGGGCCATTGCCGAATCCGCGAGTATTTCAGAGGATTCGTCCTCGTCAACATTCTTCTCCTTCAACACTGCCAGACTCGCAGCGGTCCAAGTGATCAAAGATGTTCTCTTTCGTGCAAACAGCAGACGTAACGCCACAGGCGCTCTGGTGGAGACTCGCGCTCGCGTCGGAGTTCAAGTCTGGGACGGCACACAATGGCTGCTCCGAGATGAGGACAAGGACGTGCGGGCCGCTTATATCGCTGCATTGCTGGCATGGTTGAAATTGGAGACCAACAAAAGTGACACTTTGCTGCCCAAGGATGGCCATCGAAAGCCGGGAATCGTCAAGAAGGTCGGGACACAGACTGCCGAGGGCATCACAGCCAAACGCGCCGTCTCTGGCGCTTCTCGGAGGGAAGCGAAACCGTCTCGATCTACCTTCGTACAACTCTTGCATCTCGCCATCTACGACAGCCTACTTGATGATCCGGAAGATGAGCATCAGATGCTGTTACTGTATCTCCTGCTGACCAAATTGATTGAACGCTTGGGTGTCAACGCCCTTCGAAGTGGGCTGCCTATGATATTGAAGCTACAAGAAACTGCCTTGACGGGAGACTCGATTTCCACCATCGGACGTGTGCACATTGCTAGTCTCGCCCATGGTTATTTGTGGTCTATTGCAGAAAAGTTCGACTTTGAAATGACATCTGTGGGAAATGAGATTAATGCCGAAATTGGTCGCAGGAAGCGATTTGGGGTCTGGTACGATCGAATCAAGTTTCCAGCACTTCCCGTCGAAGACATTCTTCAGCTTTCCACAATGACGGAGAAATACTCGACATACTCGGACGAAGCGGCTGGTACCCTGAAACCCTTTCTCTCGGTCAAGGAAATGGTAGATGAAATTGGCACCGCGTATGACAGTTCTCTCCTCACCCCGCCGACGTCCGCGCCCTCTTCACCAGGGCGTGTGTTTTCGGTTCCCACCTTGGGTTTCGGGCACGGGTATGGATTTGTAGCAGGCCCTAAGCCGTCACGGGAAGAACAACTCCCCCAGAAGGTCAAGGACGAGATGTGTGCTGGCTGGTCACGTGAATCATGTATTGCGGCGGTTGAAAAGGAAAGCACCGCCTCCATGACTGGATCTCGCACAGCTGCGTCTTCCATGCCCAAACATCATCTAGCAGTCAATGGCACTCGGAGGGCGGTATCAACCAACGGAAAAGACTCACCAGTGGGGGCAAATGGCTCCACGACTCCCACGTTCGGGATGTTAGGTGGCCTGGGAATGATACCCAACCATCGGCATTCCAGCCTCAGCGGGTCACCTGTGAGAGATCAGGGGACGTCGAGTCGAGACTCAACCATCCGGGTGACGGATCTGAAACGTGCGTTATCAGGCCATCCCGCTGGTGCGCGGAAACGTAGTCCATTGCGGCGGTCAACAATTGGATCACGAAGAAGCACTGGGAGCAGTCGATCGAGCAGTCTTATGAGCTGGGACGGTGGTGACGATGCCAATGCGTCAGCCCTGGATGTGCGAGCGGGAAAAGAGGACTTTCGAGTCACCATACCGAATCGGAGTAGTTCACGGCCGCAAAGCGCAGCGGCAACGGGGACTAGAGAGGGCACGTTTCATGATCAAGCAACCGTGACCAGTCCACGGGTGGAGGAAGATGTGCCCCCTGTGCCCAAAATTCCTTCCACGTTGAATCTGCCAGGGACCTGGCCGAGAGATATTTCACCGGCCCGGTCTGAAGGGCAAATTGTCGCGCCAAGCGCGGCGGAAAATGGAGACGCCAGCAACAACCAGCCAGGAAAACGCGTGGTGAGCACGGCATACTCGACGAGGTCTGGAAGGGAAGGTCAAAGTATGAGAAAAAGCTCACGACCAGTCAGCAGGAAAAGCGTTGTACCTATTCCAACATCGCCAGTTGAAAAATTCGATGTAGGGTCACTTTTGGCTGGCATCAAGTCTGTGGAAGGCGACGGCGATGGCGAGCAACAAGAAGCTCAGAGGACGAGCAGACTGATGAAGCCTCCGTACTGATAGTGAGTGGAGTTGTGTGGCAGTGGCATGCATGCAACATTGTATATTACAGCTAGACGGCTCTGTCAGTTGATGCGTGATTGGCGTTGATCGGCGGAGGTCAAGCTCGCCTTTGTTGACTTGATCATCTTTGCGAGGGGAGTGAAGTGAAGTTGAAGCTCTTATGAAGGATGATCTATGGTTGGGAAGACGGCATGTATTATATGCAATGTTGGATGGGATAGAGTGGGGGAATTAAATCAGGTCACTGGAATGGTGATCATCATCAGAATTCTGAAAAGTTGACAGGGAGAGTGACTCTCTCGTTCATTTGATTACAACTTATCGTCCAGACTCGTGTAGAAATGTAGTATAGTGTTGAACATGAGTAGTACAGTATAATATTATTGTAGTATTGTCATGATTCAAGGGCTCGGATAAAGCAGGAGATACAAATCCATCTTAAGTCCGAATTCTGCATGAGTCACGTGTGTCTATACTTCAGGGGGTTTCTCCAGACTGGGAATAGTTCCTAAGTTTGGATTTCATCCTCATCATCACCATGACCAGCCAAAGGCAATCGTTGCCCATTGCCTTGGACGACTCTGGACGACTATGGATTGCTATGCGACATGATTGATTATATAAATGCTGATCGAGTCGCTCCATCGTAGATGACTGCTTCTTTGACCGTCTCTGACCAACTACCCACCTAGCCGGACATCCTCTCTTTCCAGTGATAGATTAATAACCCTCACATCTTTGACTTGAAAGTCGACCAAGCATGTCTTTACGCTCGATCGTGCTGGTAACTGGCGGCAACAATGGCATCGGCTATGAGATCGTCAAAGCCCTGCTCCAGTCGAACCGCAGTTACCATGTCATCATGGGCAGCCGGTCGATGCAGAAAGCTGACGCTGCCATCAACTCAATACGCCATGAGTGTCCGGCCCTGTCCAACACGGTCGAACCCCTCCAGCTCGAGCTGACCAGTGACGAGTCCATCCGTTCGGCGTGTGACCATGTCCAGGCCAAGCATGGCCGTATTGACACTTTGGTCAACAATGCCGGTACGTCAACTCCTTCTCGCGCTCCTTTAAGCTTCTCTATATGTCCCATTAGCTTCCTAACAACGTGAAAAATGTCCAGGCGCAGCCTTCGACGCTCAACAAAAGGCCGGCCGGGTCACACTGCGCGAAGCATTCACCCTCGCCTACGACGTCAACGTGGCCGGCACCCAGGTGTTGTCCGACGCCATGATCCCGCTGCTACTGCGATCGTCGGATCCACGCCTGATTTTTGTGACGGGTTTATCCGCCATCAACAAGGCGGCCACTTCATATTTCCCCACACCACCACTGCCCGCCGGATGGCCCAAGTCGGTCGACTTTGAGACCATTGCCTACCGATGTAGTAAAGTTGCGCTGAACATGCTCATGCTCGACTGGAACCACAAGTTGAAACAAGACAACGTCAAGGTCTGGGCCGTCGGCCCAGGAATGCTTGCTACTGACCTGGGCGGTGTCGGCAAAGAAGTCGCTCAAGCCATGGGGGCAGGCCACCCCCGTGCCGGTGGCGACATTGTCAGGAGGGTCGTAGAAGGCGAGAGGGACGCTGACATCGGCAAGATTGTGATCAAGGGCGGCGGCATCATGGATTGGTAACTGTTGCTTACTGAAAAATTCATGTTTCTCAGTCCCTCAATTCATGCAATCGGACTTTTCTCGTAAGCGCATGCGCTAGATCCTCTTTTCATCACTCTAATTTCGATCGTATCGTAGGCCCCTCTTGTTAGCTCGAGCACATCCTAATAAAATGCCTTGTCAGTGTCTACCACAACGTTTTCACGTGAGTAAACCGTAGAGACCATCGATCTGCCGTGTAGTGTCATGAAATATGGTTCTACAATCAGGAACCCAGACCCACAGATCGACCAGAGATCGTCCGGAGTTATGTGGATAGGCCCATCAGAACCACAAGATGACACAAAGTGTGTTCAGCCCACCATGTGGGTGGCTCCACTCATTTTCTCGATTTTGACTTCACACAACCGGGGATTTGACCTTGACCATCGAAAGGGTGGGTTTTTGGCCTCCATGACAAGCTCTCCACATTGTACGCAGCGACACAGGCCTTGCCTAACGATTGTTCGGCCGAAGGGGAGGCTTTTTCAGCTAACCATAACTTGGCCTGAATCTTCAGACGCAGCTCTCATGGACTACGGGCGACTATTTCAGCCTTCAGGATGCTCTGGTCCGCGTCCTGAGTCGCATACTCCGTCCGACTTCGTCTTTTCTTTGAGATGATAGACTCCATATGACGAGAAATTGACTGACCAGAATGTTGATATTCTCGCAGCTACTCGTAGTTCCGGACTTTGATGCTCATTCTCCCAATGAAGGCGACAGGGCGATCGATCCGAGTCCGAAACCATGAATTAAGCCCGGGTCCTGTTAGGGAAACAGAGGATGCCCCGACTCTACAAGTGCCTCTTCGCAATCGTATAAGATGCCGTGATGACTACCCATTGGCAGTCTATGGTCTGCGGTTCTCATCGACTCAAGTCAAAATCTAGAAGCCTTGCAAGCACACAAAAGCAGCTCAAATATTCAGCCAGCTCCCTCCTGAATCGACTTGCTTCTCGTCCGACAAAAGAGAATAATTGACCGTAAAGGCTAGCACAATGGTCAAAATTCACTGTGCCTTTGGGCTTGTGGCGATTAATGCTGTTCTCTGGCAAAATCGCATGGTTCATGCTGTCCCGTTTTCGACAGATGGCGACTCGGTTCCAGCAATCCAAGGCGACATCCATGGCGGGGGTGCCCTTGTCTTCGACCCGCACACCTTCACGGCCATGCGCGGGGGTTTGTACACAACTCCAGTGTCCAAGAGATCGCCTATGCCTTCACCTTACACAAATATCCAGGGAACTGCGTCTGGAAAAAAGGCTGGCCTCGGTCCTACACCAACCATACACAACATAGCAACACAATCTGCCTCAATCGGTGTAGCCCAACATACCAAATCGGCGTCCAGCAAGGGTGCCTCTGCATTAGTGTACAACAAATGCACCTTTCCCGTCAACAGTAACATTGTGCATGGCGCCCGTGGCGGAAATGAAGCCAAACCCGAAGAAGTTTTGGGTATCCTTCAACCTGGTCAAACTTGGTCGCATTCATTCGAACACGACCGTAACCTTGGCGTTAGCTGGAAGATCTGGCGTACAGATGTAGACAACACTGCCCCGATCCAGCTAGAGTACACAGCGACCGACACATCGACCTGGTGGGATCTTAGCATGGTCGATGCTGGAGAGGCCGGTTGGTTGGATGAGTCGACTGAGGATGTTGGAAATGAGCTTGCGGACACCACTGGTGATGCTGATGGTCTGGGAGACTATGTGGGAATGGTTGGCATCCAACACTCTTTTGCAGAATACGGATTGTCCTTGGTACCTGTTCTCGACGGAAACGAGGTGTTTGAGGGCAATTGTGTCGCTGTGAAGTGTTCTGCCGGTGAATCATATTGCAAGAGCGCATACAACACGTGGAATGACTGGGGACAGCAGAAGGACTGTCCCAGTGGTGTCAGTCTGCAGTTGACCCTCTGTGGCTGAAAGGGGTGATTTCGGCATTCAGCCCTCGCGAAGGGACCAGTACCACTGTGATGGCCTAGCGAGAGACAGTCGTAATCGAGGAAACAAGATTTCGCCACATTATCGGTGGGTTTGTTGGAAAGTTCGAGTTGACACTGGTTATTGATGCTGATACATGCTAGGCAGAGAGCCTCCATTGTGGCGGGCTCCAGTTTCCCAAGGGTGTGCAGACGCGGTTGTCGGTGAAGGACAGAGACCAAGGGCGTTGCGGAAGATATCATCCGTGGTCTTGTGGTTAGGACATTGGCCGTTCTCATTCGTGAGCGAGCGCTGCCATTAGCCTGTAGGCCATAGCAATCGATAAGATGCTTGTCATCAATTAGAAGCAGTTCAATATCATCACTTTGCCTCCGTCGCATCTTTTCCCATCTTCTTCCTAAACACCTTCCGCTCCACCTCACGAATCTTCTCCTTTTCGTCCATTTCTTTCTCAATCTCGCGGATTTTAGTTTCTCTTTCCTCCAGTTTCTGCTTCAGCAAAAGGGCTGTCTCTTCCTTCATCTCGCGAATTTTGTCCAGGTTGATCCCACCATTTTGCTGCCCATGCGCTTGTCCAGGGGGGCCTGAATTGATCAGCGACGAGCGGAGTTTCTCATAGCCATATTTCTGCAGCTCTGCCTCGGTGAAGGGCGCCAAGGTCAGAGGATTGGTGTTTGGAGCGGTCGTATCGGTAGCACCTAGGGGTACCTTGATAGTGGGGATGGAGGGGTGGATAGGAGTGGTTCGGGCAGCAGAATCCAGTGCAACGGGGCCAGAAGTTTGCGCATGGGACGAAGCACCCTGAGAGGATGTTTTCGACACTGCCGGCGACAGGGGAGGCTCTGCTGTCGGATGTTCCACTGCCTTGTCTCCTGTCCCGTCCACCTGTGGCACTTGCACTTCTGAGCCTCCAGGAGCCGCGCTTGCAGGAATGGTCGAGAGGTTCTGGGTGTCGGATGAGGCTTCAATCTTTGCTTGAGGAGATGTGATGGAGGTTGAGGTTGCGGCCGCGGGTCCCTTTGTCGACGCCGGGGAGACTGCGGTTGAATTTTCTGCTGCCATTATCGTGCCGGCACCAATCCTGGTGCAGCATGCAGGTCAATCAGTTGCACAATTCCAATTGTCGAACACCGTGAGAACGTCAAGGAAAAGGTGTGACTGATGTTGAGAATTGTCATTCATTAGCTAGCGCTCCGCTGTAGCCATTACAGCGCACCATACAAGCCCAGGCTGACCTTTCCGGGCAACAAAACTGAATTAGCAACAAACAAGTCTTGACAGGGGGAGAGATCTTGGATGGGAGTCTATTCGATTGTCATGACATCTATAGTTCTATATGTAGACGGCTGACAGTTGGCAGTCTTGGAACCATAAAGTACAACCCCTCGTTGCGGCTTTCAAACTTGCAAGGAAACAAATTGACCGTGGCCAGGGACCCCGTCGGCGACGAGGTAGACGACATAAGGTCCTGGTGCTAGTTTGACATCATTTGGCATCAGTGCCGTGACGAGGTATTGGTTTTTTCCCTGACTTGCCCAGTCCTTTTCCTCCAGATATACCATGACGTGGCCCATGTGAACAGAATGTGTCACGAAGCCTCCTGTATATAAAATGATCTCCACAGACTCGGGCATCTTGTCCAACGCAAATTCCACCTGCAAGACCGTCTTTTGGTGGAGCACTTTGTCCGATAGTTGGATATTTCGTGGCCGCACGTTCATCTTGTCCCCTCTCAGATAAGGCGGCGTCCATATCTCTGTCCGGAATTCCGTAGGGAATTTGGTATACTGACTGGTTTGGTTGCAGTCCTTTTCCAGCACAGGCATCTCATTGGGATTGCTGCCTGCAATCAAGATGGTCCCGTCCAAGAGGGGTACTGCAACCGAGTGATACAATCGTGCAATCTTGGTCTCGCCGGAGATTTCCCATTTATCGGCGTTCGGATGGTATATCAATGCCTCGACAGCTGGCAAGTCGGCGATTCCAAAGCCTTGAGCGCCAACTTGAGCACCATTGATCCACAAGACTGTGCCATCAAGTAGCAAGACAGCCTCCACCATAACTCGAGGTTGGGGCATGGTTGAGTAGGTCCAGTGTGGGTCAGAGCTCAGAGGAGTGATTCTCCCGCAGCTGGCATCGCAGGGGCTATCGAGGCCTTGGTGATGGCCTCCACCGCAGATCATGATCTCTGCCGAGTAGTTGCTGGCTTTGTGGAGAGGGAGCATCACGCTACCCCCTGTGTTGGGATAGGTTCGATGCATCCCATCAAGGTCAGGCATCACTTTGATGGTGTGATTGGTAGTAACGTCGAACAACTGCGAGGATCGATCGGTAAAGATAAACAACGAACCATCGGGGAGCAGATGAAGGAAAGGGTACATCTAGTAAGGCTGATTCTTCACCAACAATTCCATGGGAATACTTTGACCATTGCCGATTCCATTGACATCTAGAACCTCGTAGGTCGGATTGTTGTTGCTGTGGTTCATCAAATCCAGTCCATTCAAACTCCCGGCTGCCACGAAAATGCTTCCATCTGCGAGAATTTGTGCTGAAGCATACCATCGGTTGGAAGCTAACTTATTCCCAGGCTCTTTCCAAGAAACGCTTCCACGATCATATTTGAGGTACCGAATGGCGTCAAACCCGTCTTGCACAGTGGGGTCCAACCACAGTAATGGTGCATTACCTCCGACGGTGAGCAGGGTTCCGTCGGCGAGAAAAATGCCACCACAACAAAAGGCATTGGTAGAAATTGAGAGTGGAGTGGCTTGGTGTGTGTCAGGGTTATAAATTGATGAATATGCGAACCTCGAGTTAGGGAGTCGCAATTCTGTCAGCGTCTCGACCTTGTCCACGAAAACTACTTGTCCATCAGGAGGCAGCATGGCGGCATGCATGGCGGGGACTCCAGAGCTTCCCATGACTTGGAAAGGAGATGCCGGCAGGGGCAATGCTTGCTGAACTGCTTGGGCCAGCCGTGCAAGAGCACATAGAAGATAGACACTGGCGGATGAATGCATCGTAGCTATATCGTCATAAGCTATGTCGATGAATAGGTCCAAGATATTGAATGTAACTCGAGATGGAGGAAGAGAGAACAAATTTGGAGATGGCCACAGCATGGGAGGGATACATTCTTCCGTGGCTCTTTCTGTCGGTCGAGTGAAGGTAATGATGAAGAAGAAGGTGTCGGCGGCAGCGGCAGCGGCAGCAGCAGTAGCAGCAGTACTTGCCTGGATTGTCAGTCTACAGTTGGACCTTCTGCAGAATGTGAGATGATCATGAACAAGGTCCTCATTGTCATGATACCGGAGTCCAGATTGTCCAAACTCCAGTCATCTCTCCCAGTCGATCACTGCTCACCTCGACAATGGCGGGTGATTGGAACTTGGCATTGCCGAGAGGTAGTTGAAGTCTTCCAAATGCGCCGTGAACCACAAGCAGACAATCAAATGAGCACTCAAGAGTACGAGATACAATCGAGCTCCCAGTGATGAGCCTCAGTGTTTCACCACTAGGACCAGAGAAGGCAGAAGAGATCTCAACACCTGCATACTCTCTAAAAGGTATAGGTGTATCTTTGTGACGCGATTTGTTCTCACCAGGATGAATGTCGAGGGGAGCTTCGACCAGAACAAGAACGCCCCTGGGTTGTCTGGATAGCTGCGTCAAAGTCTTCAATAAACCTGCCAACAAAGCATTTGCGTGGACTGAGCCATTCCTTCTCTGGGTGGCAGAGAGAGCGGACCCAATGCCCCGTATGAGAACGAGATGGCGAATTTCGTTGGCTGTTGCATTTCTCGGGTGAGTGTCTTGATATATGGCTTGACTGATTTCGGCAACACTTTCGACGAGGCCAGCCATGTCAAAATACTGCAGCACCCGGACATTGCTCAGAAGGTCAATTGCTGAAGCAGAGTTGGTGAGTCCACTTAGGATCGAGTGTAGAAGGGGAATTGCTTCATCACTAGGGGGAGCGACGAGATAGATTCTGGGAATGGATCCTCCAGTTGAAGAGGATACGTTGGTAGGTTGAGCGAGGCTCGCAGCTACGAGATGGAGTGGCAGCGATGGCTAGAAGGTCCACTGGGTTAGTATATGAACGCCTGGTCGCCACGGTGAGAGAGCAGATGAGAGACACAAAGGAGACTTGCCCAACCATTGATGCGAACATCGTCGATGCCTGATAAACCAATACCAATGATTCTCCCAGCCTGCCACAAAGGCTCCATGAGGCTACTCATCCCCGTGACTTGGATGCCCTGTCTGCTCTGTGCCATGGATCCCGCTCCATCAGCTAGCATTGCATCTTGTGAGAATTCCAGTTTGAATAGTGACGAGGCGAGAACTGGGTCCAGCATGTTGAAGATTGCGGTCCACCGGGACGTAGTTTGTTCCACTTGGAGTAACCGAATCTATCATGCATTGTATCGAATGAGTCGTCTCTACAACGAAAGAGAACCCTGTCATTGCTTCGTTCGTTGCTGTTTGAGGGCCAATATGAAGGTGATTGAGGTTGAAGAAGTCGCTGGGGTTTTCCAGCGGAGTATTTATTGCACAAGTGCAGACTGAATATTCTTGATGCAATTGATGAGAATGTCCAGACAGTTACGACTCGATACCTATTGTTCAACTTCCGTCCATCATGTCTGTGCATCCCTCATCGAATGAGCTGATATACTCATATCTCTCTCTTCTGTACTTGAATTCCAATCCAGCACAGGCACCATCATCCTTATCTCCGACCGACGACGATCAAAAATCCTTTGCCACCATCGGTCGGCCAAATTGGCCGCAGCTTGGACCAAGTGGACACAAACTCCACAGACAGACCTCTTCTTCTCCCAGGTATTAGTCAGATGGAGACAGAACGTCGTCTATCCTTCACGTGTCTCTTCTGGCTTCATGTGCGTGGCTGGAGAGCAACGTGTTGGTTTTGAAACCGTTCGTTCTTAGCAACAGCATGTCGTCTCTACCATCGACTCCTCAACAACCCTCAGATATGGCGCCAGGCAGCTTGTCTTTCTGCAAGTTTTGCGACAAGCCCTTCACAAATAGTAAATACCCCCCCCTTAAATGAGCTGCTGGCGAGACTGAACACACGCATAGCCTCCTCATATCAACGCCACATTCGCTACTGTGCACGTCACGTGCGCAGTCGTCCACGATCTTGTCGCAGCTGCAATGCCGCCAAAACCAAGTGTAGCTTTGATTGGCCTTGCTCGAGGTGTGTACAGAAAGGTCATGAGTGTCAGTACAGCGGCTCGGGGTCTGCTATCCAGCAAGGTGGAACAAAACCATCCACTACTCACTCCAAACATCACAATCGAGAACCGGACTACGACGAAACTCCCAGAGCATCGAATGCGGAGAAAGAATCGTGGCTCGATGCGGATTTTCTTTTGACAGAGAATCCAGTCCAGGATGATACTTCTCGCCAGGTGCTGGACCCTACCAGACCAGTCTCGTATCCTGACCTTCCAACTTTTGACGAATTCGTCACATTTGAGGACAACTCCACGGAGCACCATCAGTTCCCGGCCGGGGCATCGCCATCCTTGAAAAAAAGGGAATCTGAAAACACAATGCTTTGGTGTGCATGGATGGACACCAATCCTTCTCTTGCAGTCGTGGCACAGGACAGTCCAATCACGGCAATTCCCTCCCCATGGCCAGATTTCCTCGGGCTCTCACATCTTAGGCGGCCTCGGAACGACCACAATGCAGATATCATCATCCAAGCATTGCGAGCCTTCCCTACCATGATGCTCCGCCGAGAGACATTTCCCTGGTTTATCCATCCTCAGTCCCAACTTTTATCCACCTCGCCCTCGCCAAATGCTTGTCTGCCAGAAGCTCTTTCAACATGTATGAGCATTGCACAGATGTTCTTGTCACGGACTTCGGAGACCAGATCTTTCCATCGCCAGATGATAAATGCAGAGCATCATCGGCTTACTCTCCAAGTCAGTTTCTTCTTGCCCTCGAACATGAATCTCGTGTCGAGACTGACCTTTTCCTAGATGTACCAAATGTCAAAGTATCAACTTCTGTCCGCCTTACAAGCCTGTATGATCTACCTCATAATGCTCATCATCGACTACTCACCGGGGGATGAGGAGAATGGGCGTGTGCTTCTGGGGGGTGTTCAGGTCAGCTCCATCCCTCCCTTCCGTTGCTTCTGTACCCATCTCAACCACTGACATATACAGGGCCTCTACGTTTTGTTCAAACAAGTTGGGGGCACATGTTCCCAAATGGAAGAAGCAGAATCGCGCAAGGCTTGGGAAGAATGGATCTATGCCGAATCCAAAAGGAGGTCAGTCGACAGCTCCTTCAAACTCTCATTAATCTCGCACGGCTAACCCCAACATACCCAACAGATACGCGGCGCTCTGGCTCCTCGTCGGCTATGTCGTCTGCGTCAAGAATGGAAGGCCTTTGGATAGTTCCCAAAGCTACAGATCCCTTATGCTACCTTGTCCCAAGTCCCTGTGGGAAGCAAAAACACAGTCATCATGGGAAGCAGAACTTCAGGCATGTCGCATCTTGAGAACCAGCGCACTGGTGACCTTGGGCGACCTGGTCGACGCACAAAAGGCTGACTACACGCCAATCAATGCCCTGAATCTAGACATGTGGAATGCAGGGACAGATAATCTGGGTACATTGTTGAACCTTGTTTGTACCATGGAATAAAATGTTCGAGCTGAATGTCTCACGTCAATCCTTGGGCGAAATTGGCCGGTGAGTCTGAGTGCTGCTGGTGTCATCTTGGGGTGGACCGTCCACGCGGAAAAATTGGCCGAAGGATGGGTTTTCTATATCAATTGACCATCCACCCAGCTTCGGAGACTGACACATGCAATTCACCTCATCTCTCCTCATCGCTGACCGTTCAATCCATTACTTGGACAGCACAGCAACCGGTCAAAAGATGGCATCCAAAGCCCCTATTGCTTTCATCTCAGGCGGAAACACAGGCATCGGACTTGCAGTGGCCACTCAACTTGCCAGGGACCACAAGTACCATGTGATTATCGGTTCCAGAAATGAGACTGCCGGACAAAAGGCTGCTGATGCTCTGGTGGCGGATGGTTACTCGGCTTCGTCCGTTCAATTGGATTTGGCATCAGATGATTCCATCGCAAGGGCCGCTTCTTATGTTGAAAGCAGACATGGTGTCCTGGACGTCTTGATCAACAACGCGGGCATCCTGATCGACTATGTCCCAGGCGTTCTCGAAAAATACAAAGGACTGTCGACTCGCGAGCTCTTTACCCAGACGCTAAGCACTAACGTGGTAGGGGCGGCATGCCTGACCGAGGCTTTATTACCGCTGCTCCTCAAATCAACACTGCCTCGAATTGTGTTTGTGTCTTCGCGAATGGGTTCCTTGGCCGAAGCGACCAACAAGTCCACTGCTTTCTACGCCATCGACTACAAGGCCTACGACTGCAGCAAGGCTGCCCTCAATATGCTGACTCTCAATTACGCCCGAATTTTGGACGACAAAGGCGGTATGGTCAACGCGGCCTGTCCCGGCTTGGTCAAAACCAATCTCACCAACAACCACCCATGGGGCGCATCAACCGAGGAGGGAGCCCAGCGGATCGTCGAGCTGGCCACAGAATCTAAGGGAGGTCCGACGGCAACATTCTCCGACCGTGCAGGTATTGTCCCGTGGTAGAGGTTGTCGACCAGACCTGAAGAACGTGAGCGGCGACTCGATTACTGCGCGAGACGAGAGAGTGGAACGCTGAAATGAACAAAACCGGTGTAAACTTATGTATGACGCGTGGAGTTGAACACATGAATCACAAGACCCTCCCTACATCACTCAAGCATTCAGTCGTGCATGGACCATCCCTTGTAAGCTTTGCATCAACTTGGGTTGATCTGAGCCCCGTGATTGTCAATTGCCCATCGTGGCCATTTGGGCCCCTTTGTGGAGTCTCTCTTTCCATGACATTTTGTGGGTGCCCTTTGCCCTGGCCTCGGCGATAATTTCCTCGGCCGTCTTGCCGTCGGCGATAGTATTACTCCGAGGTGTACTGGTGGGATCGGGATCCAAAGGTGTTGAGTGGGAATCTTGTCGGTGACGTTCGGTGTCTGTCGAGCGCGGGTCGTCCAAAGAGTCGGCTTCGTACTCTGGTGCGGCGGCCTCCGCTCGCACTTCGGCATAGACAGGCAGAGCTTCAGGTCCACGAGTCCATCGATCGCCTTTAGTCACTGGATCCCCTAGACGCCATTTCTTCACATCATCGGGCTTTAGTAGACAGTCCTCGGCTGGAGCATGGGTGCCGTGATAGTTCCCATCTTTGTCCTTGGCATAATGCTTGCGCCAGGTATCGTAGGGAACTTGTCGCATGCGGAAAGGCGGTAGGCCTTCATCCTCGCCAGAACGTTTCCGCTGGGTGGTCATACCGATCTTTCGAAGAAAACTCTTCCGTCGCGATGGTTCTGGTTCCTCAGCGGCGTCATTATGTTGCCAGTTGACGGCTTCATCCCAGGAAAAGGTGTCGGCCACACCAACCCCGGTTGGCGGAGCCATGCCTGACGGAAGCCGAGGAGGTAAAACTGCAACCGAGACTGTTCGAACTGAAGGCTCGGCCGAATTTGACTGGGACGCGGTCCTAACACGGCCTACAGATTCGCGGCGAGACATACTTTGGGGGTTGGTGTTGACTGAGGGAGGCAATATCTTGCTTGCTGTCGCCGTTGGATCAAGTTGAGGACTCTCCAAGTATTGAATAAATTGGACGAGTCCTGGAGCGGCGAGGGTCTGATTAAATATAGCACAGGTGAATCAAAACTCTTGCAGTTGAGGTCCAGTCGAGCTAATTATGGAACCATGGTTAAGGTTACGTTCGGCGGATGATCGCTCGCTGGGGAGAATGTTGTCTGGATGGTGGCACGGTGGACGTCATCACCAGACCCAAGGAGGATGGAGGGTGGGAGCAGCAGGGGCCCTCCTTGATGAGGCCTAGATTAGCGAGACCACAGAGAGGGGTTGGAACTCTTGCCGAGATGGTATTTGTGGGTGAAGAAAGGCGAAGGAAGAGGAGTGGCTGAGCCAAAGTCTGATTGTGGTCATGCTGGCGATCTTCTTTCAGGTCGGATCAGGCGGCTGGCAGAGTGGGAGAAGAGGCAACGTGTTGATCAAGCTATTGCAAGGTACTGGATTATGCAAAAATCTGCTTGCAACGCAGGTTTCGGTGCCTGCTGACTGCTCACTGCTCAGTGCTGGGTGGTGCCTTCCCCATCCCAAAGTACTAAGGTAATAGTCCCAATATGAACGAGGATCCCCGAGCTTTCCTGACCACCTGCAGGTTTCCACACTAACAAGTACTGTGCCTAGGAAGGCATAGGTAGGCAACAAGGTTAATGCTTTTAAGGCGCCCAGAGCACGTCACTCGGGGCTCCCCGGCCCCAAGTGCATCCCACAAGCCAACCCCAGACTTTAGGTACTTTAGGTGTCACCTGAGGTAATCACGAGCGAAGTGGGCTTTCCCACAGGTTGACGATCAAAGCTTAACCCAAGCACCCACAACTTTTCATGTGTCCTCCGTATTTTTGTTCGACGCCTTGACCTGGAAGAGTTGACACTCACTGCCCGGTGACAAGTGACAAGAACCGATCATACCATCTACATTCCCTATCTTATACCCACATCAGCCTGTAAAGCCTAAAATCGAGATAATTGACAGAGACATGCATCTCATCACGTGAGATGAGACGACGGGGAGTGCCTGCCTTGAAATTTGTCCCTGGACGCGTGTCACGCGCCTGCTGTTTCTGGCTTGCCAAGACCTCGCGTTTGAACCAAGAGACAAACGCGACGACGACGCAAGGCTGCTGCTGCTGCTGCTGCGCTGCCCGCTTCTTCTTCGTCCATGACCTCGCCACAACATCCACATCTTTAGGGTTATTAACCCTAAGACTCTATCAAGTCCCCCCAAACTTCATCATCTCTTGTTGTTCTTCGTTCTGATCGCATGCTAGTCATCCCACCATGGCCCCTCGCAAAGCTGCAAGGTCAGTCAGCAGAAGAAGTACACCTCAGTCCCCGCCTAAACCACCCGCTTCTCTATCTTCACCCTCCTTAGCTTCTCAGATTCACGACAAACAGCCCAGCCGCTCACGCAGTCGTGAAACTTCAGTGCTCGAGAGACCACATCAGCACCAGCCGAACCCAAACGCTCGAAGCCTGTCTACCCTTGGCGAAAACGATGAGGACGCCAATCTAACTTCGCTGGGTCCTCGTTCAGCCCCATCGTGGTCCGATCATTCTGAATCCATGAGCCAGGACTTTCAGGCCGACCTTGACGAACTTGATCGAGATACTGTCATCGATGACCTGAGGGATCTCTACCATAACTCCAAAGCCCTTCTTTCACTCTTCTCTAGTCCTGGTCACCAGAGCCTCTCCTCAATAATTGCCCAAGTCTCTCAGCCAACCTCATTGATCGGTCGACGGTTTCGACATCAAGCCAGGAATCTCCAGAGAACTCGCCAAAGCTTTGGTGAGAATGACCTCATCAACCCGAGCCTCATCGTATGCAAAGTCGCAGGGGCTACTGATGTATCCCAGGTCGAGGATGCACTATGGAGACCAGATGCCATCCTCTATCTGGCAAACATATCTCTTCAGCTCATCTCCTTGTTCATGACTTCGCCTGAGGATCGCAACCACCTATCATTCATGTATAACAATTTCCCTAATCACTTTGCCGGCCCACCTGGCAGTCCTTTTGCTCTGAAGTCTAGCAAGACCACTTCTGAGCTCGTGTTGGAAATTACCACCCAGCTCTTTCTCCATAACGCCACCGAACAATACACTCGCTCCGATTTTGACCCACACCAACACCTGCAAGCCGTCTTTTGGGACGACCCCGACCGCTTGCTCCGAGATTATGATGCTGATATGGAAAGCAAAGCCCTCGCCAGGGTCAAAATGCTCCAAGATCAGCTCGACTCAGACCTGGACCTTGCCACACAACTTCGAAATCTTAGTGAGCGTTTTCCATGGTCCAAATTTCTCCGTCGAGTTCTTCAATGGTCAACTGAACGAGCAACCGAATTAGACCGCATTATCGCGTCTCAAAGTGGAGTGGACAAGATTGTCGACTCACTCATCAAGGACGACCCTCAGAGCGGCACCGAATCCCTAGACACAACGAGTGAATCGGGTCCCTCTGACCACGAAACCACTTCGCCCCAAGCCACCACACACACTCAGCTGGATGATGCAAATGAAACCCATCTTACTCGCGCTTCCACGCCGTCCAAGCCGCTCACCGGAGTACGTATGCATGTAGAATACCAACAACTGAAGAAAGAAAAAGCAAGACACGCCGCTCAAGTTTTGGGATTAACTCAGCGTGCGAACCGTCGCAGTCCCGCTGCGGAGCCATTGCGAGAAATCCCGCAATCACCAACTCCTGTAGAAGATTCCCTTGATGCTCAAGACGATGATGCCAATCCCAACGATCAACTTCTGGGAGCCCAAGAAGACGATAATCTTGATCAAGACGGCGTCATGGGCGATCATGATTTGTGGGCGCCACCCGCGAATGTCTCATCACCGCCAGAGATTGTTCCCACTCAAACAACTGCCATCATCATGCAAACTCTCGCCAGAAAAGCCGCTGAAAGAGAAAAAGACAAAGGGGGCATACTTCCAAAGAGGTCACTCTTGGACAGACAGGCTACTGCAACCAGGGAGGAATGGACTGCCGATCCTGACTTTGATAGCGTACCGATGCCTGAACCCATCCAGCGAGCCCAAAAGCGGCCCTCCCCCGTTCACAGTAGCCAAAGTGGTGAAGAGGAAGACTTCGAGGAGGATAGTCGGCCGCACAAAAAAGCACACCACACTGTTGGTAGGCAAGGCGTGTCGAAGAGCATGCACTCGCAACAGCCCTTTTTCACAAACAATACCCGAAATGTCAGGCCCGATCCCGACTCTCGCCGCCCCCAGTTGATTTCGAATCTCCAGAGCCTCTCATCCACGGCGCCACTTCGTACCGCCCAACCATCAAGCTTCCCAGTAGCTGCTGTGCCGCAAGCAAGCCAAGCAGTTGTTGCGAATTTGGAAGCCAAAGTGCTGACTGCCCAGGCTCGCGAATGGCACCATCCCAAGACTCAAGTTCGCATTCCATGGAGCGAACAAGAGACTGAACGGCTCATTGAAATGGTTGGCCACTTTCACACCCAATGGTCGGCCATAATGAAGAGAGACCTGGTGCACGAGGACGGCCCTCGACTCCAGAACCGCAATCAAGTCGCCCTCAAGGACAAAGCACGAAACATCAAGATGGATTTCCTCAAATCAAGGCGAGCCTTGCCCCCTGGATTCGAGGATGTGTCTATTACCGCGAGGGACAGGGAAAACTTGATGATGATGGGCGTCCATCTTTCTGAAGGCCGATATACTGGCCCAAATCTGAAGTTGCAATGATGCCCATACCTCGGAAACCCATACAAATTTCATTGACTGCCGTTCTCCATCCTGGTTCCGGTTTCGATACGGATTGGATTGTGATATTATTATTTAGATACCCATCGATTCTACTCGGGGCGGGCGCTCTCGTGTTTGGGGTATCGTACACGTCATCTAGAGATATGAAATAAAGGTGATTGATTGTATCAATTGCAATTATGAAGGACTATAGGTAGCTTATATCATCTCACGTTGTATCTCGACACCCGCTGTCTGCTCCATAGTGTCAAAACGCACGGCTATATTGGTCCATGAAAGTAGTAACCACACTAATGAGCATTCCATTCAACTACAAAATAAACAGCGGATGCTGTCCATTTGTATAGACAAGCAGGAATGGCCCAAGTAACACCAGGGATACCCAACACCGCCCGCTGTACAATTTATTTTCAACGCCGTCCATCATTCATTACCGTCGTCGTTTTGGGGGTATCATTCCATCCTTGCTGCCAAATCGGCCAAACCTGATCGATCCCCCAAAGTGTCACCATCACCAACGCCAGAAACCCGTTTCCCTGCTCAAAAGCTGGATATTCAATTCAACCCAGCCGCTTGCTCGAAAGCCCGACTTGATATTTGTCCCAATCATCCGTTCCTTGAAACAGAAATCGAGCAACCTCTCGTTGTTCATCGTCCCATTGCTCCGGTGCTTCCAGATCCAAGCCCATGGCTTTGGCCTGCAATTCCGCCGTCGACGCTGTTGAGACTGCAGGTTTTTCCACCATCTCAAACCCGCCCGAATCAGCATCTCCCATAACAAGATCTCCTTCATAAATGCTCTTCACCTCGTCGAACGGAGACAACCGGTCCCAGCCGCCGAGATCCAGTCCTTCAATGTCCTCGTCAATCTCCCTCAGGTTTATCTGCCAAGATTCATCGTCTGGCTTTTTGACCTCCTGAGGCTTTACATCGACACCAGCTTTTGGAGGGAGATCCTTTTCACTCGTAGTCGGGCTCTTGGACTTCTCCGTGCTAGTGTCGGTGAGAGCGCCATTGGCACCTTCCGTGATCTTTCGCCACCTGGGGCTGGTGTTCCGATACTGCTCCAACATGCGACTATGCAGGTCTTGTTGTTTCTGATGCGATGGAAAGAGGTCGTCCCAGTCCTCACTGTTTCCAAAAGCAACGCGCAGCTGCTCTAGGCTGGTATTGGTGTGTTTCCATGGGTCATCAATGTCGTCATGCTTACTTTCGGGTCGACCTCTCGCCTGGCTAGGAATTCTTGACATGGTGACTGGAGTTGCTGTTGTGCTCCCGGCTTTGACGGCCGCTGGCGTTTCATTGTCCAAATGCTTTCTCTTCTGTTTCCCGTTCTCATCGAGGTTAAAGGCGAAGCGAAGAGACTCATCAAGAAAAGCCAGAGGGTCTGTGACAGGTTCCATATCAATCTTGTGTGCCATATTGTGATGCTGGTCAAGTTCGGCTTGGGTAGTAAAGCCTTTGAGTTGATGATCACAGCCGACCACAGGACACTTGAAGTGTTCGGGGGCTTTGGATTTGACGATCGGAGAAGTCGTGGCTGTCGGTGTGATAGCTGCAGCAGGAGCGGCCGGCGTAGCTGGCGCCTGCTGATTATTCTTCTTACGCCGCTTGGGATCTGCAGGCAATTTGAGGTCCTCCTGCCGCAGACCAGCATTGGCGTATTTTGGCGTGCCCTGGCCTGGTTTTCCACCCAGTTCGAAGGGTGGCTGTGAGGTAGTCGGCGCAGGCGGCGCTTGATTGGCCTTGCTCAGTGACTTTTTGCGCTCTTGTTCCTGCGCTTCCAACAGGCTCAGATTTTTGGGTGTCAATTGAGCCGCGGCAGGGCGTTGCTGTTGGGACTTGTTCTGTTGAGGGATTTGCGCCGCTGTTTGTTGAAACTTGAGTGTGACGTTGTTGATGATCGCTTCTGCGTTATCTGCCGTAATGCTGAAGTGGTCCACAAGTTCAAAGCTCTTATTCTGGAGCGCCTGAGGTTTAAATTGCGAAAAAAGCTGGATTTTTTGCATGATCAATTGTTTTATGGCAGCTTCGTTCTGCTCCATGCGATAAAAAGCGACCAGGAAAGCATCGAATCGGCCGAGCATATTTTTGACGTTGTCGGATGTCAAAATGTTCCTGATGCGTTGCCTACTGGCAGCGTCCATGTTGGTATGTGGTCGATGCTTAGGTAGGCTGCTCTGAACCTCCTTGGTAAGCTCGGCGATCCTGCGGGCGGCGACTTGCTGGCGCTGCCAATTCACGTAGGCTTGCTTTTTTTGCGGGTCCAACGCAGCAAATTGCTCCTTGGAAAGTGACTGTGGTGGTCGACCGGCATCGTTTGACTGCTGGGCCACCTTGTTGACCGTGAGATCGACCATCTCATCTTCGTTCGGACGTTTGACTTTGCTGTCAACCTGGGCTTGGGGTTGACCTGTGCGGGGCCCTTGGATTGAGTTTTGCCGTCCCGGCGTGTTTTGTTGACCAAGATTTGGTTGCGGTGGCATTTGTGCCATCATTTGGGGTGCCATGCCTGGCATCAGCTGACCTCCCTGAGCTGCAGCTTGCTGCTGGAGGGCTGCTTGTTGCTGTAGCTGCTGTTGCTTCTGACGCTGATGAAGTAACATCCGGATCTGATCATCTGAGGCATTGGCTAATCTGGGATTGGAAGCTCGTATCCTCTGGATGTCTTGGGGCGTGGGTACTCGAGGAGCCTGGGCGGCCATCATTCCGGGAGCCTGTTGGGGAATGATATTTTGCATAGGCTGCGAGAAGCTTTGCTGCTGAGCTGGGGGTTGCGGCATTTGTTGCGGCTGTTGCTGCTGCTGCTGCTGGCCAGGTATTTGTCCCGGGGTTGCCTGGCTCCTTGTCTTCATCAGATGTGCAAAGTGCGTAGCTTGAATATTCATCACTGAAGGCATTGGCAGATTCGGTAAAGGGTTTTGAACAAGCCATTGCTTGAGTTGGGACCAGTTTTTCACATCAGGTACTCGTGTATGCTGGCGAACACTGTTTAGAACGGGAGCGGGAACAGGTTGAAGATCCATAATCTTCATTTGTTGTTGATTAAGCTGGACGGGCCTCGGCTGTTGAGATTGTGGTGGAATATTTTGACCTTGTGGTTGCTGCTGCTGCTGCTGTTGTTGTTGTTGCTGCTGCTGCTGAAACTGCATTTGACGTTGGCGCAGCATTTCTTGATTTGATTGCAGCTGTCCTGTATTTCCGGGCATCCCAGATTGGTCCTGCCCCGACATAGCCCCTGCGGACAGCGACTGTTGCATGTTTGCTGGTCCAATGTTACCATGGCCAAGAAAAGTACCATTTTGCATGGATGCATTGGGCTGAGATTGTTGGAGTTGCATCGGCTGTGGCTGTTGCGATGCGCTCCGTTGCATGGCGTTGCCTTGTCGTTGGAAGTGCATGAGGATGTTTCGCCATTCACTTTGGGGCTTTTGACGAAGCATGGCTTGCAAGGGGGCGGGAAAGTTGGCCAAGGCTTGTTCGCGCTTCTGAGGGTCCTGCATGGCCATTTGGGGTTGCTGTGATTGTTGCATTGGGCCCGGGACCTGCATCTGCTGGTTCATCATGGGCGTGCCCGAGGGTGGTCGTGAGACTTGTTGCGAACCCGGCTGAGGACTCGTGCCGGCAATATTAGGACCAACTGGTCGGTTGAGGGCGGAAAGAGGAGTGGTAGATTGGGACGGTCGTTGGGTCTGAGGTTGTTGTTGATTGCCGGCCATTGATTGAGCCCGGGCTTGAAGAGCTTGTGCCTGCTGGTTTTGAGCCTGCATCTGGGCCTGTTGTATCTTTGTAGCCTGGGCGTGTTGTAAGCGCTGCTGCTGGGCAATAAAGGCAGGGTTGTGTGCATTCTGATTTTGTTGACCCATTCTCTGGTTCATCATTTGTTGCTGTAGACGCAGCTGTTCCGCACCAACTCCCTGGCCATTGCTCGCGGGCACCACCAGTTCACCACCCTCCTGAGCGCGCAGACCCTCGCCTTGCAAGCCTTGAAATCGGCCCATGTCGCCCATGGAATTGTTACCTTGGCCCTGTTGGCCTGCAAGTGGGCCGAGCATATTGTTGGTGTTGGCGGAGGGATTGGTACCAGGGCTGCCTCCGCCACCTTCGAGGTGTTTGCGTCTCCGAAACTCCTTGGTGGCAAGCATGCGAAAGTAGTAGATGATGGGGTCGACGGCTTTCTGGGCGAGATTCTGACGCAGCTGGGGATTCATTTTCTCGACAATGTTCCGCATTTCCTCCTTGGGAGTCAATTTTGCGAGCTCGGCAGCCCTGAGATTGATGGCCTTGTTGTCGTCATTAGTTAGTTCAGACAGATGCACGTTCTTCTGTTGCATATTGTTGACCGCCATCATGTTGTTCTGGCCAGAGGGATTGGGATTTTGAGCCATCATTTGTTGAGCAGGTCTTTGTTGTTGTTGTTGTTGTTGTTGTTGCTGCTGCTGTTGCTGCTGCTGGGGTGTCTGCTGTGAATTTCCCTGTTGCTGCTGCTGCTGCTGTTGCGGCTGCTGTTGTTGTTGGCCAAACAGAGGGGAAGACTGCATTTGTTGTTGAATATGAGGAGCGAGGGCCATGTTAGGGTTCATCTGGGTCATGTTTTGTATCTGAGGATTGAAATTTGTCGACATCTGCATGGTTGGCATGCCCATGGATTGCATTGCAGCGGGGTTGGATTGAGTCATTTGCTGCATCCTCTGATCCCTGATTTGACCGAGCTTTTCACTACAGTCCCTGGTGTAGTCTTCTCTAGAGGTGGACTGGGTGAAACACTTGCGTTCAAACTGAAGGGCAACTTCGATGGCGCGGGGCAATTCGACAGGAGGGCGTACGAGACGAAGAGAGTCGACGAGGAGTTTGATTTGAGCGGCCCTCTCGCGCACACTGACCCCGGCCTGCCAGCCGGTGAAGGGGCCTTGTGAATTGAGCATATCAAAGATGTGTTGCTGGACAGATGGATGACTGAGAGACATTTGACCGGCCATTTGCTGGGGCAGGCCTCTCGGCTGACCCATGTTGTTCGTCATCTGAGTAGGCATCTGGTTGGGCATCTGGGCTTGCAAACCCATATTGGTCATATTTGCCATGTTGCCCATGCCTCCCATGTTTCCCAAGTTAACCGACATGTTTGAGCCCATCTGAGGGGCCATCTGGTTGGGCATTTGACCACCCATCTGGGCATTCATAGCCATCTGTTGCATGGTATTGGGCATGCCTCGACCCATGCCTGCCATGTTCTGGAACTGCTGAGGGTTCATGATGGCGACGACGGCAGGGATGGAGGAGCAGTGGCCCTAGGTGACGGCCCAGTGAGCCTAGAGCATCCGCGTGTGTAGATGTGTTGAGTCGTGGGAAGACAAGTGAGAGGATGAGGAAGTGAAGAGGGTGGGGGAGTCGAGGTTATGAGAGGAAGTGCTGGGGGCGCGGCGGCGGGAGAGAGGTGTGATAAAGGTCCAAGGGGGCTGCTTGTCGAGGTAGGACAGAGTCGACGGGGCGGAGGTAGGTCAAAGTCGATATTCAAATTATGACGGTGGGACAAACTAAAGTCTAAGTTCAATGGACAACAGGTTGTTTTGGTTTGAGAAGAATAGCGGAGTGTAGAGGGGTGTGTGGATGTTGCAGGCCATGTGATTTGGGCAGTGAACAACCGGCAAGTTCAGAGACGGACGAGGATCGGTGAGCGTGTAAGTTGGGAGAAAAGTGTTCGAGGTGATGGGAATGAGTATGAGAGGGTTGAGTGAGGATTGAGGTTGAGAGTGAGGATGATGGTGAGCCCAGGTTTTGTAGAGGTGGAAAAGAGGACGTTGGTGAGGGCCGCTGTTTGGTGAGTCTGGTGGTGAGTCTAAACTGTGGGTGGAGATGTAAGTACGGAGTAAGGTTGGTAACTTTTAGAAGGGCGGAGGACAGAGGGCAGAGGGCAGAGGGTCTGGTGTCTGTATGTCTGGAGCCTGGTGTCTACCACAGCGGACTTTGGAACCTCCCACGCCTCCTTACGACTTTGCTGCTGTTGTTTGGTCTCTTGTTCTCGACCAAGTGGGTCTTTTGGCAAGGTGCAGATGGTGCAGATGGTGTACTCCGTAGATGCTACAAGATGCTGTCGTGTCGTTGGTGCTTCTTTGGTTGACTTGGGTGGAGGTTGACGCTACGGATTCGCGTTCGTATTGGGCTAACACTGGTCACAAATCACGCCCGGGCTTTGACAGGTAGGTAATCCGTAGTTGAAAGTCAACGCACTCCCACTGCGGTTATTATTCTATGGTTCCACGAAGCGTCGATCTGGAGTATCAAATCCCCGCTGCTGTTACTTTTGTCCACCTTAAAAGGAACTTTTACGCTTCAACATTCAGCTGGAAAGGAAACCCTACTAAAAGACTCGGGCAAAGTTGTGGGAGTTCGAGCGACCATGTGAGGCGCAGACCCTAAAGGTCGTGTCTAGGCGTCCCTGAGGCCCTCGGCCACTCAGAAGCCAAGTATTGGGCAACTTGGTTGGCTGTTCAGGGAGTGAATGATTAGGCGGCAATAATAATGGAGGGTGGCAAGCTTAGCCCGACGGGCCTTCTCAGGTTTGTTTCAACTCTGCTAACAAGTGTCAAGACACCACGAGACATTCATGACAGCAGCAGAACCGGGAAATCCATCTCACATCCAGTCGCCTGATGACTGGAACGCCCAATGAAATCAAGCGAGTGTCGGCTGCTTGATGTCGCAGCACTGATCAGTACCCATTGGGTTTTTCACGTTGGCTTATTCGCTGACCCAGCTTGATGACAATGACTCGATTGACCTCTTGGGTCTTCTACTTTGTCCTGCCTCGTGATGACCTTGTTCGAGGCCAACCTCATGTAATCTTTGTCCTTTGCCTGACCACAAACCTTGTCGGACGAGGACCACTGAGGAGAGAGCAGAGAGCATGCCCAGACATAGTGTGGAATAAGAGCAGCTTCCTTACTTCACGCATAGACAAGGACAATTGCCTCACCACAAGCCCAAGGATTGTCGTGTTGTGGTTGGTAGTCACAGTCATCCCTGGCCCAGAGTTGGGCTTAGACGAATAAAATATACGTAGCGAGTAGCAGCTGCAACTAACGCTAAGTCGCCTACAGAGCTCTAGGAATCACTCCTAGATTCTCTCTCTAGCCTCTAGGGCAATAGGGCACTCTCTCCAGGGCACTCTCTCCAGGGCACTCTCTCCAGGGCACTCTCTCCAGAAGACATTTTTTCCTACAATAGGACACTAAACCCAATGTAGAACCTACTGAGCGAAGCGAAGTAGGATTATGCACTCACCTTCGACGTCACTTCGCATACGCCTATTGCCGTGGCTCCCGTCAGCCAGGCTGGGGTTGTACTCCGTATGTGCACCTACAACTTTCCTGGGTTCATTAGGTACCTACCTAAGGGACTTACCGCTACCGCTAATGTACTTTAGGTGTCTGCCTAAGGTATTAAGCAAGTAATTAGTACTTGTGCAAGTACAGTAGATACCTGCCTAAGTAGACACGCCACACGTACCAGATTCGCCTACGTCAGCAGTCCATATCCAAATGATCACGGGAGTGTCACAGGCTGGGTGGCGCCTTCCCCCAGAACTCGGCAAGAATGAGCCCTGACCAGTAGGAAGGAACAATCGAGGCAAATCATCCGCAGCTTCCATCACCTTTCGTTGGTTGATCGTTTCTTCTTCTCACATTCTCAGGTCCTTTTGGTCCTTTTCCTATTCTCCCACGCCTCTCCCTCTCCCTCCTTTCACACATCACAGCCAACCTAGACATAATCGACCCTGTAATAAGGCGTCTAGGGTATCCTCTCGCCATGATCTCTGAGATACCCTCGTCCATTCCGCTGTCACCAATCTAACACCATGTCCGATTCAGCCTTCACCCCCTCCGTCGCCTCATCTCCTCCCTCCGCAGGCTCGATCGTTTTCACTGTCCTCGCCCTCCTCACCATCTCCTCCGCCGTCCTCTTTCTTTTACGACACTACCTTCCTCTCCGCTCGACTCCTGCCTATCTGCTCACCCCAATATTCTTCTCTCTAGCCCTTCCCACGAGCGCCCTCATTTTGGTCCCCATCGACCTCGCATCCAGCGCTAGACTCACTGATCATGGCGGCAAGGGTATTTGGTTGCCTGAGAGGGCAGTCTTGGTCGCCTGGAGAATCGTTTATTGGCTCACCTTCGTTCTGACGTGGTTTATTCTCCCATTTCTCGGCGAGTACATGGATGCTGGCTATCGGGACTCCAAGGCTCGTATGACATATTCCCTGCGCGCAAATGGCAGGTATCAGCTCATTGTGCTGGTTTGTGCCATTGCAGGCCTGATCTACATGATATTTTCATATGGTTTCGATTTCACTGCCATCAAAGCCTTGGTCATGGCTTTGGCTTATGTTTGGGGATTGATACTTGCCATCTATCTCATGGGTCATGGCCTTGTCGCACTTCCTCGAAAGCTCTTTCGCAACGCTGATATTAGTGGGAGCCTGCGCCGCACCCAGGCTCGCGCGCCTCGAGTTCACGAAAAGCTTGAAGATGCTATTGCCGTTCTGATCGATCTTGAAGCCCAGGTTGCTTCGCTAAAACAGCGCAAGACTGGTTCTGCACGCGACTTTGCCGAATGGATCGATGAGCTGGAGGATTTGACCGCTTACTCCGAGATTCGTTCTTTGGCAAATCCAAGCCCATTGATGACGGACTCTTCCACCGCTGTTCCTGCCGTCATTACCGAACGTTATCTCGCCGACTTGACCAGGAGACTCACACGAGCTCGCTACCGCCGCGCAAGATACATTCGCGAGTGGGACCATATCGTGAAGATCGCTTCAGACCTCCAAGCTATTCTAGACTCCAAGGCATCCAAGAAGCTAACTTTTGAGTCGACTTCATCTTCTCCCCGCCGCTTCTCGCTTCTTACTCCCTACATGCGCTACCATCTTCATGTTCACCTCGCCCCTTATGCCCGTCTTGTCCTCGGCGCCGTACTCTCAGTCGCATCTATCGCCATTATCTGGTCCGAAATCATCAAGTTTCCTGCGCCGCAACTATCTGCCGTCAGTCTCACCGTCATTCACCGACCTAATGACCAAGATTATCAGATTGGTTTTGGCGGACAATTAATGGCTTCGGCTTGGATCTTGTACATGTGTATCTGCGCACTCAGCAGCGTCAATGATGTGCCCACCTGGAACCAGCGAGCCCTGGTGAGACGAAACACGTACCCAGAGTCTGCATGTTGGTATGCCGGCCAGATCGCCAAACTGACAGTCCCGCTGGCCTATAACTTCTTGACCTTCCTGCCCAAAGACATTCATCGCAACTCAACCTTTTATAACTTTCTCGGCCGCCTTATCAACTTGACGCCCCTAGGAACATGGTTCGATTACCTCTTCCCCATCTTCATTCTTCTCCCTGTCTGTGCTACGCTGTTCAATCTCTACGGGAGAATTAAAAATATCCTTGGCTTCGGAATCTTGGAAGATGAAGACGAGCAGGAGGACAACCCCTCGGGATTTGGCACTGGAGGGTGGCGGGAAGGGAGAGATCTGATCGCACGTGACCTGCAAGGAAATCGATCCACTACACTGGGACTCGGCGAATCGCCTCGGGTCAGCCTCGATATTCCTCGTGCGAGGAACCATCCCACGCGATGGGTTCCGCCTTCAGATCGTGCAGGCGCAGCGACGGCACCGCTTGACTCTAGAGTACAGCCCGCGCCGGGTATGGCCAGACAGCGGGCTCCGCCGTTGGATCCTGAACCCGAAGAGGAGAATTTCTTCACCTTGTTTGGGCGACGGGTGAAGAACACGATTGATACAATCGACACGCCACGATGGATGCAACCTGGTGGGTCGGGGTCTCGCCTCAGTCCGACGAGCTCGTCTGGACTGCGAAGACCGAAATGGATGGGAGGTGATGGTGAATCGGGGGCCGATGGCAGCCGTGGGCCCAGCAACTTTCTTGGGTTTTTTGGAGCCGGTAGCGAGACTGCAGCGGGCAGCGAGAATCGAGGCCGAATTGTATTATAAAGTCATGTAATCTAAACTAGAGGCCCAGTGGCAATTAATAATGCACAGATTTTGATACTTGAACAAAGAGCATCATCAGGAATGATCCCGGAGCTCGTCTCCGAGGCTGGTTGACATTCTCAAGTCGTAGTGTATGGTGGCATTGTATTTCGTGACTTTTCCATAGTCCGCAGGCTGCTCTAGAGCCAGATGCTGGTTCCGAAACGTGAACAAGAACGTGAACGTGAACAAGAATCCACCATGTCGGGCCTCTACATCCAATCAAACACAAGCACATCGCGGTCGCGTTACATGACATCCTCGTTTTCCAGGTGCTATGGCAGCCCCAACCCCGGCTGGCTGCCCGACCTTATGTACAATCAAATTCCACGCGGTCCCCCGGGAGGACCACCTCCCATCGGGTACCTCCCGTCCACACCAGGAACGGCGCTCGCTGGTGGGATTCGGCCGCCGCCCATGCCCGGGTATCCGCCTCTCGTGGATGAATGTCCTCCGCGTGCTCGACGACCTGGGCCCGTCATTCCTGGCAGCGCAAAATCAGGATTGCCCTGCAACAAAACATCCTGTCTCATTTGCTGTTGGTCTCGAGCCCCTGGTGGCCGTCTCATCGGGCCCAAAGAACTAAACTCTCCTCCATTGCCGGGTCTCCAGTTCGGATTTACCCCTCGCTGGCTCACACTAGTGAAATTGCTCGTCTCGCTTTCCGCTGGAGACCTGGCTCCCGGCAGGTCTTCGTACGAGTGACTAGGCGGGAGATTCAACGGCTCGGGCCGGTATTGATGTTGTTGGCCTGGCGTTAGTAGCATGGGGACACGGGAGTCCTCCGGATCCTCTTCCACAGGTAAAGGCGGTTGGTCTTGCGCAAACCGGGGGTCGACATCCTCATAGTAGATGTCGCTGCCACCAGAATTGACACGATGTCGAGCCGGAGCGGCGTCCCTGTATCCCGCAACATGGCTTTCTCCAGATGGCATTTCGGCCGGCAATGCATCATAGCGGGACGGTGACCCTGGGCCCCCCCAATTCGTTCGAGGCGGAACATATCTATTTCTGTTAGCCGGAATCGCCGGGCGACTTTGCTGATACTCACTGGTCTTGGCTCTGTGATCGTTGAGGGGAAAGGGCTCGGGCGGGAAGTTCACTGAGCTCGGCTGGCTGTGGGCTTGATACAGGCGGCATGGCTGGAGGAGGCGACATGCGACGAGTTGTGCTGGATGGAGACTGGGCTCGGACGCCATAAGGAGACATTCGCTCCCTGCCAGGAGAATGTACTCGAGCTCCATATGGGCCATGGTGATCATCTGGGCCTTGAGTATAGATGGATGGGCTCATTGGAGTATAGTTTCTGTCCTCAACAAATGGTTGAGACTGGGCAATTTGGGAGTCGACTGGGCCGTCAGCAGGCATCCTGTCGGGGTACTGCTCGGGAGGAGCATAGCGGTCTGGAGCTTGGCCATCATGAGAGAGATAACCGGGCGGAGGACGGCTCTGCCCGTTGGCCATCATGGCTCCAGCGGCGCCGCCAGCAAGGGCCCCCGCCGCCATTCCGGGGCCAAACGAGCCCCTGCCACGCCCACCGTAGCCCCCTCTCATATCAGGATTGAAAGCACCACGACTCGAGTAGCCTTGTGGAACTGGCGGCCCGCGTGGTGCAGGGGCACCACCCCGTGAAGGGTAGCCGGGACGAGGAGCATAAGAACCTCTGCCTCTTGATCCATAAGCACGCGCACCAGGAGGCGGGATACTCCCATCGCGATATGGGCCTTGGATACTCCTCTCGTCACCCGATAAACCTCGTTGAACTGAGCCCGGGCCCATGATGGGGACGGGTGCTGTAGGATCGCCGTACTGTTGATCTGCCGTGCCATCGCGTGGTGGCCTGCTGCCAGATCTGGAGGGAGGCTGGTAGAATCTGTCGGATGCATTGTCGCGAGAGGATGAAGCAACTAGAGTGTTTTCATTGGACATTGCCTGGGTTCGTAACGGTTGTCGGTCGTCTTCGGCCTTTGATGAGGTGAATGTGGCGAAAGTAGGGAGCCTGTCGGCACCAGGGGCACCATTGACCATTGGCATGGAGGGTTCAGGGTTGAAAGTCTGACCGGCGGACTTGAGTTCCTGTGCAGCTTGTCGGTTATAAAAGTTCTCTCCGCTCATCTCTGCGTTCTCGGCGATTCTCTTCTTACGAGCCTTTCTAGAGACGAGAGTTCTCCGCATGGCGCAGGTGACAACACCAGAGGCTGTGATGAGGATTGTGGAGGCTAGAACAATCCATCCTCCCCATTGTAAGTGAGGGACGAAAAGGAGGATGTCGACGAGGAAGGCCAAAAGAGTGACCAACAAAGTGGGGAGGAGCAGGATGAGCAGTCCGAGGAGATATCTGGCGGAGTGGGAGGGGGAGTGAAGATGGGCGGCGGCGGCGAGGGCCAAGCAGATCAGGTTACAGAAGGCTGCAACCGGGTGGACAATGAGAAGGGCAGACAAGGAGTGCCTCGCACTGGAAGGCAGATTGAAGTCGCCATCACCGGCGGAGCCAAAAAGGCCGTCTAAGCGGATGTCAGCAGGTGGAGGTTCGTCAGGACTCATGGGAAACAATACCGGTTGTGTACCCGACTCTTATGCCACTGCATCCATTGTTTGGCTGGCAGTAACCAAAGACGCCGAAGTCGACGCCAGCAAAAGTGGCGATTGGGATGGCTCTGATGACGGGGGTGGAGAGGACGGACAGGAGCAGAAAGACGAAGGATATACAAAGTAAAATGGTCAAGGGAGTCGCAGGCCTCAGCATGGTTGGGGGATCAGGTCAGGGGCGCATAGGCGCAAAGTCTGATCGAGAAGGAGGTAAGCATGGGGGAGCACCAGTTGCAGATGATATTGGCGGCGATGACTAGAGACCAGGCTTTACCGTGTGGTGATGGTTGTAAGAGAGTACAGGGGAGACCTCAGGTCGGATGGGTATGTGGAGGAAAGGCCGAGGTGAGGAGTACCAGACTCTAAGTGAGAGGAGAGCGAAGGATGAGGACGGAGGAGGGTTGTGTGAGAATGAGCGTGAGTGATAGGAGAGGATATGGAAAGACAAGGGAAGGGAATCAAGAGGTGAGTTGAGGAAGAAGTAGAACCTGGTGGAGCAGGTGGTGGACGTGGAGGAAGAAGTAAAGAGGATGAGGAGGAGAAGAAGGAGGAGAGGATGAGGACATGAGGCGCAGTTCCAATAATGGGCAGTTGTAGCAACTTGCACTCGCACTTGCACTTGTACTCGTACTTGTAGTTGACAGCTTCCGTGACCAAGTTTGGAATGGCAAGAGCAATGGGGGGGACATGGGCGATTAGGTTTGGTTGGGTTTCCTAGGCACCCGCTACGCCCACTACTTACGCCCACTGCGGACTCGACTACGGAGTAAGTTAAAGCTCTAGGCTTGGTTCACCACTTGTGCCACTGTAGAAAAGGCCGAGAGAATCCCTCCGGCTTGGGTAGCCTGGCGCGCCTGGCCAAGCGGCAGAGTGTTTACCAGAAATCTGCAGCGACAGTATTGGTTGTAACTTAGGAGTGAGTACCTACGGAGTAGGAGTAGGTACTAGGTAGTCTTGTAGCCTACAAGGACTCCGAGCCAGGTGTCCACACCCACGAGTTTTCAAGTTTGGTGCAGGCATGCGTTCCCTCATGCCATGTTCTAGAAGATGAAGCGGCAGCAGTGGCTTATACTCGTAACCCAGCAGGAAAATTAGGAATTTCTAGTCGAGAGTTGGAAGGGAAGTTCTTGGTATGGCTTGGTGATTTTTACTGGCAACGCCAACTACCAGCCAAGCTGGAGTTCTGTGAGGATGAGCACTTCGAAGTTGGCAGAAAGAGATTAGAAAGCCAGCGAGCACCGGGTGGAGATGCGAGACTCTGGACGAACCCCGCGATCACCAAAGCCAACAAAGCCAAGTACGGGTAGCTCTTAAGACCAAGACTGTTGCCCAGGCTGACCTTGAGGTTTAGTGGCGGAGGAGAGTGTGATGTCCGACTGTTGGCATTGCAGTTTTAGTCCGAGACATCATTAAGGTACACACCTAGGCAGGTAGTTAGGTACCTAGTGTGTACCTTATCTTAATATTCGCGCCTCGTAAACATGGAGTGGACGTGGAGGTGGAAGTTGTCTTGTCAGAGACTGGGCTCATGAAGTTGTTGAAGTACTCCATATGTACAGCTAAGCGAGTCCGGTCCCATATAGGCTCACCTTTGTAGGTACGGAGTGGTGAGATACCTACGGAGTAAGGCTTGAGCATGCACGGGGCTCCGCAGGACCAAAGCAAGGCACTTCAGCCCCGGAAACTTGCTCCGCCAACCACCCACATCAGCCGTGATAAAAACACGCCATTATCGCCAATCGCTTCTGATCCACAAAATGGGGACAGGGACTTTTTTAAAGGTTGCGCTTCCAGGCGTGCCAGGCCACGCCACGAGACGAGACAAGATGGCCAAACCGTGTGATCACCAATCATAGGCTCCAGTTGGTAGTCACGGTAGTACAGGATGATGCATGGAGTAGGCATACTGGCTATGTGCATTTGATAGGCGCATAGCACATTTGAAACAAGGGTGACGCAAGCTCTTGGGCATTTTTGTATGACATATTGAGATTTGGCGTCAAAAGATTGCGTGTTTGATGGCCTATGGCCCGAAAGTCTGGATGCAATGCATGTTTCATCAGCTGGACCTCCCTACAGTAGCTTAGGTACCTAAATGCAGTGCTCCAGGTAAAGTTGTAGGCGCCTCGGGCAGTGCTTGCCCTACAGTCTCCACCTAAACACCTACCTACCATGCCTAAGAGACAGGTGCATCATGTACTCCAGGAACGGCTTAATCACCGACAACAGACCTGAAGCCATCTTATCACGTGATAATTGTATCTTGGGTCTGCGTTGTTCCCATTAAACGTTGCCCATCATGCACTTTGGTACCTTGGAAACAACGCCAGATGTCACATACGCCCTTGGAAAATCAACACTCGTCCAGATATGAGGACCTTGAAGAACTGATGAATGTCAAATGACCGGCAACCAGGCAAATAGTATGTAAGAACGCTCTCCTGATGGAATGGACACTGTCAAGAGCCAGGTGTTGACGATTGCGGTCATCAAAAGCAGACCAGAACAAGGCACGAACCCCCAATCTTCATTCCTCGTGGAGGCGTACGTACCGTATACGAAGACATCATTAGAGTTGGATAAGCTTTGGCGAATCTGCGGGGACGAAACCTGGTCGAGGGCCCTATGCACGCCACAGTCTCCCAAGGTTTTCGACGCATCCTGTCATGCAGTGTCGATCTCGACACTCCCAGCATGACGTTCAGCTTTGATTACCATCGCCTCGACCATCTTTCATGTCGCGTGGACAAGTCAACGCTGATATGTACTATGGCATCACCCAGAGAGTCAACCAATTCGTGACACCTCGACAGTGCTGTCCAAACTACCTAGGTAGTCTCTCAGAATGAATGATCCTGGACTGGATGAACCGATCGACGACGCATCTAAGCAGGTCCAAGAGAATGTCGACCATCGCCACAAGCCAGGCCCACAGGATGATGTGGACGAGGACCAAGACCTTCGCAGCTTTCTCATGCCAACTCGCTGGTGGTATGCCTCGACTGCATTTCCTTTGATTGCTGGCACCTTTGGTCCAATGGCCAATGCCTTTTCAATCTGTGCCTTGGTGGAAAACTGGAGAGTTCAAATTCCACCAGGTGGTACTGAAGAGCATGGAATTGATATCCCCGATCCACATTGGTAGAGCAACCCACCAACGCTATCCATATCCCCGTTGACCTATTGCTAGGCTGATCGCCGTCAACGCCTTGTCGCTCGTATCCGCACTCGCCGCAAACTTGTCACTGCTCCTCAACATGGCAAGACGCGTCCCCTTCCGCATTGCACAACCCATCACCATCACTGGCTTTTGGGTCGCATCCGTTCTACTCATCGCTCTCATTTCCGTTGCATCCCATGCCTTTGCCGCTCCCGGCGTTCAAGACCAAGCCTTGACTCAGGCTTACTACTATGCAATCTTTGCCGCAGGTTTGTACCAGATCATCTCTTACCTCATGTGCCTAACCGTCTACGGGGCATACAGAGGTCACTACAGCCGTGATTTCAAACTCACCATGGCCCAACGCACCTTGATGTTGCAGACCATTTCTTTCCTCGTCTATCAGCTTCTCGGAGCCTTGGTCTTTTCAAAGATCGAGGGTTGGAAGTTCCTCGACGCGGTGTACTGGGCTGACTTCACATCACTGACCATTGGCATTGGCGCTGACTTTGTCCCCACCACTCACCTCGGTCGCAGTCTTCTCTTTCCATTTGCCTTCGGAGGCATCACTATCCTCGGTCTCGTCGTTGGCTCAATTCGCTCCATGATTCTTGATCGAGGAAAGAGAAAGATGGCCGCCAGACTCACGGAGAAGACTCGGGTCAACCTGGTCCAAAAAGTGGAAAAGGCGACCACCGCCAATGGTTCGACCATGCGAAACGGCCCAATGGGGCTTGAAAAAGAGACAGCAGCCGCCCTCACTCTACAGCCCGGTGACCAGGCCCTATCCGAGAAGGCAAGACGGGAGGCAGAGTTTGAGGCGATGAGGAGAGTGCAGCAAAGAGCAATCACGCTCAAGAAATACTACAGCCTGATGCTGTCGACCTTTGCTTTTGCCTTTCTGGTGACCTACCCTGCCTATCCCGTACAGTTCTAGACTGACGACGAACAGTGGACCATTGGTGCACTCGTCTTTTACCACACCGAAAAGAACCAGCAATGGAGCTATTTTGAGTCACTTTATTTTGCCTACACCTCGCTCCTGACCATCGGATATGGCGATTTTCAGCCAATCAGTAATAGTGGCAAGCCATTTTTCGTCTTTTGGTCCTTGCTGGCCGTACCGACACTGACTATTTTGATATCCGACATGGGCGATACGGTGGTCAAGACTATCAAGGAAGCGACAATCTGGCTCGGAGAAATCACAGTGCTCCCCAGTGACGAGGACTCGACCAGAGAACGACTCAAAGCGGGACTATACAACGTGACCCTTGGCAAGATAGACTCTCTCCAAGCCAAGTCTCGAGATCTCGAGGCCTCTTCCAAGGTCAAGGCAGGACGAGATGCAGGGACTCAGGCGCGAGGCCAAGCGCTTCCACCTCGACAGCGACGCCGTCGCCAGGCTGACGAAGATCGATTGGCTGCTGACTTTGAAGAGCACGAGAAAATAGGGGAGGCCATAGCTCGCAGTCACGGCGAGGTGACAGAAGAAGGTTTGTCACTGCCACTGCTAGGAGCTCGAATACGGTGGTTCTGACCTGTTCTAGTCAAGCATCATTATCGGCGCACCTTGATCGCACAGATCCGCAAGGTGTACAACGATTCCGCCGCCGCCACGCCGAAGAAGTACAGTTACGCGGAATGGGCATACTTTTTAAGGCTGCTCGGAGAAGACGAGAATGATGCTTCGTACCACATTCGTCCTCGAGGGCATCCAGAAGACCAGGCCACCAAACCCAACGCACCAAGAAAGGAGTCATCACCGGAGTCGCCTGAGGCCGATCGTGACGGGCACAGAGAAACTTCCACAAGTGCAGAAGTGGACGGGGCCAGAGATTCTTCCGGGTCTTCTGTTGCTACCCAGGGATGGAGTTGGATTGGAAACCAAAGTCCACTCATGGGAGACAAAGAAGAATCCGAGTGGTTGATTGAAAAGCTCTTCCAGCGACTAGAAGAAAGCCTGCGGGACATTAAGCAGGAGCCCGAGAGACGAACCAGGAGTGGAAACCAGCAGGGTGAATTATGATGCCTATATACAGACTTTGACAGAACCTGAGATGGGAGTGGGCTCTTGGGACACCTGACCCTGACCGTGTAACGATGCCCGTTAGGTTGGTAAAGGTCGGTACAGGCAGCGCAGTGTTGCAAGAAGTGGAGAGGTGTAGAAGTCTGGACAGCGGATAGCGCAAACAGGGCACCGTCAATACAATACCACTGGTAGATTTCCTATCCAGGATACAAGGTGTTAGTGTTTCCTTGTGTGTTAGAGACAATAACCCTGACAACCTCCAGACCTGAAAACATGGATCGCATTAGGCCTAGGTGTCTAGAAATGACGAGTGTCTATTAGGAAGGTTGAAAGACTCCATCATCTAACAAACAATATGACTGCTTTAACAAGGCGCCTCGCTTGACATGTGATAAAGAACTGGTCCATTTGTACACCACTCGATTCACTCCTTACTCCTTGAGATCACCCGGCGTTGGTTGCTGGCTAATGGCGGTGACGATGTTCATATCGGCACCCTGGCCTTGAGCCACCTTGAGTATTTCAGGGAGATGTGCTGTTACCGGCCACTCGACCTGGCCAGTGAGGATCTGGGATGCAGTGGCTTTGGAGCCGTAGGCTTCCTTGTTGGTGCTTGACTTTTCCTTGATCATGGTTCCATCCATCGTAACACCACCGTATATGCCGCGTGACTTGGTGTAGGTCCAGACTGGCTTGATATCCTTGGTGCTGATGTCGGCTGTACCTCCAATAGGCCCTGCAGCCATGGTAGCTCCAGCACCAAGGGTCGTCTCGCTTTTCATGTAGGCGTCCACCGCGTCTTGTGTGTTGAGCACGCAAACACAGTCGTACACATCAACCCCATATACCACGCCCAAGCCGCCCGACCGTACCGAGAATGCAGATGGAGCCGACCATGAACCATCAGGAAGCCGAGCAACTACAACGCCAGACCCGCCTGCTCCAGCAAGGTACATTGCAGCCCGAAACCCCGAGAAGATCGCCATTCCCTTTGCATTGGCAATGATTTCGTGCGGTATTCTGCCCTTGTCTATGAATCTGTTAGAGGACGCTCAAACATTGAACCGAGGTGTGCTGAGTTGCTCACCAACAAATGATTTGAGAATTCGAGCCGCCTTGTCACATTCTTTGTTGAGACTAGTCATATTGTGAAATCGTGTGGAGTGGTGAAAAGAATAAGGGGGAAACCAGGAAAAAAAGACTCTAGGGTATTTGATATATAACAGTAGGTCGAGAAGTAGGACGGGGTTTGGTTGAAGGATTAAAATCGAGATTCATTTCATAGCATCCCTTGACCAGCGTCGGCCTTTATAATGAATCAAATTATTGTTGCAAGGACGGACGCCAGGCACACGTCGATACAATACTATAAGATCGTATTCGTGAACGAAACCACTCACATTCTGGTCAGTGCGCCGAGGGGGCTGCAACTACGAAGGAGAATTAATTGTCATCATTAGGCGATGCTACCTACCATCAGAGCAAGTCGGCAACAAGGACTCCATTGAAACAAGTCGAGAGATTACCAATGATTGCTTTGGGTGGAATAAAAACATTCTGTATTCAGTCGACAATATTTGTCACTGGCAAGGCGCAGTCGAACTCAATCTTACCTAACTGGGAGACTAGTGAACAGCCTTTTTGACGAAGAGGTCATTATCAAGTATGAGCCCCAGTTACAATGATGTCGTGGGCGCAGAATATGTCGATGAAGGTGAGGCTGACCATCTTCATTGTTGATCGTCGGAACGAGGCAGCGGAACAAGACGCACACGTGATATCTGCCTATCACGTGACGTAGCGAAGAGGCACGTGACATCAGACCGCTTCCATCTTTTGTTTGGAAGCAGGCAACCAACATTCAAACAACCAACAACTCAGAACTGTCGACGTTGCTGACGAAGGCGTCTTTGCCCAATCAAGAATACAACTATGTTGTACAACCTATCACACAAGAAACAACCCCAGATCAACTCGGGTCGTTGCAGCGCCAAGGAGAGTCAGGCCTAACCGCAACCAACGAGTTTGGTCGACGAGGGCGCCTCAGCCTGATCAACGATCCAACCATATTCCCCAGCTATGTCCGGAGTAGTTGCAGCTCCAAGAATAACCAGAGCTTTGCCTCAGCCTGACGATTCGAGCCTGAACCTATAAATCATTTCACCAGGGGAACTCATTACGAAAGGTTTCGCAAGCCAGAGTCGGCCTATTCGCCAGGCAAGCTAGTTGGCCAACAAGGCAAAGGCTTTGAGGTTGCACCAGGACAATTTCACCTGCTTCATTTCACCTTCAACATCTTCTCTGGATAGAATCATCACCAGGCGTCATGGATCACCTTGATAGGCCCTCACATCCCTCTAGAGATCAGTACAAGATCCCCTACGTGTGTCTGGCACCCTATGATGAAGGCGACTTTCTCTCCTACCCATCACGTTGTGGTTTTAATGATGCAAGTGTGCTTGAGGGAAACTTTATCCACAAGTCGCCAGATGGTGAGGATGAAGCAGTGGATCTAGCTCGGGTTCAATCATTTCTCCAGTCCTGGCTCTTCTTTGGCTTGATATTCGAAGTGCACAGAACAGTCGGCAGACCGTTTAGTCCCAATGATTATGTGTCTCGTGAGTCGTTGCTGACCACAGCCTCTGGCGAGAGAAGAGGCTTGACACGGAGAGTGAACACCTCTGCTTTGTCGGGACTCCTTGCATTTTGGGTGGATTCTTTCAAGGCAAAGAGATCAGCGGGAGAACTCTCCTTCGAGGACGTCCGTCAACTATGTTTCAAAGTTGATACTTACCTCCAACCGGCCTATAAAATCTGTTATCACTTAGTCCAAGGCCGTCACTCCTATATCGACCAAGACCTTTTGCTCTCCTTTATGTGCCTCGGAAACACGGTCGACGATGCAATGGCCGTCGTCTTTCAACGCTGCTTTTACGACTTTTTGCCACCTCATCAACAGAATGCCCAGCTATCTCCTTCTGGATGGGTCCCTTTGAAACGAAGGTGGGATGCCCCACTTCGTATCTTGCAGACTCTTGTCCATTCTGGCTGGTGTCCCTTCGACGTTGGCATCCTAGAGCGGGATTTCGGTATTAATGAAATCATCTACGCTTCCCAATTGCGTCGACATGGTAGTGTCGAACGCCACTCGCCATGTACTCCAACTGCATGCATCGCCAACAATATCGATGACCTAACATACGTGACACGCCATGAAACATTGGGGACCAAGTGCCCTGGCTCTTCTTGCAGCGACATCGAATTTGACCATCCGACTCTATGTGAGATCATTCGTCGAGGGTCAAGGCCCATTGTCCGGTCGGAAATCGATGCCCATGACGGGCTTCATTTCCGTATCGTCCCCTATGACGGTGATGTTACACCCTATGTTGCCATCAGCCATGTGTGGTCTCATGGTCTCGGCAACACGAGGAAGAACACGCTTCCAAGGTGCCAGCTTGAAGCTTTACACCGCCGCACCTCAGCATTACTGGCTGCCTTCACGTCATACAACGGCCCAGAACCTACCCAGGACATCAAGACCAAACGTGTGAGCTATTTTTGGCTCGACACCATCTGCGTTCCAGTGAAGCCAGAAGACGTTGAAATGAGGAAAATGGCAATCTCAAGCATGGCGAGCATATACGAAGAGGCTCATTCAGTGTTGGTCCTTGACGAAGGTCTTATGAACACTTCACTGCACCTCAGTGAAGATGCAGTCAAAATTCGAGCCCCCAATCGCCAGAGCAAGCCACCTTTTTCCCAGAAACAACTTGTCTTCTCATTGTTATTTTCAGATTGGTGGAGGCGGCTTTGGACTCTCCAGGAGGGTGTACTTCCTGATTATCTTTTTGTTGCCTTTGCAGACTTTTCAGTGTTTCTGAGCCACGCCGTTCCTGCCGGACGAGAGGAGCACGTGGAAAACCGAGCGGATTTGTCTTCTGACAGGGTCAAGGAGGGACTTAGTGATTTGATCGATAAGTCACACATAGCGGACGACAAAGGAGTCATCATAGTGGACCGGAAAACGTCCAAAGGGGACATGCACCATCGTCGTCGAGTTTTGCGGCTGCTCTGCAACCGGACCACTAGCAGAATCGGCGACGAACCCATCTGTGTTGCAACTCTGATGGGGCTGGATGTGCAGATCCTCCTGGATACGAAGACGCCAGAAAGAATGCAGATGCTTTACAAATGTCTGGGCCGCATCCCGGCTGGTCTTGTCTTCTTGCCCGTGCCAAAGCTTCAGATTGAGCATTTCCGATGGGCTCCAAGATCCTTGATAGGGGTACCCATCAGTCTGACAACGACCCAGGTCTTACTCTCTGATGAGGATGGTGAAGCCGAAGTAACTGAACTAGGAGTCCGTTTGCAAGCCTCAGGTTATCCCCTCGCCTCCCAGGGCGTGCCATTGAAGAACAACTTTTACATTTTCCCTGGCACCCCTGGGTCGATACCGTCCGGGCAGGATGAAGATCGTCTCACCGATATTGACAAGGTCAGGGCGGACAATGAGCAGATTGTTGCAGTCACATTACACGATCAACAGGTTATGGACCGGTTTGGTGACGCCGGTATCTCTGGACACTCTTTCTGGGAGACCATGAGTGGGCAAGACCTGATTGATCCGGTGGTCATTCTGCCATCGAAGCGTAGAATCGACTATGCACAGAACCCTGGGATATTGGCCGGTAGAGCTCGACTAATTGACGGTGTTTGGCATGCGAAGTTTCTGTGCAATGTTTGGACCTTTCGAAATTCGATGGCCATGTGGGGGGATAGCTCTGGTACAGGTCGTGGGACGATCGCGAACAGAGTTCGAGAAGAAAGGGCAGCATTGGCTCAGGGTGAAAGGACCGGAAAAATGGCATGGTTCCAAAGTTCGGAGGTGGTACGGGAGTGGCGCATCTCGTAGGCGACGAGCTGTTGCTAAGGATGTGAAGTTGTTTTTCTCCTTTCGCTAGCATCTTTCGGGCAATGGGAAATCACCGTTCAATGAGCCCAATGTTCACCCCTTTCACCATTCATTGCCCCGAGCGCCTTCAGCGCTAACAAATTAACACTGAAATTCATCATACACTGCTATCATTGTCGTGTTTTCTTTGTTTGGTTGGTCAAATGGCAAAGAATCGTCTTCAAGTGATAATCCTGTCAAGTCCTGCATGAAGAGGCAGAAGTGTCCTTCTTTGGGCATACAACATTTGCGACTTTAATTTGAATAGGACTCAGCCCTCGTCCTACAGCATGCTTCGTGTGCTCAATCGGTCGCTTAAGGGGTCGTCCCATAGCCTGGCTCGTAGACGATACAGCTCATTCGTCTCAACAGGTTGTCTTTCTATGACTAATATATCCGAGAAGCCTAATATTCTACCAGTACATCATGAAACCACCAGAATAACTGAGTAACGAATGTGATGCTCTCGAAGTAATCTGCGCGGCTCTGGTATTAGGTACTGCCTTTTGGAAACCCACCAGCATCACTATGTTCCACAAGATGCTGATTCAGTATGCGCCACACCGCTAGGCTGCTGGCACTAGACAACGAATAGAGCCCCGAGGTGGGACAAGTAAAGGCTGTTGCTCGAGTAAGGGTGAAATGCTTGCTGACCTAGTCACCAAGGCATTGCTCTGGTTTACCTCCCTGCGAATGAAAGCATTCCTGGTTAGATCAAGGGTAGAAAGCCATAAGGTGTGTCTCAAGGGTATAGATGTGTACTTGGATTGTGGGTAGAGGATGGTAAACTCACATAAAGGCAGCACCGATCGATAGCTGTGTCTATACCACAAATCTGGCCAACTCCACAGGCACCTGCGAGTGAGAATGGTGGTTAGGAGAAGTTTTATGATTGAGATGGTCACAACAAGATTTGGCCAAAAAGGAGGGACTCACCACTACCGTCTTGACAGCAGGTTTCGCCTGCAGCTTTATTGAAGCAAACACTGCCACCGAAGGCGTAGCAGATGATGGATCCTACTGGACAACCCAGGTCATCTCGAGCATCTAGAGTTGCGTATCGTTCTAGATTATCGTCACTGTTTGGCAGTGTTAGGTCTTGTGTGTTGTAAGTCAACGTTTCGGTGGAATTGACGACCAGGGTATGAAGAATCAGGATGAGCAAAGCACGAGGAGTCATGATAGGCAGAGGAGGTCAAGCTAACAAGTGGACTGAAGGAAAACAGTGCGAGTAGATGGATGCTGGACAAGGTTTATTGAGGAAAGAAAAACGCTACACGGGAAAAAAGAATATTATCGTGATAAATATCAACTTGTGACTAGAGACGCAAGCATCACTGATTCTGGCATGTGAGCTATGACCCTTTGTCACCTGAGCTTTCGATGCCCGGGTCGATGTGAGAGTCCGTTCATGGAGGAGAAGACAGGCGGACAAAGGAAAACAGTTCTTGCTTTGTCAATTTTCGCTATCAGACCAGGTTCGAAGTTATTGACGATTGGTGAGATGGATGACGTTGACGTGGAGAGCGAAAACGAGGAACAGCGGCATATAAAAACAGCAGGGCATGATAGCGAGGGCTTTCCCGTTACTTGGGGTATTCGTTCTCCACATTGGCCTAGTCTAATAATGCAGCAAATATGCGATCAGGTCATAAGGGATTTCTGGACAAGTTTGAGATTGAAAACCATGAGATGGGATGTTGTGAATGAATTGTCGTCCGCAATCAGATATATGCCAGGACCGCCAAGCAAATTAGCCTGAAAATTAGCTCGGTGTGTACGGAGTAAAGTATCGTGGTAATCTTATCTTATCTACTATCAGCACGTGTTCTGTTGGAGAAAATTTCGCCTTGTTCCATCTTCTCCTCACTCACCAGCGCATGCCGGTCTGCAGTTGTCAATGTCATCAGGAAAAAAACATTCCAGCCAGGCAAACCTACAATATTGATTCATCATGTCCAAGCAAAATAAATCCGTGAGCAAAGATCTCCACAATGTGGCGAAACGAAAGCGGCAAGATGATCACAGCGACGCGGAACCACGACGAAGGAGCAAGCGAGAGAAGACAACTACAGCCAGTCAGCCACAACGACCAAAGCAGATAGACACCGACGATAGTGTTGCTGGCATGGATGCTTCTATCTTGGCCGACCATTTTGCGAACAGCGTTCGAAATCATTTCCCGGACAATTCTTCCATCGAGCACCAAGACTTGTACCTCCCGACGCGAGCCTTTCGAGATACGACCGAGTTTGGCCCCAGACATATTGCCAGCAACCTGCCTAGCTTTTTGGCGACTTTTACAAAAGGAGGAGAAGAAGAGCTCAGCACCTGCTCGCCAGGACTTGGACCACACACCTGGATCATCACATCGTCGGGAATACGCACGGCAGATGTGGCGCGGGAGCTCCGTAGGTTCAACCGGGAGAAATCGCAGGTAGGCAAATTGATTGCCAAACACATGAAGCTGAAAGACAACATCGAGTACATGCAAAAAACGCAAGTGGGGATTGCCATCAGCACCCCTTTGAGGTTCAAGGATTTGCTGGACCACGGGGCGCTCAAGGTCGACAATGTCAAACGAATTGTGGTGGATGGATCATATCAGGATGAAAAAATGAGGACGATTTTTGATTTGGGGGAATTGTGGCGGCCGCTGGCCGAGCTCCTGAACAGAGAAGAAATCAAAGGAAAGTACGGAGGGGAAGGCGGCATTGAGATCATGGTGTTTTAATGCCCAGCTTGGGAAGATGCCTTTGATGTGAGGCAGATACTGACGAGGACGAGTACAATGAGATTACGATTCCATGAACGAGCGCGGGAATCGTCTGGATGTGAGCTACGATGCTTGTTGTGATTTTGACAAAATCCTGTAGTCTGCAGGTCACGCTTCACAGCCTCATCCCAGCCACAATTTGGGTGCATACGTAAGCAAAACATGGAGCCAAACATGGAGCCGTCACCCATGGTCTTGCCTTCCTACAGAACAGGGTCAACCCCGACAAAACTGCAATCACGTAGAAGAATCAATTATTCTCTGCTTTAGCTATAGATGCAATAGCCTACTGTATGTGTAAACGTGTGAGAAAGCTGCTGACGCCTCGCCCTTTTCTCCGACCTAGGATAATACCGCTCTGGGCTCACCCACAAACCCACAATACGCGAGAAATGAGAGGGTTGCCTCCTCTGCCCTCCCATGCTGTGGTGCCCCACCATATCGCGGGCCGTCCCTCCTCCCGCTGTGGAACCCTGGCAGGTGCCATGCCATCCACTTTTCTATTTTCTCTCTCTCAATCTCTTGACTTGCACTCTCTTGCCGTTTACACAACGTTTTAACTAGCCCTTACACGACAGTACAACATTCGCTCTCCTTGTTCCTTGTCACTCTACTTAGTCCCGTGTGTCTACAACGTGTAACCACGTTAATCTCTGTCCAAGACAGCGGATAATAACATTCAAGGAACCACACCAAGATGGCTGATAATCAGGGACACATTGGTCCTGTAGGTCAAGCCGGGCACGTGGCTATGATCCCAAGCTTCTCACTACTGTCCAAGCCAGTTCTAACAAGAAAAGACCTTGGAGGAAATCCTCAAGCTTTGCGGCGACGCAAAGGCACACGCAGACGGCAAGGGAATGAAACGCTTATTTGTCTGCTGCGATGGCACATGGAAGAACGCAACAGGCACTCTTGCACCACCAACCAATGTGTCCAGGCTTGCCCGCTCTGTCGATCGACATGGCATCGACTAGAACAGAAAAGATAAAGTCGCCCAAGCCGTTCCACAGATAGTTTATTACGAAAGCGGGGTAGGAACGTATTCTGTCCTACCAAAACTGGTAGCACTTGACTATCTATACTCGGGGCTCTCAGGGAAAGGTTTGTTCGATTCAAGCTGCTCTCACACCACCTAACTCCCCTAGCCCCCTCCTCTGTTGTTCAAGGTCGTTGGCAGACAGCCATGGGCAAAGGATCCAAACGGCATAGCTAACCAACTAGTGAATCCTGCACAGGCATTGAAAAGAGCATCCTAAATGCCTATAGCTTCCTCTGCAACAACTACAACTTCAGCGCAGATAAAGATGAAATCATTCTAGTGGGATTCTCGCGAGGCGCTTTCGCTGTTCGGTGTCTTGCGGCATTTGTCACTGAAATCGGCCTCATCCGACGGCGGCACCTTTCCTTGCTCGCGGCTGTTTTTCAGAGCTGGTGGCAGAATAAAGGAAGAGTGGCTGCCAAGTACAGAGATGCTCAGATTTCTCGTGCAGTACGCATTAAAGTCTTGGCCGAGTGGGACACGGTGAGTGCCCTTCGGAGCTCAAGGTTTGCCTTTGTTCAAGGGAACGTGCCGAGTGCAGTGGACAACGCATTCCTGGCCATTGCCCTTGATGAGACGAGGACAATGTTCACGCCGAAACTGTGGACCCGTCAGGCCCCAATAGTTGCAGGGTGGGAGCGGAGTCAAGGCACTCAGCATGAGCATCAGCAGTATGCCCGACAACGAATTGAGCAGTATCTCTTCAGTGGAAACCATTCAGACATTGGGGGCGGAAATGCTGAAGCAGGTCTGTCAAACATATCCCTTTTATGGATGATATCGCGAATCGAGAGCGTGAGCCAGGCGTCCTTTGACAAAGGGACCCTGATCCAATCAGTCTTGGCACTTCCGAATTCCAAGTATGAAGTCATATCGAAATCCAGAGGTAATAATCCCGAGCGATTGATCATGGTACACGGGCCTCTACTGATCGACAACTTTTGACAGGTCTTGTCAGAGGATTAGCGTGGTGGGGGGTGGCCCTTTGGAGTTGTGTTAACATTTTCCGAACCAAGCGCTCGAAAGTAGTCAGACATGCCATCCGTGAGATTGACGAGGTTCAGTTCGGGTTCACAGTCCATTTCTCGGCCCCCACGCTGGCCTTGGGAACTTTTCGTCGGCGTGAAGATTTGCCAGCTGGCGAGCCTTTGACTGAGGTCAACTTATGGGATAATCATACAATCACCTTGAGGATTTCAGGACGTAGTGAAAAAGAAAGGCGGCTGTTGGAACAATGGAGGCATGAGGCTGGCAGTTGGGAGCCCGTCGTGGGCAGTGAACGTGATGATATGAAGGATTGGGCACATATCTTTGCAACCCTAGGGATGGAAGAGGTGAACAGGCAGGGCACAATAGCGGCTGGTCAGGCTGAACCGGTGGTCTCGCAAATATTTAGGGAAATGGAGGGCCGATGGTAGGAACTGTGACGAGATATTTGAGGGACCAAAAGCATTGGTCCGTTGGAGGGGAAAAGGGTCGAAAAATGGAGTGAATTTGCAGATCTATAACAGCAAAGTGCTATGCCTAGCTGTTGCCGAGGCTCCATGCTTCTGAGGCATTTCAAAAGGAACATTTGCTGTAGAAGCCATGTGAAATGTGAATATATCGTATGTCGAATGTCGTATGTAGATGCAATTACGAGGAGGAGGCAGGCTATGAAGAGGAGAAGCCTCGCCTGTGCCTCACGCGGAAAGTCGTGACACTGCCTTCCTAGGGATGTCCAATTTGATCTTTATGCAGAACAACTGCCATTCTTCTCTTGTATTCCAATTCCTCCATGGTCGAACTGATCCGGGGTTTGGGGTGGTCACAAATGGTGACATTGCTAGTTAGCTCCCCGCGTTGACCGTTGCCGCGGGTTTTTTGGACTGAGTCTGTATTCCATGTCGTTGATGGGTGAATTCGTACTAGTACCGCCGCCTCGCTTCGATCGGTGCCGCGGATTGTCATGTGGGCTGAATCTCTCTGTGGAGGGAGAAGCATCGGTTTCTGGGTGCTTAGATACTGCTTTGGGGCGTTGGTCGATTTTAGGCATGTCGACGAGATGGAAAGTCTTGAAGGTAAAGGATTGAATTGGGAGTGAGCAGTGAGGGCTGCTGAGAAAGTTGTTGAGAAACAATGACCATGCCTCAAGTAGCTTTTATAGGCACATGACGGTCACCCCTGGTACATCGTATGCCGTGGTTCAGTTGGCAGATGGTGGATGGCAGCATTGAGTCACCAGGTGACTGACTGGCTCGTGGAAGGATGAAGGATGGAAGATTCTAGTAAGGGCTAGACTAAGCCACAACTCTTTCAGGCTGAGGGTTGAGCATGTAGTGATATGCACAGGTATGCAGTAGTATGGATCAATGTCATGGCACCCCGCCAGTCTACAATCAGTCAGGGCAACCTTGCCGAGCGCGATATGTAGTCATAGCACCCCACCATTCTACAGTCAGGGCAACATTGCCGAGCGTCCACCATAGGAAAAGGAAGGAAGGAAAAGCAGAGACGTAGGAAAAGTCGCGAGCTGCTTGATCAGAGGTACAGATATGAATACAAGTGACTAAATAGAGTGCACAGATTAACCGTAGTTCTCGATTACTGGTTGGTTCGATATACTTCCACTTAAGCGGCCAGGGAAATGTTAACATTTTGCATCTCCACATTTGACAAACCCATCCGTGCCCATCCCACACCCACATCCCACCATCCACCATCCACCATCCACCATCCATCATCCACGTGCCACATCCAGTAACCGATAACCGATAACTGCATGAACCTCAGGCTTGTCAACTGGAGATCTCAGATTCTTCATCTCGACCTGGGCTGCTTCGTGGCTTCCTCACTTGCCCTGCAATCACCTGCACTCGCAACACTCAACACTCAACATTGTTTGCACTCTTTGCACTCTTTGCGTCCTCTACATTCTCTTTCTCGGTGCTGGTAGCTCCTCTTATCCAAAAAAAAAAAAGACCAAAACTTCTCTCCCTTCGGCCCTCTGGCCCCTCGTTCGTTTCCTGCCGCACCCACTACATAGGCTACCTCGTTGCCGTTCGTTTGATCCGCCTGCCAGACTCCTTCTCTCGCTCATCACAACCTAACCACACGTGCCATATCATGAGTTACCAATCCTTTCTGCGCTCTGCTTCAGGCGCCGGCATGTCAGACTCAACTGCGTCTGCAGCACGCACTCCTTCTTCTCCCACTGTCGTTCAGCGAAAGCCCACTGGATCGAACCCTTCTCCGGGTCCAGTGTCCTCCCATCCTCCCACCTCCTCCATCCACAACGTCGTCACTCGTAATGCTCCTGCTGCTTCACCAAATAATCCCACCCGCCTTCCAGTCACGCCCACCTCTGCAGTTCGCTCGTCCGCTTTACGGTCGAACCCCATCACCAGCGCACCGCCTCCGTATGACCACACCACGACGTCCACCACGCCTCCGGCAACTTCGCAGCCATCTGCTGTAGCCCCCAGTTCCACTTCGCCTCCCGACCCTATGACTCGCTTACCATTGACAAAGGAACAAATCGACGCTGCCCTCAAGCAATGTCTGAGCATTCAAACCACCGCCACGTCCCTGCACGACAAGCGACCCTTTGCCGCCCTTCTGCTCGCTCCCAATAACACCTCTGTCCTGCTCACTCACTTCTCCATCTCCCACGTCCAACATGCCGAATCTGAGCTTGCACGTCTTGCTACAATTCATTTCTCCCAAAACTTTCTTGCTGCATGTACTCTGGTGTCGACCTGGGAGCCGTGCGCCATGTGTGCTGGAACCATTTACTGGTCCAACATTGGCCGCCTTCTCTACGCCGCAAGCGAATCCACCTTGAAAGACCTCACCGGAGCCGGTAATGAAGAGAACATGACCTTGTCCTTGCCATGTCGCACGGTTCTTGAGGCTGGTCAGAAAGATGTCGAGATTATTGGGCCGGTCCCCCACTGGGAGGATCAAGTTGCACAGGAAAGCGGCAAATGGTGGAACGAGCATCCTGCCCCATCTCAGACGGCACCTCGAGCTGACAGCATCAATGGGAGCGTCAAGCCCGGGAGCATCTCAAGTGCCAGTCTCCAGCATGGCACCCCAACCACTTGGACCGGCGAGGACAGCGTTCTGAGCAGTATCAATGACGAAGGGGAATACAAGGCTGAGTTGGACATTGACTGGATGCGCTGAAAATGACACCAGGCTTGGACGGTATTAATGAGATTCACCCTAGAAGTGATTTTGGATGTATCAAATACGGCCAACGTACAGTCTTGCCCGTCTCATGATTTGACGGGCGTGGCCAACATAAGGTATGAGGGATTCGTATGCAGGTAATTTCTCCATAGAATCTGTACACAAACAGTCAAACACCTAATAGTGACAATTGAAGTGATGCTATCAAGCATATCTGATTTCTATCCCTGCATTCCGTCCGTCTCATGCAGGTGTAAGTTGGTCGCCCACGTCCTGTTGATTCATCCCAAGTCAAAAAGAAAAATCCATTGGCCGGTCAAGCCCTGTCGGCCTTTTGTTTCCTCCTTCGCCCTCTCCACCCACTCACATCTCTCCCTTGCTCCACCTCCCTCAACGCCTCCATCCTCGCTTCGGCTACGTCCTTCAATGTCCTCCCTCGAATCACTCTCGTCTCCACATTAACTCCTTCTTCTGACCACTCTTCCATACGTGCCTTTTCTTTCTCTTGTCCCCGTCCGCCCTCTTCAGTGTGGTGGGCACTGTCTTCGCCTCCCCGAGAAAGATATTCCTCAATCGCCAGCACCAGCTGCACGTCCCTCTGGCCAACAAACGAGATGGCAGTTCCTTCTCTCCCGGCTCTTGCCGTTCGTCCTACCCGGTGAATATAGTCTACCGGGTTCCGGGGCAGGTCGTAGTTGATCACGAAGCTTACTGTCGGGATATCCAATCCACGGCTGGCCACGTCGGTCGCAATCAAGATGCGAGATTTCGACGATCGGAACGAGGCTAGGTTGCTAGACCGTTGGCTTTGAGGCAGTGACGAATGCAGGGATGTCACTGGGTGGGACAGATGTAGCAGCGTGCGGTGGAGAATGTCGGCTGTGTCGGTTCGGTTGGTGAAGATGATGATGGACGGCGGTACATTACTACTTTTCGACGGCGAGCTCAACGACGGTACCGTCAGCAGCACATGAAGGAAGGCATCTTTGTGTGTCATGGGTACTTGAAGGTAGGTCTGTCGAAGGGTGGGCGGGAGGAGGCTCGGTGTGGCGACTGGTTGTCCCACGCCGCCAATTCCTTCCGACTTGGACGCGCCTGGATGTGCATCGGCGTCGACGATCTCTGAAACAAAAACTGGTAGTCGGTCTTTCCCTCGGGGAGCATCTTTCAGTGCCCTGACTTCAGGCGTGATTGTAGCGGTAAAGAGAAGGGTGAGTCGGTTAGAGGGCGGGGGTAACGCTGAGAGACAGGTGTTAAGATCTGGAAGCATGGATCCAGGGCCTGATGCCAGAAGTCTGTCGGCCTCGTCGAGCACCACCACCCTGGATCGCGAAAGACCAGCGATTGTTTCGGCCCCCGAGTGTAAAACATGATCTGCTAATCGACCCGGGGTTGCCACAACGACATGAGGTCGTTGAGATAATGCCACGGCCTGCGCTTTCATGTCACTCCCACCTGTCACCAACACTGTCTTGAGATTCTGAGGCGTGCCCAGAGCTGTAAACTGCTCATAGATTTGTAGAGCAAGTTCTCGCGTCGGGGTGAGGACGAGGGCGTAGATTCCGAAAGGATCGACGGACCACTGTTGTAGGATGGGAACGGCAAACGCCACCGTCTTTCCAGAGCCTGTTCTTGACCCTCCTATGCAGTCTCGACCCTGCAGAATGGCAGGTATACAGCTTGCCTGGATAGGCGTCGGTTGTGTGATTGACAAGGCGCGCAGAGATGATATTAGCCAGGGTGAGATCGAGAGGGAAGAGAACGTGGTAGGCATAGGATGGGACGAGGTAACATGTCGTGTAGTAGATGGTACATGAGGAAATGCATCAGTCGGCTGGGGCGCAGGTTTGACTCGCGATAGTGAAGGAGTTCCTGCCACGTTTGTCTGTTGTTTCCTTGGTGGTGGTGGTGATGACGAGGAGGGCGAGGAGGATCGATCGTGGGTCTGGCTGGGTGTTGCGATTCGTCTGCGTTTTGGTGTAGGATTTGGGAACTCTTCGACATCGCTCGATGAGGACGATAAATGCTCGGATTCTGTGGCTATTGACTCGAGCTCAGAGGGTTCCTCGGGCAGAGACTTTGAAGGAGCCATATCGATGGCAGATTGCTGACGATTTCTGTTGTGGTTCTTGTTGGCGACAATCAGACCAGGAAAATAAATTTTGATGAATGCGGAGGAAAATTGGAGGTTCGGTATCTGAATGACCGAACGGGTATACGGGCACGATGGTTATCTTATCTGAACATCAGGTGCAGGTGGCACTTGTCCGCCAGCTTATACTTAGAGCCACAGTGCGTCAGTGCCCACTTGTGGTGGAAGGGATACTCCGTAGATGTTTGAATTAAGTAATGGGTTTGATGGATGCTTGTTTAGGCTGTCCTTACGGCCTAGAACATGGCACGCTGAGAGACTAAGTACCTTCGTGTCGTTGAATGTTGATGCTAGATGATCATGTCACCTAATCAGTGAACCTCTCTCCAGATCACTTATAGCAATCTTCTCCATGCTCAACTCAAACTACACCAAGTCCCCAGTACAGATCTCTTCTCCAAAGCCCAGCCCAAGGCAAAAGGCAGTTTGATGAAAAGGATTTTTGTTTCGCATCACAAGACAGTAGTATAAGGCCAGGGACACAGTGCCAGCCAAGTCGCCATGACAAGCATAGGTGACTTGACCGGCAGAATATAAAAAGTAGAACAATTAGAGATTCCACCCCTTGGGATGGATTTCAGAGATTAAACTGAAAAGAACAGATACTACACTTGATCTAAGCCAAAAGGCAAAGAGTACTGGAGAGGAGAGAAAAAGAGAAAGAGAAGGAAAAAGAGATATTTATACACTTGAGAGGATGCGGTTTGAGGGTGGGCGACATGCCAAGTCTTGCTGAAGTTGAATGAAAACGGCAGGCAGTGGCAGGCAGCGGCAGGCAGCGGCAGGCAGCGGCAGGCAGCGGCAGGCACCAGGGTCCAAGTGAATGAAAATGGCAGGCAGCAACAACAAACCGAATCATCAAGGTGTCATATGTCAAACAGAGAGACGACCTGGGAAAATCAAAGGAACTTGAAACTCGTGGAACCAGGACCGAGGGAATGGAAGAGATAATTCTCGTTAGGGTAACTAACACTCCTTGGACGAATAAGCGGGCCCTCGGGCCCCATTCTCCAGGCGCTCGACCCCGAAGTCATGCATACATTATAGGGCCGAGGGGTCTAGTCCAGGCCAGCTTAGGGGTCGTTCACCTACTCCTTAGACCTGACGCCTGGAGACAGTGGAACCAGTGACGTGGTGTGGACCCCTCTGCCATACTACTAGGTACTTAACGAAGATCTGATCGAGTCTGCCCTGCATCTGACTTCTCACGAGAAAACTGCAATACTGGTTGTCCACATGATGCTGAATTGCCCGTAGGTGAAGTGAGCAATATAAGCCATCTGACTTGGGGTTTCAGTTTAGGGTTGCAGTTTTCGGGCGATCTTGTACCTTTGGTCAACTTCATTTTAGCACTTGAAATCTGCAGCCTGCCGCGATGCCAGATTGCCGAGCAACCTTTGCAGCCACAGGGTTGCCATGTGGCCCGCAGCCCATCTTCCCGCGGGACGGCAGACGCCCGAGGCCACGCTTTCGAGCCATAAATGGCACCCCTTGGCAAGCCTCAAGTCCTGTCCAGCCGTCTTCCATGTACCCAGGGAGTTGTGATGTTTCTTTTTTTATTCTGGTAATACGAGGCTTCTAGCCAGTAGCGTCTGGGGCTCCCACCATGACCACCTCTCAATCACGTCTGCCGCATGAGTCTGGCAAACCATATAAAGAGATTGACAGCAATTCTGTTCTCCAGCATATACGCAATCATAGAGCCTCTCGGTAAATAAGAGGTCAAACAAGGACAAACCCAATAGAAAGCACCTCTAGATTGAAGCAGCCTGACCTCGTGGCCATCATGTTTGGAGCGATACAAGGGCTTTTCTCTTTGAAGTGGACTCAACAGCCTCTTCTTCACCCACTTCCGCCTACCATCACCCGGCGTTTCGTCACGACAGACAGAGGTCCACTTGAGTTGCTCATATCGGAGCCTTCAAAGCCGGAAACAGACACAGCGCGGAGCCACCCCCCTGTGTTTTTTATCCATGGCGGGGTGGGTTCAGCTTCGGTGTGGTTGGAATGGATGGACTATTTCGCCACAACCTCCCATACAACGACGTACGCCTACTCACTTCGCAGTCATGGAGCAAGTTACAGCGTCCCCTTTTGGAGGATGACATGGCAGACTTCGCTTGACCATCTAGCCCAGGATTTGACTGCATGTGTGCAAGAGGTCCGAAGGCGTGAAGGACAAGATCCAATCCTCGTGGCACATTCTTCAGGCGGTGGCCTTGTTCAGTACGCCTTGTCCAAACGCCAGATTCAAGGTCGGGCCTTGGTCCTCCTGGGCGCCGTACCTCACTTCGGCAATGTGAATGTCTACATGAATTGGTTCAGAAGAATCGACCCATGGTTTGGTCTCCGTGTCCTGTTCCATCTCTACCATCCCAACAGTCCCCTCAGCACCCCGCGATTGGTATACAATGCCTTTTTCGGGCCCGAATACCCCTTCCACCGTGTTGCCGAGTTCATGAAATGGATGAGCAACTACGAAGCCATGCTCTGGCCGTTGGGCATGGCCGGTCGTGGCCGTGGAATCCAAAACCGCACGTGGCTTTCGCCTGCAGATATATTGAAGAGTCTTACCCAATGGCAGGGGGTCTCTCAGAAGATCATGGTAATGATCGGTACCGAGGACAAAATTATGGGTGGAACACAGTTCAGAATGGTGGAAGAATATCGGGCGGCTATTGCCCAGCTTCCAAATCAATCCTCGACCAATGCTGACGCAGCCAAAATGGACCAAGTCAGCCTTGTTCGAGTCTCCAAAGGAGTTAAAGAACAGGACTTTGGCCGGGTTAGGTTGGCAGAGGTTGAGAATGCGGGACATCATACTCAGAATGATGTACAATGGAAAGCTGCTGTTGAGTCTCTTCGCAAATTTGTCGACCAAGTATGAATGTGATGAGCTTGGTATAGATAGAATCAATGAATAGAGACCAAACAGGCTAGATGGATCTGATGCGGGTACTGCATAAATCACGATATATTTTATTCTTCCATTCTTTCTCGCTACAAGCTGACGCTGACACTGACGCTCTCAAAGCTAATGATAGAGATAATAAAATTCTTTCAGTAGAAGAAGACCTTGACACATTCCAGTTGTCAATGACACTTGAACAAACTTACATGACCGTCCGTGGCCCCCGATCATCGTCCTGTAATTTAATTAATAGTCAGCCCGGATCTATTTGTCCTTCGATATTCTAATCTTGATCTTCTCCGCGATACACCACTCACACACACACCGAAAACGCGAGGCTTGAGAGGCCCGAGGGGCCCACCAATCGTGTCTCTTCTCTTCCGTTCCCGAGGCTTGTGCTGAGCTTACATCGGTTAGCTTCTCGGCCGCTCGCATATATAACCCGTCCTGGAGCCCTCATCAACACCTCGTTGGTGTGTGTTACATCCAGCGACTGTCCAAGTGACAGAAGACTGAAACTTGGCCCCATCATGATTCTGCAATGCGAGCATTCCTCACCCGATCTGAAAGCATTCACGCCTAGTGTAACACTGCCAAGGTCCTAAGATGACGAGCAGCAGCCGCTTCGTAAACATCAGGCACCAGCTATTCCAAAGCTGAGGCCATGGGCAAACTCAAACGAGAATATAAAGGCAAAGCCGCACAGAACGATGCCGCGACCTCTCCAGTACGATACTCAAAAATGCCTCCGCCCTCCACCCTTGCCACAACCGCCGATGAGTCTTCCTCGACTCATGACGAGCTTGACGCTGCTGACGCCGCTGTTGATGATACCGCTGATGTCACTCGCGATGGTCGCATCGTCGTCAACCTCGACACAAAACTGGGCCACGTCTTCGCCCAGCTCATGCAAGCAGCAGAAGCCAACTTGGAGTCTCCTGACGCCGAACCTCCACCAGCTTATGCAGAGGCCACGCAGTCCGACCATTGGCCCCTTCCTTTGAGTATAGTCGTCCAAGTTGTTGGAAGTCGGGGTGACGTTCAGCCTTTCATCGCACTTGGGAACGAACTCCAGCGTCATGGGCATCGTGTTAGGCTGGCTACCCACGCTATTTTTGAGCAGTTTGTCACTGATGCGGGCCTTGAGTTTTATCCGATTGGGGGAGACCCGTCGGAGCTAATGGCGGTATGTTGTCACCCACTCCTCTGCCGCTCTGGGCCATGATCTGACAACATAAAGTACATGGTCAAAAACCCTGGGCTTATGCCTACAATGAGCTCACTACGCGAGGGTGAAATCGGCAAGAAACGTGAGATGATCGCTGAGATCCTAGCCGGCTGCTGGTCCTCCTGCATCTCTCCAGACCCCGTCACCCAGGAGCCATTCGTCGCAAACGCCATCATCGCAAACCCACCCAGCTTTGCTCATGTACACTGTGCAGAAGCTCTTGGCGTCCCTTTGCACATTGTTTTCACCATGCCATGGAGTCCAACCCGTTCCTTTCCCCATCCACTAGCCAATGTCAAGAACACCACCACCGATCGTCGACTTGCAAACTTTGTCAGCTATGGAATGGTACAACTCTTGACATGGAATGGGTAAGTTTTCTCTCGGCACAGCTTTGCCTGGTCAGAGTTGATATTTCTCCAGGACCAGCGATATCGTCCAGAGATGGAGGAAGTCTATTGATCTAGAGCCCCTTCCTGCTTTTGAAGCCCCCTTCTTACTCGACACTCAGAAGATTCCCCATACATATTGCTGGTCCCCTGCCTTGGTCACGAAGCCCAAAGATTGGGGGCCACACATTGGTGCGTGACACTACTTAACGCATTTGCTTCTCCTTGCTCATACTCTGGGCAGATGTCTGCGGGTTTCTTTTCCGCGAAGTCAATGAATACACTCCTCCCTTAGCTTTGGTCAACTTCTTGGAATCTGGACCACCACCGATTTATGTTGGTTTTGGTAGCATAGTGTCTCCGGATCCAGAAGAACTCCTCGATATCGTGCTTGAAGCTGTCAAAATTTGTGGTGTACGTGCAATCATCTCAAAAGGATGGAACAACCTTCAGCGCATCGACGCCAGCCAGGAGGTCTTCTTTCTTGGCGACTGTCCTCATGGTGAGCTCACTCTTGTTTCGTCAAAGCGTGTGCTGACTTGTTGTTTGTGATGCCAGAATGGCTCTTTCAGAAGGTATTTGCTGTGGTACATCATGGTGGTGCGGGAACTACTGCTTGTGGTCTCCTCAACGCCCGCCCTACAACCATCATCCCGTTCTTTGGCGAGTAAGTATTGAGACCCTCTCCTCCGATTATTAGGCTCGGCTCATCTTGTCTAGCCAGCCATTCTGGGGTGAAATGGTTGCAAGCGCAAGGGCTGGTCCCCGCCCCATCCCTTTCAAGAAGCTTAATATCCACAACCTCAGTGAAGCCATAAAATACTGCATGACCAATGAAGCTTCACAAGCAGCAGCAGCCGTCGCAGACAGAATGCGGACCGAGAACGGTGTCAAAGCCGCGATCAACTCTTTCCATCGGAATCTACCCCTGAAAGACATGCAATGTGATTTGATCCCAGAACTTCCCGCCGTATGGCAATACACAAGTGGAAAGAGGCCTATCAAGTTGTCCGGCGCAGCTTTAGAAACCCTGCTCCGGTTTTCGAAAATTAAGGAAAATGACGTGGCGATATACAAATCTAAGCCCATTCATGTGGAAAACAGACGTTGGGATCTGATCACCAGTTCCATCTCTTCCACCCTCGGCTTCAGCTATGACATTTTGGAGTCCTTGAGCGGGATAGGCTTAAAACCACGAGAGATTTATAAGAACAAGGAGAAGGCTCGTGCAAAGGTATTGGCAGCCACCGAGGCCTCCGGCGTCAGCGATCAGCGTGAACTGGTGCATAACAATGAGAGGTCTCCACGAGACCTAGGCAAGATGATAGGCTCATCAGCAATGAGTTTAGTGCAGCTTCATGGGGTCGTTATCAAAGGGACACTCGCCGATGTTCCCGTTGCCGTCACTGAGGGCTTACGCAATACCCCCAAACTTTATGGCGAGGGCGTTCCAGATCTTGAACCCGTCACCGATTGGAAAAGTGGCCTGTCAGTGGCCGGACGCAATTTCACGCGACAGATGGGAGAAGGCCTGACAGACATTTTTGTGCAGCCGGTGAAGGGGTTGTCCAGAGAAGGCGCCGTAGGCCTAGGCAAAGGCTTCGCAAGGGGGACAGTGCAGACTGCCACGAAGCCTGCTGCTGGTAAGTCATTACTCTTGTCTCATCCAAGAAGGTGTCCATACATTTCTAACCAAACCGCGAGTCTGTAGCTGTGCTGGGATTGGTTGGGTACACGAGTCAAGGCATCTATAAGTCTCTCCGCAGCACCTTCCGGTCCAAAACTCGAGAGACCTTAGCATCTGCTGGTCGGGTCCGAGACAAGTATTTTCTCCACGCCAAAGGCGCCACAATCGATACTGCCGACGTATTGAACCGGTTCACAATTTTCACAGAAAAGACAAACAAGTCTATGACCAGTGCTGAGAACGGCCCTACCACCCCACCAGCCTCTTTGGCAAGAACACATCCGCCCGACGAAGAGCAACAAGAGGCTTTGTTGAGTAGCAGACGCCTGGGACAGCCAACATCACTGGACATATCTCTAGTAGATCCTCCACCATGGTCCCAAGCCATGGCATCCCAGCCAGCCAACTCAACCCCAGATGCGGACGCCTCTCTAAACGTTTTAGCCGAGCAACCATGGGTCGAATCTCAGGAGCCAGTGTTTGACCTCGCTCCGAATGCCTGTCTGCCTCCTGCACGCGATCACTCGATGGATTTTGGAAGCACTGCATCATCTCACGCGGGGGACGAAGGAGGCGACCAGCTGCCCGCCACCGTTCCTGGTCAGACCCCGCTAAGGGTTAGGAGACGCTCAGATCCCGAGTTGCCAGCGTACATATGATGCCAGATTTCTACCAACAGGTCTCGCCTAAGCGCACAAAACTGCAGCTCTTGGTACTGCCATCGCCCTTCGCCCGGGCCTACAGGGTGGCTATGAAGTGTTTCTAGAGATGTGGACGTGATTGCCTCCAGCTGTCGTCAAAGACATTGTCCATGCCGGGTGGAACATCATGTTACACCCAAATAACGCCATGCAATGCCTGCTAATGATAACAAAACTGTGCCGCTCCCGGTGAGGTCACTAGTAGTTCTCATAACCGTGGCCAGACTCTGCCAAGCCCAGCATGGCCTCCAAAAGGGCACGCTTCTCATTGTCATCTCTTTTACCAAGAGAAGCAATGGTATCAGTAAGGTTGAGAGGCTCATAGGCATCCCTCCAGGTATCCGTAGAGAACAAAGGGACATCTGGTTTACAGACGGTGCCAGCCTTGGGGAGGGTGCCATGGAGGAAATACTCGCGGATGGCTTCTGCTGTGCAAAGCGATGGCTGTGCTCCGGCACCGTGCTGGGATAATACATTAGCTTTACGGGGATTTTCAAGTTGTTGATGTGTTTCAGACTTACTCCGTAGCCGTCATGGCGCAAGAGCACGCTCCCTGCAAATGTCTCACTGTTGTTCTGCGCAGATCGAAAGGGTGTGACGGGATCATGACTATTTCCCACGACCAGGATGGGTGAGTTGGTTTGGACTTGCCAGTCGCCTCGGTAGACTTCATGAGCCTTCGCCAACCATCGTGAGCATCTGATTGGGTTGATGGTTCCAAAATCGAAACCACCCCAGCCACTTAGTTCGTCAACCTGCTGCAGCAGCGGCCGAAGGTCTTCGAAGCTGTCGTGGCGCATCGAGGTTTCGCCGCAGCGAATTCCATAGATAGCATCCGGGGTAGTTGCTGCGGTTCCCGAGTTCATGGTTTCACGGAAAGCGGTGATATTGCCGTCAAGTAGGCCCTGTAGTCCACGAGCCATGGTTGGCCAGCGGGACGGGCTATAGAGTCGATCGAAAATGTAGCCCTTGACTGTGGTATAGGTAAGGAAACTGACCGAGGTATCTGATACCGTCGCCCACGGAGTTTGTCTGAGATTCCCCAGCAGTGAGTCGATGCTTTCTGCGAGAGATTCGATAGCGGTGCCATTCCGTGCCAGCGCGCACCGAGAAGGATTCTGGATGCAACCGGAGAAGAAACCTTGAAGAGTTGAGTCAAGATCTGCGTTGGAGTCCGCATCACTACAAAGTGTTAGTATTTACCATCGGGAGCTAAGCATTCACCCACAATCCTGTATAATATTGCTGGGCATTGACATTGGAATCGAGGACGACACGGTCTACCCTTTCAGGGAACATGGCGGACACGGTCGCTCCAAGGATGGTTCCATAAGACACCCCCCAGAAACGGAGGAGGCCATCTTCATCCAGAGCGTCAACGATACGGATCATGTCCCGGGCGACGTATGCCGTGCCAATTAGGCCGATTCGATCACTGGCAGCCCGAAGACAATGCTGGGAGCTTACCCCGGCACTGACAAAGTTGTGACCAAGTGCGACATCGGACGAATTGCCTCGAGTATAAGGAGGAGCTTGGGCCGATCGCTCCGAGGAAGAGTTGTAGCATGTGAATGGCAAGGTAAAATTGACGCCGCTGGGCGCCACCATCAGTTGGAGGTAGAGTAGATATAGGGAGGGCGAGAGGCTTACCGTGGGTCGAAGCCAATAAGGTTGAACTGGCCGCCAGTGAGACTGTGGCGATTAGTTGGAAGAAACAGACCAAAGGAGGGAATTGCTGACTCACGTCAACATCTCCTGAGCCCTTCCTATGACATATTGTATACCACTACCGCCTGGACCCCCCGGGTTGAACATGATGCTACCCAAGACAGGCTCCTTGACCGCGTCGACCCTGACTAAGGTGAGAGCCAGGGTATCGTCCACGTCCGGGTCAACATAGTCGAGAGGCACTTGAAATGATGCACATTTCAATGGTAATGCACTGGCTGCCGAGAGCGACGAACAGTTTGTTGACCAGTCGATCTGGCTATCTCCAATTTCCGGACGCTGACCGTCTTGGTAGGACTGAGCATGGGATACACCGACTAAAAGTGCGGCGGCGCTGAGGAGCACGCTTGATAAGAATTGCATAACCTGAAGTGAAGATAAGGAGCGAATGGTGGAAAAGAAAATGATAATGAATCAAATGAATGTTATGGTCACAGATGTGGAATACTCTTATCCATCGTGTACATGAGCGATTCGAGGTGTTATACTCGAGTATACATCAAGTTGGACAGTGTTGTCATGAACCTGCGGTCAGGCCAACAACTGAGTGGCGGGCATCAGTGGCCGCAGCCCCTCCGCCGTCTTGGGCTCCCCAGGCCAGGCTGTGTCTACCGCCAGTGTTTGAGAAGTGGCCTTGGGAGTTGTGTTCAGCAATGAATACTCATACAAGAAGGGCCGTAGGAGGCTTATCGATCTTGGCTGATTTATATGATTGTGTCATCCGAGGTGGAATTGGCAAAGGGAGACCTGGGCTCATTGAAGGCTTCCCTCACGCCTAAACAAGACTAATTTGATACTCCAAATATAGCCACTAAGACGGCCGAGGGGGCCGAAGGGGCCCCCCAGCACTTGCGTGGAACTACTGAGTACCAATTGAAAGACGTTGCAAAATCTGATTGTGTGGGGGCTGTGCAGGGCCCGAGTCTAGTCTATTGTAACTGCCAACCACATATCTCGTGATGAGTATTGGTAATTTTCTGGTCTGTTGTCTGTTGTCATGAATCAATTAATCGTCTGTCGTGAACGGCGAATCTCACATCGTAGATGCTTGAGATGTCCACAAGTTTGGTGTAGACTACTTCAAACATGTTTTTCAAGGAGGGATTGATTTCCTCTTGCCGATGTTGACTTCAGTCTCTGGCCCTGGCCATACAGGGGCAAGGCAGATATCTCTCATGCTGGGTCTTTTTTGAGGGTCAGAACGTAACGCAGTCTGAAGTATGGCGTCAAAATCGGTGTGGGAATATTCTATCCTGCCTCGCAAGAGGCCGAGGATAGCATCATCGATAACACCTGACGACCGCCGCTTGAACATGCCATGAAGGAGCTCAAAGCCAACGACTCCAAAGGCAAAGACGTCTGACGCGGTAGACCAAGAGCCCTTGGATCTGCTGGAGATCTTCAGATCTATGATCTCGGGTGGAAGATAGGCCATTGTTCCCTTGAGGTGATCCTTGGAGTGAAGTTCCCGTGTCGCATGGCCAAAATCTGCAACCATGACTCGGAAGGGATCGGTAACGAGGAGGTTATTGGGTTTCAGATCGCGGTGAATGATGCCTCGAGAATGGACGTAACGCACTCCTTGAGCGGTCTGATGCAATGCACGGAGAAGGAGAGCTCGGTCTTCGGAGGCACCTATCAACTCGGCCAATGTCCTGGTTGCGAGAGGAGAGAGGATCATGAAGACCTCATTGACCTTTCTGTCTCCCATTCCATACTCGTCGCCGTCGGAGAAAAGGACATTGTGCAGGATGCAGATGTGAGGCTGAGACGGTTAGCGCAAGTGGAAAATCGAGCGCTAGACTTACATGCGATCCCAGGTACTTCATCATGTTGACCTCATGGGCAACAAGGTCAAAGTTGTACTTTGTCCTGGTCAGTTTCTTGACGGCGTAGACCTCACCGGTCTTGAGATCGACGGCAGCAGACACTGTGCCATATGTACCAGAGGCCTGCGGGGTCTGAATGGAGTAGTTTCCGAGATGATAATGGTTCGAGGATGGTGTAGGATCCAAAGAGGTGGTGGGGTAGGAATTAAACCCGGGGTTAGCAGCGAGCAGGTCACGAAGCGCCTGGGTATAGCGAGATTTGACTGCCGGATGCTGGGAATACTCGAGGGTGTAGGTCAAATTTCCAATGTCAATGCTCTGAGAAGGCCAGGACACGACTCTACCGTTCCTGTCAATCTTCTCTGCATTGATTGAGACGTGAAGAGCACCCGATACCGTTTTCAGCATGAGCATGCTGGTGGTGGGGTGATGGACTAGACGGGCATGTCGACCGCGGACAAAGTCGCGCTCGCCGTTGAGGGTGATGAGCAGATCCACTCCGAGGTTGACTTTGTCACTCCGTCCTGCACCAATGATCCAGCCGCTTCTAAAATCCGAAGGTAATACAAACATGCTAAAGCAAAAGTATCCTGTTCGCTGAGGGCGAGGCGCTGGCTCATCATCGTCGCTGAGTGATGAGGTTGGGGAGGAGGGAGCTGGGGAATGGCTTGTAGCGATGCCCTGATCTATCTGTGGGCTTTCTAGAGCAACTGGACGCGAAGGAAGTGGCGGCTGTTCATCAAGATGAACAAAAGCACGAGAGTGAGGCAGATATGCTGGATCATCGAGACTCACTGCAATCTCATGGAACGCACGGATTGCAGCGGGGTTGGAGGGAATGAGCCTGGCAAACGTGTCCAAATCAGAGTCGGACACGATAGGAACTGTCAACGAAGTTGCTGGAGGAATGGCATCTAATGGGGGAGCGTGGAGTCGATCAAACTCAGAAAGTCGCTGGGTGGGTTCCCCGTCATAGTCAGGCTCGGCCATTGGCAAGAGATAGGGGTGGACAAGAGAAGGAGGTTGAACATGACTGGCGTGAAAATTCAAAGTGTTTGGTCTCTGGATGCCAGCACATGCATGATGGGCATTGCTCGCTTTTGTACCATAGGAGGGTGGGCCCAGTGCAAGGCAAAAAGGAGCGAACGATATGAGATATTGTCTTCGAAAGAGGCTGAACAATGGGTTTGAGAGATTCGGATGCTCGCCTGGCAAAAGAAATAGAGGCGACGAGTCGTCAGGCGTTTGTGGTGTGCACCAACTTAGGTAGTCATGCGGATGTGTCGAAATGTTGGTGCCTGGATAAACAAAGGTGGGAGGGAGTTGGACTGAATCAATTGTTGTTTTGTCTTGTGGATGAGAGAGAGGATGGCAAGCAGGCGTCACTGACTGAGGTTTGGGGCCAAAGGGCCAAAGAGCCAAAGGGCGCCTGCCACAACCACAATCACTGCCCCCGTGCCACTTCAACCCCGCCTCAAGTTAAGTACTCCGTAGTATGGAAAGAGCGACCACTTGCTTGGAGTAGAATTCTTTTGGTCAGACACGTGGTCTGGTTGTGGTCGTGGTCGTGGTCAGGCAAGTCCAGTTACTGAACAGCCCCAATTAGACATTATCACGGTTGAACCGTCCCCTCGCTAGGCTTAGCAAGTCATTATTCTTAATCCTACATACGACTGTAGGCATAGCCTATAAATTTGTCGATATCTTGAATTTATGAAAACTGACCACTTGTCCAGATGCTGTTCTGGAAGGACGCATCAATTGGTGGTTGCCTTTAGCCAAAGAAAGTCCATGCCAAGGCGCTAAGGCGGTCCGTACTACTTCACCATTCCAGCTTTGCGTTGTGATTGCCAAACACACCCACGTGACTTTGGCCGCAGTTTGCCACCCTTCTTCCTCCCGCCATGTTCTTCCTTTATCGCTTTCCCATCACTCCAACTCAACCTCATCCATCATCCTTGCCCCCGAGCAAGCACGTCGTCCCATGACTTTATGCCACTTCATCTTCACCACAGCCTTAGCCACGATGGACAACACCTTCTGACCACCACTTTCTTGTCGTCATGGCCCCACGACTTCACCTCCACATCGCCGAAGGCGAAGGCATTGACCCAGACGACGCCTTCAACCCCTTCCATCGCAGACTCAATGACTTGACCACCGACCAGCGCATCCATTCAGCCACTGCAAAACTCCGAGCCATCGCTGCAGGATTCCCCTCTGATTCCCCCCGACAGGACTCTGGATCCATTCGTGGTTTGCGTGCCGATTCCTCCTCTTCTCAAGACTCATTCTCGAACCCTCATGACGCTGCAATCCCCGACCAGCACCTCACGTCCCAACAACTCTACTTTCGAACGTACTGGCAAGCCCTTCCCGCAGAGTCTCCTCGATCACTCAGTCCAACGCCTCCTCCCAGTCAGGCTCCATGGAGGACTCTCTTCCATGAAGACCTGCACAGAAGCTCTCCCAGCCCCACTCATCATCGTGGCAGAGTGTCCAAAGGTCGAGTTGCCAAACCTCTTCCAAGGCATTCTATGGTTACCAGATCCAAAGCCCGTGCTGGGCAGCGATTTCTTGCCCTCAACTTCGACGGACGACCGCCTTGAAAATGTTGCAAGCAACCCCCCCTTGAAACATTGATAAACTACATCTCAGCACAGATATCTGAGGCCTTAGCAGCACCTTTATCTGTGGGATACTCAGCACTGCGTCGTGCTCACGTCCCAGGACAGGCTTGCTTATCGCCTCGTTCGCGCAGTGGACAATTCGACTTTGGTTGAAAGCAATCGCCCCGCAGGAGATGCATTTCTCTCACACAGTGGGTGGACCTATTTAAGCGCAAAGATTACAACCCCGCAATATAAGGGTCTCGGCCACTTGAGCTACACCACAATCCCGGCCAGGCATGGGATGAGCTCGAAGCCTCGCCGTAAAGCCCTTGAGATGTCTTAGTCGTCCTGACCAAGATATATAAGCCGCTGTGTGGCCCAGTACCCCGCTTACGCCTACCATAGGTATGTGAAAATTCTACAGGCTCATGTCTGTGCCTCGATGAACCGCATGGGTACAAAGGATCAAATTCGCTCATAACACGGCAATCCTCGGCACTATCTCGGTCAGCACACCTAGTTTCTTGCGCTATCATGTATGTAACTGGAATACAAAAGTGACCAGACACTCGCAAGTCTACATTGCATTGTGATGCATGCGTCTAGTCTAGATACTACCTATCAGATGACTTTTCCGCCAAATTTCCTTTGTCCCCGGGCCTGCCGCTGTACTCTCTCCTTGTTCTACCAGATCCGGCTATCTGATGGTGCACAAGGTGTTTTTGAGGGAGTATCTTTTCTCCGTGCTCGTTAGCATGTCCAAATTCCTTTCTCCATCTGGACTCGTCTCCAGTCACCACTCTCTCAACCTCATCGCCATGGCAGCCTCCTTCCAACATGTCAACCAGGATGCCGAGGCTGGTGAAGAGATCTGGACAGATGCAAATCAATTGCACGGTTTAAATCCCACTGTCTTTCAATCCTCTTATGCTGCAACCGCCTTTTGCATCCAAGAGCCGCCAGGTGATAACGAGCAGGTGGACAGAAGGCACCCCTTTCCTCGCTTTCTCCCTCCAAACCGAGGCCCAGCTGCGCCGAAGCCATCCATTCTTTCGCCCCTCCTTGCACGGAACGAACCGAGACAAATGCAAAATAGACATGTCGAATTCCCCACGACTCAAGTGGGTGTCTCTACAGTTCTAAATATACCACCGTCCTCCCTGTGGCTTTTGGCATATCTCGCTTGTTTGGACGCTGCAGATGTAACGATCATGACGGCTATTTATCTCACTTTGGTGTTACTCACTCTCTTCCTCGGCCGGCACATCATCGCACATGTGCTCAAATTTGCAGCTTGGTTCTTACTTTTGTCTTTGCTCACAATTTTCAACATAGGCCTGGTTTGGTTGATTTTGCTGTCCATAGTCCACTTTCCCTTCCTCTTACCGTTTTATAGCGTCGCTGCTTGCATGACACTCTTCACTGGCTTGTTCGCCTATGCTCTTGTGCAGGCCATACAAGCTGCGCGGGCCACGAGCTGACTGGTTGCCGCTAGCCATCCACTACAAAACAGCGAATGGTCTAGATTGAGATTATACGCGTCGGCATCCTCTGGTGGAGATCAAGACCAGCTGCTGTGCCTTCCGCTGCGGGGACAGGACCACGAGAGAACTGGCGCATCCCACAGCACAATGGGTTCATGTCTTGAATGGAAGCTCGTCTTTGAAGGCCTCGTTCACTGGCTCTTTGATGCTAGGCTAATCCGAGTCATCATGGAGGAGTTCAAAGAATGTTTACACACAAACCCAGTCCTTGTGCAGGATCCTGCACACAGCCACCTCTTTGTAAAACTTCTTGCAAAAGTTCATTCTCATTGTGGCCACTCAAAGTGGCCATTGTTTGAGCTGGTGTTGGAAACAACAATGGTTATGCCGTACAGAGCATATGATGTTCATATCCCACAGAACCTATGCTGCATCTACTTTGACCACCAATGGGTAACCACCCGCTCGATCCAACTCCATCATATCCAACACGTTTCATCTCCAAGACTTTGTCCCTTTCCAACCTCCTCCTTCCTCCCTGACAAGTTCACAATGGCACTCCATTTGAACCGGCCATTATCTAGCTCAATTTATTGCTTGGCGTCTGCTGCGGCGATCGTCGAAGATGTTTTCATCGGCGGTCTGGTCGTCCCTGCATGTGTTCAAGTAATACGCTTGGTCCAGTGTATCCTCCTACTGCTAGAAACATCATGTACCCCACAATTACTGGCTGTCATCAAATACGCCTGTCTCTGGCTGCGTTGACAAGGTGTCCTAGGGGTGTTTGTTGCCTTGTTTGCTTTGACATGCTATCCAGAGGAAACCCTTGCTGCCTTGTCACACTTGCCAACAATTTTGTTGTCGTTCAGCTTTGTGCTCGTCTCATTATACGTTTTATCAAAAGAGGCTAATCTTCCTTGGGGATACTGATTGATATTATCGGCCCTGTTCCTGGCTAGGTCGTGGCTGTATCCCACCGTTGTCTGTCTACTCAAATTGGGCATTCAGACAATTGTTGCTGCACACAGGCGTAAAAGGTTGTCAATCAATCCAATCAGCGAAGAATTCCACCGGTGGTCCTACACTGGATGGGTGAGGCAGCCTTCTGAGTAAGCATTATCAAGACCGTCATATATAGCATTTACCCTTTGATAGCCCAAGCACTACCAAGTAGCATGTACAGCCAAAATAAAGTAATAAACCTTGATCAACCGTCCATAAAACTGTGGGGTCCGATGAAGGCGGGTGACCTGGTCGAAATCTTCTCCAACACCCGAGCCCGGATGTGCCAGATCAATGAACCTCGGATGTTTGATGGTGTTCCTTATCAGTCTAGGAATACCACCCAGTTCACCAAACACTTGCCGTTCTTTTTGAAGATTCCTCGGCTCGTCGTCTGGTAATACTCCCATTGCTCTTGACTGTCCTTTGTAACCTAGAGAAAAGGGTTCATCAGTTTCTGGGCTTGTCAAAAACATCTGCAACCAGAACGCAGTGCAGTGGTGACGTACATCCTTGCCCCCGCAGAAAGAGCTCGAGGGCGTATCTACCTGCTAGTTCAACAGCTCTCGATTACTTGCTACCTGTGACAGTTTGTATTCAACATAGAGCTTCACCCTATCATGTCATCCGACTACAAATTTCAAGGATGGTTGGGTCTAGACCCGGACTCTGCCAAGGGGCAGATGGTCTGGCAAGAGTTCGAACCCAAGACATTCGACGACGAGGATATCGACATTAAAATCACGCACTGCGGTATCTGTGGCTCTGACCTGCACACTTTACGCTCTGGCTGGGGGCCCACAAGCTATCCGCTCTGTGTCGGACATGAGATAGTCGGACGGGTCGTGCGCGTGGGTACAAAGGTCAAGGATATCAAGCTCGGTGACCGAGTTGGGGTTGGTGCTCAATCATATGCTTGCCAAAACCGCAACGGTGACTGTGAAGCATGTGCTGATGATCTCACGCCCCATTGCCCACGCAATGTCAACACCTACGGTGGACGGTGGCCAGGTGGGAGTACGTCGCAGGGCGGATACGCTGACTATTGGAGAGGCAACTCCAGCTGTGTGATCAAAATCCCGGACCAGATCTCATCAGAGCACGCAGCACCCATGCTCTGTGGTGGTATCACAGCTTGCAGGCCATTGTTTACCCATGGTGCCGGTCCTGGCAAGAAAGTGGGAATTATTGGTATCGGTGGTTTAGGCCATTTCGGCATCATGAGTGCAAAAGCTTTGGGATGCTCCGAGGTCGTGGCCATCTCACGCACAGCCTCGAAAAAGGCCGATGCGATGAAAATGGGTGCTACCAAGTTTATCGCCACGGACGAAGATAGAGACTGGGCTCGCAAACATTCCAGATCGCTGGATTTGATTGTATGCACTGTCTCAAGCCCCAAACTTCCTCTAGAGATGTACCTGCAGCTTTTGCGACTCAAGGGCGCATTCGTCCAGATTGGAGCTCCAGAGGACGTTTTGCCACCTGTCAGCGCATTCTCTCTCATGTCCAAAGCATGCACACTGACTGGTAGCCTCATTGGCTCCCCCAACGACATAAGGAGAATGCTTAATCTCTTCGTGGAAACTGGCGTCCGAACATGGAACAACAACTATTCCATGCGGGAGGCGAACAAAGCCCTCATTGACTTCGAAGCTGGCAGACCACGTTATCGCCTCGTGCTGGTGAATGAGAAAAACTTGGACTGAAAGGGCCTCGAAAGTGTTCTGTACAGTGAACTGAGCCGGTCGCCAGAATAGCAGAGGGTATAGAATAGGGAAATATGTTTCGATGGCATCACACCGAGTGCCATTGTTCAACTTATTGAGAACGTCTAGAACAGGCGTCCAAAGATGGTAATCCACGTGACGAATCTTCGAGTAAAGCCATATTTACTTCACCGTATGCTCTGGACTCGTCGATGCAGTGAACCGTTCTATCCCTGAGACGCAGATACTGACCTCGTCGCAGATCCTCACTTCACATCGTTTGCTTACACTCACGATGCCTCGTATTCTCGACCTAGCGACTTCAATTGTTCATCAGTATGACAGTCATCACCGAACGGGAACTAACAAGCGATAGTTCTTGAAACCCTGTCTGCCCTGACCCTCCCACGTCGATATTATTCGACTGCCCCCGTGATCCTTGCACATGCCATACTCTAGCAAATGGTCCAGTCTTGAGAAGCCGAGGCTATACAAGGGATGATATACATTCGTTCGGGTCGCTCATCTCGCTGTCTAGACACTGTAGAGGCGAGCGGAGGCCTTTTCTCCATTCTCATACCGTCTCACGCTGAGCATATAGCCATATCTCTAACATATGCTGAGCTTCCAGGTCAGGGCAGAGGGCTATAGTCTGGCGAATCCATGGCCATGTCGTGTGGCTAGTATATGCCTCAAGATTTACAGTGACAGGTATCTCATTAACAATTATCCTCGATAGTGGAAGATAGTCATCACCAAGCAGAACGAAAATTCAGTCTCACTGCCCGGTGTTCACGTGTGCGAGTAGACAAAACTCCTGCTAACCGCCTTCAATGTCGACTTTCTTCCAATACTGCCATCTCATCGTGATATGGATAGGTTTGAGGAGACCATTCGACCACCCCTTACATCATGGTGGGTGTTTCCTCAAACAGCAAACGGCGGTTGGTGATCGGGTTCTACAATCCAAAGCCTGGTTTCACAAAGTCTTATTAGAATCCCAATGCTTAGAGAGGTTTGCCGGGCATCGGGACTGGATTTGTGATCGTCGCGGAGATGTGTTTCTGTCGATGAAAGCCAAGGTCAGCAACGTTCAAACCCACCACTGATTCACCTGCCCAAGACATGCGGTAGAATAGGCACAAAACTTACCCCCGGGTCGAAATCACTGCCACCCTGGCTTGACCTCCAGTCGGTTTGGCTTCCTTGACCCACAGGTGGGCTGGGCAACTCCTGCACGGCTGTCGCATCAGAGTACTGTGTTGGGGATGCTCCACGATACTCAGGATTGGGCAAGGCTTGTGACTGTTGGAACGGCTGAACCGAATCGGGGTAACCTGCCGACGAGGCTGGTTGGCTGGAGTAAAACACTGGTCCGAGGGGCCCGTATGGATAACTCTGCGGGGATCCATAAGGGACCGGACTGGGTCCTGAGTTTGGAGGCATTGGGGACGCCGGTGAGTGGTACATCTGCGTCATTGGGTCGTAGGGCGGCTGTGTTGAAGAGGCGAGGACTGTCTCCTGCCGCCGATTGCGTCGCCGAATGCAGAAGAAAATGATCAAAGCGATTAGCAAAATGCCTCCAACACCACCTACGACGCCACCAACAATAGCACCAGTGTTGGTCCCGCCCCCCGGGACAGGTGACTCAGACGGAACAGCGCTGGAACTTTCGACTGGAGGGTTCGTTGGAGTCGGCGTTGGTGTTGGTGTTGGTGTTGGCGTTACCACTCCTCTACACAACTTTCTTGGAATTGCTCCCCCCTGTGTACCAAAGTTCTGACGAATAGCTTTTGCCAGGCGGAATTCTTCCTGATCAGTGTCCAAAACCAGATAGTTCATTGTCATAAAGGGCAATCCCCATGTCGCCAGAATATTACGACCAGGGACATCGTTGGTATAGTTGTAAACCTGAGCGATCTTCAGGCTCGTGCTCGACGTTGTAAGATTGCCCAATGAGTTTATGACGCGGGGATAGGTGAAAAGCTCAACCGCAGGAATGGAAACCGAGTATGCGCCTTGTATTGTGACGTTTAGACTTCCAGTCGGCACTGATGCCACAGGGTAGCTGATGCTGCCCAGGGAGGAATTGTAGACCCCTCCAGTAACTGTCATGAAATTGCTCCACAAGTCTTGGGGCAATTCAATCGTGTTGAAAAAGGGATTCATGGCAACTTGCAACGCAGAAGTAGTGCCATTGAAGATGGAGACAGACTCCCCGTTCTCGACCCATGCAATGTCGGCAATTTGAAGGCATGCAGGGCAGTTATCGTAGCTGGGAAAAGACTGGAAATCGCCGTCGGCTCGGGCTGTATCATACGCACCGACGATCAGAAGGCCGTCAGCTGGATTCTCGAAAGACCGGCTGCCGGGCCACAGACCCCAAGATGTCACCGCAGCCACACCCATGTCGACTGCTGTCTTCAAGAATGATGAGTTGCGACCTAGACCGACGTAACCATTGCTAGCTTGGAGTTGTCAGCGATGACACGAAATCGAGGCGTGGGGGGAGGTAGGCATACTCCAACCAGGCTCAGACCACGTTGAGAATGGAAATCCCCAGCCTTTGGCCGTGATGCCATCGAACGACAGTGTATCTTGATAGAGGTGAAAGTCCGACACTGTTTCTTGATCTGAGAGAGTCGAATTCCAGTCTGACGTTGAGGTCAGGTTGACGTAGGTCGACGACAAGCTGGGATCATAAGTGCCCCCGACTTGCGCCAGACAGTCAACATCAGCATCGCCGTCGCAGTCGTCATTGCGTGCAACCAATGTTTTCTGCCACAGCGAAGGCCTCAATATGACACGCTGTCGAGGTGTGCCGAGACCCAACGAGATACCCCAGCTTTTGGCGATAGTTGAAGTCTCAGTCACTTCGGTGTTTTCGATTGGCAAGTAAAGAGGGTCCGCCAGATTCTGGCATGGTGGCAACTCAGACGCCATGTTCAAGACCGTTGAGACTGGACAAGGTTCGAGGTAATGGCATATAATACGTTGGAAATTCCTAAGAAGCCAACTGTGAACCGTTATGAATAGACAAACACTGAAGAGAAGTCGAATATCGCACCAGCACTTTGGAGCCAGAATAAAATATCGTCAGGCCAGAGTAAGTAGATCCAGGCCATACTAGGCGATTAATTATGGCCATGGGGTCGGATATAGATCTGGCGACGCGAAGTGGGTGTTCAACATATGCTGATTTGCCAAACTAATGGCACTCACAGAGAACGAGATCCACGCCACCGAGGATGGCGTTCAAAGTGCGCCTTGGTAGTTTCTAGGGCGAATGATTGTGCAGCCAGAGTATAACTAGTGTCGCTCGCAATACGAGACGGTCTCTCCACCATTCCTCCCACTTGTTCATGTGCGATGAATTGTCACTCTTTTCCAGTCCAAAATTGCGTAAATGACTGGCGATTGCGTGAATTTGTGGCCTGTCTCCGAGACTGTCAAACACAAGAGCCCTCTCCCCCTTCGAAGGTGATGATTTCAACCAAGTGTTGGCTAAGGCTGAGAAGATGAAATGAGCCAAGACAGCTAGCTTGTCTGTGGTGCAGGATTGGCTTCAGCCCCCAAGACATCCATCATGTACGGAGTATGGCAGCCCCCCGTGGCCCCCATCCCTTCCAATATCAGCCGGTTAGGACGGTCCCAAACGGTTCACCGGGACAGAGGATATGGTACTTTCTTTTTCTCCTACTTGAAAAACCAACCAGGACTGATCCCGGTTTTAGCAAATACGGAGTACAGCCTGGTGCCCCGTTCTGCGAGGGTGGTATTGGATTTCAAGCTCTAGATCTCCTAGGCCTTTGTGACTCTACCAGGGTCCATCGATATTCACCTGGAGCTACGGAGGAGCGACTGCCTTCGTTTGTTCTATTGTGGAAGCGCTTGAGAGTTCGAGTCCCCAGAACCCAGAACTTGACGCTTTAACGACAAAGGCCTTCAAATAGCTATCTGTTGCCAGTCCCTTTTTCCTCCTTGCGTCTGGCAAACTTGGAGAGGCTGGATGTCTCATTCATGTGGTAAAAGTTCAGCGCTTCTGAGAAGCCCGATGGACCTTGGCCCAGTCCTCCTGCGGGCATAGACACCTGGCACCTGCATGGCGTAGGGTCGATCAGAATCCCTCGTAAATGTCCACCAGACCAGAGATGGCTAGGTGACCCTACCGTGGCTTTCCTGCCGCAGCCTAACCAACGATCGCCAGTCCCAATTTTACAGCGCCATGTGAGAACGATCAGTTTGCTTGTCCACCACTCTTGGACATGTTAACCGAAGTGTGTTGCAGAGTGGCCGAAATGAAAACAGCCAATGACGGCCCACCAACTGATGGAGCTTGAGATCTAAACAGTATCGAAGAAACGGCAATGGTCTAGAGCTGCCAAGTCGCCAACAGGCGAGAGCCTTTATAGGTACAATATTCGTAATATGTACGGAGTACTGCACTATGTGCGTATGCCTGTTGCAGGCGCCTCGGCTCTCAGGGGCCAAAAGATGCGGCTGAAATTGGGGCCGAGGGGCCCGCAGACAAGTTGTGTTGACTATGGCTACCCAACCTGCCGGACCAAGTTCGCGTGGGTCTGGATTCTCTGCCCTGCCGTGTGGGTGTCGGTTAACATCCCTTGTCTACCAAAATTCGTTGTGTAGTATTTTTCAGCCTTGTCAAAGCGGGAATATTCATGGTCTCGACTCTCCGTGTTGATCGGACGGCCGGCTTTGCCATTCCACCTTGGAGCCTGACATCTGCAACTACGCAGACTTTGTATTCCCACTTCCGACTCGTAGCCCGGCCAATTTACGAAAGAATGCGGAAAATCGGATACTCGTCTCCTGCCTCCAGCGGAATCACGTTGAATGCGGCTAAACTGTCGATGTTTTCTGGCTCGAAGGCGATGAAGGCCAGCGCAGCATTCTTCTGTCTGGTGTTGATGCGGAAGCTGCCTGGAGGAAGAGTGACATCCCGCGTGATTGTCTCTGTTGTGAGTGTAACACGGAAAACCCCTTCGTAATATGTGGAACTAACCACAGTACTTGTGATGTTGAAGGTCTCTACAGCACCACTGTACGTGTTCTCCAAAGTTTCCACCTCCAGGCCATATGTCTCCATGCGTGCAGCGATATCAGCCCATGCTCGAGGAATGAGGTAGTACTCGGGTCGTGTACGAGTAAGATTTGCTGTCGTTGGAGTGGTGCTGCTAAACTGAATCGGTTGCTCCACCACCGTCCCATTGTCGACATTGATCATGAGATAAGTGCGATTCAAAACCTCTGAATAGTCGGTGACAATGATGTCTTCTTGACCGTCGATGAAATTCGTCACTCCGTCTTCGACTGCCTGATAAACCTCTTCCACGTTGTCTGCTGCGGTCTGGAGAATGCTCTGCACCATAGTTAAGCCTGCCGCTGTTCGGCGCTGAAACTGCTGATCAGCTAGTCCGATTCCGCGCGTCTCGCATAGAAACGTGATCGCCTGAGTGAGACCCATGGCGTTGCGCCCGATTTTAGCGTCACTACCAGCTTCTGCGAACAATATCTCGGAGCCAGGAGTCGGGTTACTGGACCCGGTCACATATGGTTCCCATCGGAATCCTCGTGCCTCCAGATCTCGGCCCATCCTAACGGCAAAGAGTTCTTCAGACACGTCTCGAATGCTTTTATCAATGTTGAGATTTTTCGCGGCCGAGAATAGCGCATCTGACGCATGCACGAAACTGCCTCCATAACGGGTAGACGCGCCATACTCGTGCATGTCGACGATGACATGCGGCGCAAACGAATTTATCAATTGCTTTATGTCCCGAGTCTGCTGGCGCGCTAGTTTGATGTGGTCGCGGTTCGGGTCAAAATTCGTGGCGAGTGTGCGTTGAAAGTAGGCCACACCATCAGGGTTATACCGCGGGAGCACCATGATGTCCATCGAGGCTAAGAGTGATTCCGCCCAGGTCTGATTGCTATCCATTTCACCAAGTAGTGCCAGAACCGCCTGGTCACTGGCAGGCTCGTTGCCGTGGACTGCTGCTTGGATCCAGACTCGAAGTCTGTCCGTTGATTCCCCGTTCTGACCTGGTGGTGATAGGTACACATATGGGAATGACCGTCCTTCCTCTGATTCGAAGTTGGTGTTGTTGTAGGTCATCCAGTCATTCCTAGACGCTAGGGATTGGATGAAGTCATCTAAGATGGTGTGTTAATATATATTTCTGGGGTCCGTCGCGGCAAAGCCCATGCTTTGCAGCACACATACCAAGCTGGGAATCCTCTGTTGGCCCTTGAGTTCCATTCGAGAAGCCAGCTGCCACCGAACCTTGGTCAAGGAAAGCAGGGGCTAGCAACGAGATATTTGTGTCTGGAAAGTTGGCAGCAACAATGTTGGGGTCAGGCCGAACAGTGACTTGATTTTGCCCATACTGTACACCTTGGGCGATGGCACCGGCTACAAAGCTGGCAAGAAGAGGAAGTGAGAGCATTTTCGAGATATGATGGCTTGATCAGCAGAAAGGACCCAGAGCAAGACGAGTTTGGCGTGGCAAACTCGTGCTCTACTTATCCAGATAGAGGATTCAACGGCCTATTTGTGCACGGCATCATCGCGGAGTACGTCCAAGAAATGATTTTCTCGCAGCCGACGTCACACTCCACGGACGTAGGCCAAGGAGTGAAGGGTCCTTTTTCTTCATATTGTACGATAGAGCCGCAGCCAAGGACCGACAATGTTGTGCCTCTACGCGGTGTAACATGACAAGAGGAGATCGACAGGAAGGTTGGGAGAACTGCAAAACCCGCTCCAGAAAAAAGGGTCTCGGATTTCCCCGCAATGCACATCTGAGAGCTTGGCTGTTGAGCTGCGACGCTGCTCACCCGATCTTGTCTGTTGGGACAAAGGTACCAAGGCGATCTACGAAGCCGTGTGTGCGGAATAAGGGAACAGCAGGGTCTCAATTACCTTTTGCCATGCCACGCAAGCTATTTGCTCATCTTCCAGGCGACACCCTCTGACTATCAACGCAGGTCTTATTTTTTGAGGTCCAATGGGACATCAAGCCAGACTGAGATCTTGGGCGTGGTGGCGGTCTATGCGAAGGTTTCTCATTCGGTCGACGAGGAATTCGGTTTCGTCTCCTACACTACGGCACTCACTTCTATATGACATTTGCCTGAGCTTCAATTCTCAATGTACCAGGCCAAATCAACATCCGGATCCATCTCCATGGTTGTAAATCCATTTCCCATAAACTTGAACATATTGGGACTTCGGTAGTCGATGTCATAGTCCTCCGTGCGCAGCTCGCCTCCAATAATCCGCCTGTACAGCATGCCACTCCCAGCGAAGAGGGCAGTTACGCGCCCGTCGACCTGATTCCGCTTGTACCAGCTCTTACATGGCGACGTCCACACCAGTGACTTGTGGATCTCATCCGCGTATGTTACGAATTGGTCAATAACTGACGACTTGGGACAAAATGATTTGATGTCCTCCTCCGCAATCTTCTTAATCCACCGTATAAAGTGGTCGCCGTTCCAATTCATCGCCTCTAATAAAGAGCCGTGGCCGGCGACGGCGTTGGGCCCCAAGACGGTGAAATAGTTGGGCATATTGGCTGCCGTGATGGAGAAGTATCCCTCTGGTTCATGACCCCATTGTTCTCTCAAGTCGATCCCGTGACGGCCGATCGTGGGATATGAGGGTCTGAAGGAGACGTCAAACCCTGTCGCGCAGACCACTATGCGACCAACGGTGTCAGCTTCTTATACTCTCTAAATGTCTCAAAGGTAACACGTCGTCGTTCACTTACACACATCCACCTCATGCACCTTGCCGTCCGCCGTGTGTACTGCGTTGCCAGACATCTTCTCGATTGGACTCTGCGTGAGCTCACAATTAGGAAGCAGAAAAGCTTCTAGATATCCCTCTCCTGGTGTGATGCGACGACAGCCTAAAGACCAGTCCGGGATTAGCATTTTGCATAGTCGTTCATCATGACCCAATCTTTCGGCCATCTGTTCCCGTGCAATAACCATGGCCTCCTTATTCGCTTCCGAGTCTTTGATGAACTGACCCAGACAATCGTCTTGTCAGAGAGTGTTTCGGTGAAATAGGTCAGAGATACGCACCATTCTAAATGCTTTGTTGGTCCGATTAATCATTGCCTTTCGATGCTCTCTCATAATTTCAGGGTGCTCTCGGAAGTTCTTCTTCTCTTCTTCGGTGTACTCTGGGTTATTTCCCGCTTTACCTGTTCGCCCAAGGTGCTGTGAGGGCGGAACACGGTAGTAGATCCACGACGGCCCCCGCGCAAAGTTTGTCACTGTCGTCCCTGGAAGTTTGACCAGCTGGGGCACGATCTGAACGCCCGAGGATCCATTTCCAATCACGGCGATTCTTTTATTGGAATAGTCGAAATTATGATCCCATTTGGCGGAATGCACTCGATGGCCTTGAAACTCATCAAATCCTGGAATCGTTGGCCATTGGTAAGTGCTGTGAGCAATTCCCTCTGTCAGCCTACTTCCTCTCTCGTAAAAGCTGCTAAGAAATGAGATATATACTTACTCTAATGCGCCTTGACCAGAAATCAAAACGTCTGCCCACTCTCCACGGATTTTGCCTTCGTTTTCGACGGTGACTTTCCACATGCCCTTTGATTCGACCCACTCGGCCCGAACTACTTTTGTGTTGAGCTGGACGTCTCGATCCAGGTTCCACTTTTTAGCCGTCTTGACAATATATTCGTGGATCTCAGCGCCGCTCGAGTAGAAACGAGTCCAGTCTGGATTCGGGTCAAAAGGGAATGCCTGTGACAACGCTTCGTCAGAGAGTGACTCTTCAGGTCCATTTGAGTCAGGATAACTTACATAGATGTGGGAAGGGACGTCACATTGAACGCCGGGGTAAGTGTTGACCAGCCAGGTACCGCCTAAATCTGCTCGCTTCTCAAAGATTGTATGCTCGACGATGCCCTCCATCTCAGGGAAGCGGTGTTGGAACTTGTGAGCCATCATGAGCCCCGAGAAGCCTGCTCCCACCGTGATAACTCTCAGTCGTCGCGGTGTAAAGGCCAGGTTATCGCTCATGGGAATCTGATATAAACTCCGCTCAGTCGACCCAATCTTTATCGCATGTTTTGTTTCATTCAGGTAGGCCCCGGCGGCGGGGCCAGCATGGCCATTCGCGAGTTTAGGCAAGTCCTCATTGGCTGATAGGTCGTCCTTGGGAGTGCGTGTAAGTGTCGCATTGGTGGCTGGCACTTCTGTGTCTGACCCGAATGCTGCTTGAGGAGGCAAGTCGTGCTCGATCAACGCCATGCCGTCAGCTTCAGGAATAGTCTAAACCCTGGAGGCGATCGATGGACAGGCACAAAATGCAACGTAGGCAAGCTTGATGGAAGAGCTTATTCAAGACCTTTGGCATCACAGACGTCAGGTCGAGAAAAAGAATGTCTTTGTATACATGCCAGTCAGGCTTGAATACTTCACAGAGTCAAGACAATACTGCAACCACTCTGGTATGGTCTGATGGGCACTGAATGGCAGTCTTTCAAAGGTCAAACAGCCGAGGGTTGTCGGCTCGAGGCGTTGCACAGGTGTTCATGCGACCACTCACCTGAGAAGCAGACCCGTTAGACATGACTTCATCGGCTCGAAGCTGCTGTCCTCTTCGGAAGGGTCCAGATCCCCTGGGCAAGTGAGTTCACGATGTCCCAGGCCACATCTACCGAAATGCCGGACAAGCCGTCGGCAGTCAGTGATCCATTTTGTGGACACCAAACCCCTCCCCTCCACCCCATCTTTTCGCCCCGTCTGAACCAAGCCACCTGTTATCAACCCCGATATCTAATGATAGTGAGCCCTGGGTGTCCAAAAATGCAAGAGATGACCAGTCCAGAAGAGCTTATTCGATACAGAAACGGCAATTAGTCATCAGGCCTGTCCGACATCTGAATATCTGGTTGCAGTGTTTCTGATATATATCAAGTCGACGATTGTTCACTGCACGATAGCTAGAGCGGCGCACAGAGTCAGGCTTCAATACATTTTAGAAGACATCGCGAATAACGATCGCCATTACAATATGTCGACACAAGCATATAAATACACAGGTCCGGTGGATTGCGATGTAATCCCGGACAAGACAAAGTGCAGAGGCAAAAGTGTTGTAGTGACTGGAGGTGGGTGGTGGTAGTTGCACAGAGCCATGCCTGATGTCTTTTCTACGGTCCGAAAATTAATACTGACTCTCAAACCTATACAGGCGCACAGGGACTAGGCGAGGCATATGTTCGCGAGTTTGTGCAAGCCGGGTACTATACACCCTATCTCGTGCGAGACAGCGAGAACGACTACATTTTCTAATCAACCTCGTGCCAGCGCATTCGTGACATTCTGTGACATCAATGAAGAGAAAGGGGGAACTTTGCAGGAGGAGTTGACGAGGTCAGTGAAGCATCCTTTTCAGAACAGGGACGTTTAATTTTCTGTCAAGGAGACTGATTTAGTCGACATGATCTCTGATAGGGACAAAGTGTGTTTCGTCAAATGCGATACCCGGGTCTGGGAGGATCAAGTCAAAATGTTCGAGGCAGCCGTTGCCATGTCACCTAACAGCAGCGTCGATATTGTCATCGCAAATGCTGGGGTTGGAAGAGGTGCTGGCGATCCCATGATGCAACTGGAAGGTATATTGCTGGCAATATCCAAGACCCATATGCCGAGTGGTTATCATGCAAAATGGCGACTCATAAACTCTTCCCAGACCCCTTTTCCACCCCAACAAAACCAAGCACCCACATCATCGACATCAATCTGGTTGGAGCCTTGTACACTTTCAAATGCGCCGTCCATTATTTCCGACGTAGTCCCCTGAATGAGGATCGAGATCGTTGCTTCATCTTCATCGGCAGCGTCGCGGGTTACGTGGACAATCTGGTGGCCAAACCTACCCCAAATGGAGGCCTGAAATGCTGACATATATTAGGGAAGCTGGGAGTACGCGGCAGCCAAGTTTGCCCTCCGAGGCTTTATGCGTGTTGTTCGTCGGCACTCGCACCATCAAGGTATCAGAGTCGCTTATATTGCGCCCTGGTAAGTCTTGCCCTGACAATTGCATACATGGAACACACTGGCTCAGGACTTATAGCTGGATTCGAACCGTTATCCAATCCGCCGCAACTTACGAGAGTTTGGCGGCTAAGGGTGTCGAATTTGCCACCGTAGACAGCTGCGTGGCTGCCATCATGAGAGTTTCTTGCGACAAAGAGATTAATGGTCAGTTTCTGAGAGAACTGTGAAACTGTGCCGTGATTCAACTGACATCATCCGTGCAGGACATTCATTTGTCATTGTTCCATCTACCCTGGCAAAGGCTGGGTTTTGTGACGCGCAGCAGGACGATTGGACTGATCAAGACTTTTGGATGGAAAAACTGCAGAAGACTGTGTTAAAAGTGAGAGGAGATGATTGGAGCTAAAAATTTATTCGCTTTCGGTGCATTACCGTAATCACTTCCAGTTTGTGTAGCAGGGAACCGATCTTTGACGGTCGCTGTTGTCATATACAATCCTGAGGCCCTAGACAGCTTCAAAGATCTATAGCTTTGCCGTCTTGTGCATCCTGCTTCGGATTTCCACCAGCATCGTCGATGATTTTGTGTTTCTACAACCCGCCATCTTCTAGTACATGGCCTGTGCTCCATCCACCAGGTCAAACTTCTACAACTCGGAATTGGGTTCAGAGGACAACCTCGATACAATTCTTCTCGTTGCAATCTCCACCCTGAGGTATCATAACTATGCACAAGTTCGGCACTATTGTCCGAGAAGACGAGATCTCTGCTAGCTAAACTTCATCCTTCTCATCACTGTTGAAAGTGCTAGTCGTCAGAGTGCCAAAGATGATACCTAGGCATGATTGGTGGGTTAGACCCGAGATGCCGTTAAAGTTTGTCCCTGGTAGCCGAGGATAAGAGAGCTAAAGTTCACTGTCCCCATGCGTCCGACGGCATACAATGCCCCTTTCTGAGTCTAGGCGCTTGATGATATCCAAACGAGATGATAGGCGTGTACCGTACCCCGGATTGACTCTATAAAATTCCCCAGGTACCCCAAAAAGCTGGGGTGTCTTGCGACTACAACCAGTGATAATTCGTTGCATAATCCAAGGTCTGTTCATCGAAAGACATGGCTCGTGCAGAAGATGATACACAGAAAGTGGGGGATGAGGTCTACGTTGAGGACAGTATCGTTCAGGAACGCACCGAGGGTGCTGACGAAGACTTCAACCATGTCGAAGGAGAGATCTGGACTGGCATTAACAAGCAGACTATCTTGGCCTTTTTCGTAAGACTCCAGCATATCAGTCAAAATGAACTGTGCTGACTCCTTATGCAGGCAATATGTACTCAGCTAAGTGCTTACGAAATGGCGCTGCTAATACCCGCCGTTTCCATCTCTTATATCAATGCAGATCTCGGCCCAAGTCCATCAGCGTCATGGATCAACATCACCTGGACTCTGGGGGCAGCCATTATGGTGAGCATCGGCGGGCGACTCAGTGACATTTTTGGTCGCCGCCACTTTATGCTGTGCGGAGGCATCATCTCATTCCTCGGTACCATTGTTGGAGCGACTGGCCAGAGTATTGGACAGATGATTGGAGCTGGAGTCATGTTCGGCATCGGTTCCGGCTTCCAGGAAATGGGATTTGCCTGCATCATGGAGTTCATCCCAAACAAGTATCGTCTCACAGCACTTGGTTTGTTGACTTATCTTGGTCTCTTCACTCAGGAGTATCATCTGACTCATGTGCTAGGTCTGTATGGAACAAGTGCCATCATGTGTCTATTCTCGCCACTGATCGCCTATGCTTTCATTGCACATACCGCCATTGGCTGGAGAGGTGCATACTGGTTCATGTGTGGCTTCCACGCATTTGGCCTGGTATGCATGTTCCTCTGGTACAAACCTCCCTCGTTCGAAACAAAGCACAAGAATGACAGCGTGTCTAAATGGAAACTCGTCGCCGAAATGGACTATGTTGGATTGTTTCTCTTTACTGCTGGCTGCGTTTTGTTTCTCGTGGGCCTGAACTTTGGAGGCAGACAATATCCGTGGAAACATGCGGCCGTGATAGCACCCATCATAGTGGGATTCAGTCTCCTGGTACTGCTATTCTTTTGGATTTTCTACGCCGATCTGAAATATCCTTTCCTACCTCCTAAGCTGTTCAGGCAGTGGCGCGGGTACGTCGGGCCTTTCCCTGTTTGTGCCAAAGCTGACGTGTGAGGCTAAAGGTACAACGTTCTTGTCATCGTTGGCTTCTGCTGCGGCATGCTCTACTACAGTATGCAGGTCATCTGGCCACGCCAGTCTTCGTTACTCTACGTTCCCGCAAACGAGCCCATCCTGAGAGGCGTGTATGCAAACTTGACTCTTTTTGGCACTTGGGGTAAGTTGCAGCATTCCAGAACTCGGAAAATCCTGACTGAATCCTCTGACTCTATGGGCAGTGTCTTTAATCTCTGTATGGGTTGTTTGTGCCAGATTTGGCCATGAAAAATACCAGATCCTGTTTTTCATCTGTCTACAAACCGCTTTTGTTGGCTCGTTATCCACACTCGACATTGGGCAGAACGGAAAAGCCATTGCATTGGTCTTCCTGATGTCGTGCGTCATTAATCAGCCTCTATATATGTTGTTCAGTATGGTGTCCCTCAATCTTGATGACCAAGCAGATATGTAAGAGTTACCCGGCGCTAAAAGCCCCATACCCTGACTTCAAACACTAATTTTGGAATCTTCAGGGGCGTCGCCATTGGAGCGATTTCGACCTTCCGTCTTCTCGGCGGCGCAGTGGCAACTGCCATCTATTCTTCTATCGTGGACAATCAGTTCGCGCACAACTTGCCTGGTCGAGTACGGCAAGCCATCGCTGGGACGGACTTCGACACGGCCAATCTTCGGTTGCTGATCGAAGCCGCTGCTTCCAATACCGCCGCCGCATACGCTAGAGTGCCGGAGATCAGTCAAGAGATTATCTCTCTCGCCCAAATAGCGGTGAAACAAGCCTACGTCCAGGCTTTCAAGATAGTCTATTACACAGCATTGGGCTTTGCTGTTTTGGCCATCATCAGTGCGCTCTGCGTTTCTGATATTGATCCAGCCAAGAAGAACTTTGATAAGGCTGTCCACTTGGAAAATGAGAAGGGTAAGGAGGTGACTGTGGAATCTAAGGCGAATTTTTGTCCTCATGGGACATCATCGCGATAGATAGGTATGGCGAGGCTCAGAGAATTTGATATGGCTCCGAAGCCCCCAGGGGCTGCTCAGGTGGAAAGCTGCGGTCGCGGTGATACCCATCAGACATAGGAATAGGTTAGTGTGAGGCGATTCTCAGCTTATGTTAATTGAAACAGAGCTGCGTTGCCAAGTTTGGCAGCAGGGTCACGTCATGGAAGCAGTATTTATATGTTACAAGCTATTAGGTTGCTGATATCTGCGATTCTAGAAGCGTAAGCATTACATTTCGTGGACCACGCTAGAGGCCATTTGGAAGACATTCTTACGCCAGACAGGCAAATAACTTCGAACAGGTCGCAGCTGACTGGCTTAATGATTGACATTCATCAATGATGATCCTTGCGGTCTCTGGTCCGAACATTGCTCCTGCTTCTTCTTTGAACCTTGTCTCAACCGCTACTCGACCCTCAAGCCAGGGTACGTCTGGAAGTGAGTCTGACATGATTTCTCCATTCTTGAGACGAATTTCAATCTTACACGGCTGTCTGCCGTTCGTAAGATGGTCATCGAAAGTCGCGTTCGCCTCGACGTCGCAACGCTGGGTAACTTGATGTAGGTCCGTGTTGCCATATTGTTGATAGAGGTGTTCATCCACACGGCCGAACAAAAGCGCTGCCGACACAGCGTATTGTAAGCTCATTTTCGTCTGCTGGACCTTTTGAAACGGACCGATATAGTTACAGCCAGGGTATTCCTTGGCCGCAGTGGTGGTGATGATCTTAACATTCTCAATCAAGTTGGCCGACCCTTTCAGCTTGCCATGCATGCGCATTGCGGTGGCCATTGGCGTCTGTACGAAGTTGCAGCCAGCGACAGGCTTGAATCTAGCACTCATGATCCCCGTTCCGAGATTTGACGTGAATAACCATCTTCTAAACCATGAGCAGGCTTCAGAAGCCGATGTCGTGTATGCTTGAAACAGTCCGTCTTTACCCTCTAGGGCCGTGTCACTGCTGTACATGCCCACCTGGGCGAGATCATAGCTCGTCACACCGTTGCGGCTTGCTGCTCCCATGTGTGTGTTGATCTCCATTCCTCCTGCCCATGGCCACTCATTCAATCCGGCCGCCATATTTGCCGCGAATCCGAGTGCGCTGGCCGCAGTCGTAGTAGTCAACCTCGGGTCGCTTGATCCTGCTATTCCAGCACTGGCTGCCGCGAAAGCTCCGATGATCCCACTCGGGCGGAAATGTGGGTTGAACGTACCACTGGCCCGCAAGGACGAGCCCAGTAGCTCGGCCATTTCGTATCCTGCCACGATTGCCTTGAGCAACTGTTCGCCATTCCAGTTGTCTCGTTGGGCAAATGCGATGGCAGCAGGAATCACCATTACTCCAATGTGAGAACCAGCAGACAAGTGCATATCGTCTCGAATGATACTGTTTGACCCTGGTTAATAGATTGTTGTTCATGTATGGGAGTTAGGGATGTCCGAATGCTTTCATGACTGAACATCACGCACCTGTGGGCTATCGAAGCATTGGCAAAGGCAGCCGTTTCAGCGGAGACGAGCTCAGGAAGCCCAATGACCTGAGCTGTCCCGCCCCAGGGGCTCGATATTTTTGCCCATTGCAGGAGAGAGTTACTCCAAGGTGAAGAAAGCCCAGAGATGAGAGCACCAAGACAATCAATGAGGCAGAGAGTAGCCTTCTCGCGCACCACAGGATCAAGGTCATGGTCACGGATCTGTTGGAGCCTTATGGCGGCCAGATATGTCAACGGCTGGGCTGATGCATGAACGAAGCTACTCTGTCGCTCTGTATGCTCCGGAGCCATGTTGGAACCAGTCTTACCAGATGACAGAATTGAAGAGAGGTGGTTTGTGCTTCTGTTCTTGAAGACCCTCTTCAAATGCATAACCCGCCTGGAAATCATCGAAATTCTAAGAGGCTTCTTTTGCACTGGATCATTAACTCTAAACGCACTCCCAAGGGATTTCTGCAATGCTTCGGAGCCACCAGAGGCATCTCGGCATCTCGGCAATCGCCCTGGCATCCTGAATTTGGATCATTGCGACAACAAGAAACGCGCAATCAACGACGGCAACGTTCTTGCTTACTTGGTGACATACACTGATCGATGCATACATAGCTCGTATTGAAGGAATCGTTTAAATTTCAATTCAAATCTAACGTGTAGACTTGGATTCCATACCACCGTCCGTTAGAAAATATGATAAATATCCTCAAAAGGGCATTGTTGTGACTGCTCCAGAGGCCTTCATACGCATAGTAGCGAGAGTGGTTGTAGGACAAGTCCGGAAAATTGAGGAATAACGCCATCAACTGACCGAAGGTACAACAATGTCGCATCGCATTCTCCTAACGGGCGCTTCGGGTTACCTTGGGGGCACGCTGCTAGCACGATGGAGTCGGCACCATCTCCCACCTTACTCAAGATTATACGCGGCCGTGCGGACAGAACAACAAGTGAATGCCTTAAGGAACCACTATTCGGCCATGGATAGTGGCGCTGAAGTCGCGCCTCTGATTCTCGACAATATAAAAGACCAAGCTGTGGTGCGCGACCTGATCGTCAGCCATGAAATCACGATCGTTCTGTTTCTGATTGATGCGTTCGAGGTAGGGGCACAATGCTGCTTCATTCGTGCCCTCGCCGAAGTCAAATCGATGACAGGACGGGAGGTGCATTTCTTACATGTACGTTGAGATATGCAATTAATCGTTGTTGCCCCTCGCACGGTCCAAAGCGGAGTTGAGGCAACGTGCTCTCAAGGATGCGGACACTGTTAACGAATCAGTCGAGATTGTGCTGACATTTCGCGCCTGGCCCGTTCGGGCATGCGACATACGAAACAGACTAGTGGAGCTAAAGTGTTCTCGAGTCACGCTGGCGCCCCGACAGATCGGCTGCTGTTTGATGACGAGGAAGATCTCTACAAGATCCAAAAGGAACAGGTCCCCAATATCCCGCCTGTGCAGACGGTATGTAACGCAGTAAAGGGCTTGAGCTCGATGTCCCTACAACGACTCTTGAAGAACATTTGCGGATGTAAGCTGATACTAAGTCTGACGGCTGGTGGTGGCCCCTTACTCAGGGTGCCACATCGCCCACAGCTGTTACTCCGAAGGCGATCAACACAAACAACACCATCATCGAGTTATGCGAGTCATTGGATGTCAAAGGCTACATCTTTGTACCGTGTATCGTTTGTAAGTCTTGCACCGTCATCTTTCTTGCCCACGGGGACTTTACAGGCTCCTCTTGAAATCTGAGACTATTGCTGCACTCTTAAACATGGTTCCACTGACCCACACTCTTGAGTTTGAACGTAGATGGCGAGGGTGAGGGGTTTGGAAATCCGATTTCTATTCAGACAGTAGCGATTGTGAGCGCGGCGCAGGAAGCGGGACGGGTGTATAGCGTGGATTCCGGCAAACCGGTTTGTCATACCCTTCATCAGAAACCCCTGGTATTGACTAGGTGGACATGGCACTGACATATTGGTATGTGGTTCTCCCACAGACATGGCCTGTCTGCCATGTTTTAGACAATACCGCTCTCTATCTGGCGATAGTCAATTCGATCCTAACAGGGAAGAACTCGGACCAGAAGAAATGCCGATACTACCTAGCTGCCAGTGGCACCATTGCTTGGGTAGATCTCTACCGGGCTATCGGGGAGGCGCTGACCAAACGAGGTGTTATTTCTGACAACGTCGTGGAGCAAGCTGATGAGGATGCCATGGACCGAATGGCAAAGGGGCTTAAGACTCCGAGGGAACTGGTTGCATTGCAGCTCGGAGGAGCGTAAGTCTTCCTTTACTCTGAACGAGTTGACCCGAGAGATATCCATTGCGGCATGACAGATCTCTGGAAATGGATTACCAAGACTGACACTTCAATTTGACCTTACAGATGTAGGCTCACGGCAAGAAGTGGTGAGAAGCTGGGGTGGAAACCGCAATTCGGTCCAACCCACATTCTGCAGACGGCAGATGACGAGGTGGAGAGAATTCTGGCTTATCAGAGGAGCAGAGATCAGTAGATTGTGTATAGAGATCCCATACGTAGATAAACAAAGAGATCTCGTGGGTCAGGCAGTTGGTCTATTTCGTATCAAGCTTCGCCCGGAAAATTCGATCCGAGGTGATGTATGGACTGGTTGTTGGTCGCCTGCTGGGGTGAAATGGGCTCTCAATTGAAACCCACAGAACCATCAGATAAGATAGCTGGCCACCAGAGCGAGGATAGATTCTCCAGTGACGGATCCAAGGCAACGTTCGGCTCGTTAAAGAGGTCTTGAAATTGCAGGGCTGAGTCGCTGAGCCATGACGTTGCCCCCCACAGGTCGCCTTGCTTTTCTTCTAATAGGGTGGCTGCAAGGCTAGAGGTTCTAGCACTGATGCCGGGGAAGAAGCTATGCCAGTCGATACCATGATACCAGTCAAGATCCCGCAGCGGAGTACTGACATTGTCCTTTGCAGAGTGGGCGACGTTTTGGTGAGAGTTGACAGCGTCTTTGTTGGGACGGGTGCGTCCTAGGTTCTCAAACACACGCAGACGATCGAAACCCTGGACGAAAATGTCGGTCGATGGCCACAGAGATGCGAGCTCATTCAGAGCAACTTTGAGTGTACGAATATCTTCAGCCCCGCACTCGGCGAGTTGGTCCAGGCGTTGCGTGTGCAGAAGTGCTACAATGGCAACCCCGACGTACCAGCAGGCGATGGCGCCGAGAAAGCGGATCTCGCCCCGGGCAAGGAGATCCTTGAAAATGCGAGTGGTGCAGGATGCCGATAGAACTGCAGCAGCGTAGGCTTCTGGTAAGGCTTGGGATGGGTTCTGAGACGACCAACTCAGGTGTAGGATGGTCACAATGGTGAGGTAGGGTAAATGTAGAGCCAGGATGTCCCGGTCGAACTTTCGAGTGCGATCTGAAGTATCTGGCAAACGAAGCCTTGGAGGAAGATTCTGAACCCACTGGACAAGTTCCTCAGCCAGAGGAGTTGGAAAGGATGGTGGGCTTGATTGGCGAGAAATGTGTTGACCGACACGGCCGACAACGGTGCAGAGGCGAACCCATTGGATAAAGACGTCTGCGCGTCCGTCTTCAATCTCGGACGGGGTGAAATCCTCTAAAGATGGCTCGCGAACGTTGCAATCTGCCGGGTCAATTGTGACAGGCCGTCCTTGACAGGTGCTCGTCAATCGCTCTCGGGCCTATGGCAATGAGTCAGTTTTTGGTTCCCAATGGTAGCATCATACATTCTAATTGACAAGGTGAATGAGGCCATACGAAGAGTGTCCACCAGATTCTTCTCCGCTGCCCTTGCATGGCCGGACCACCGACATCTTCTAGTTTTCTTGGTTCGCGGTGTAAGCCGACCTGTTGAGCATATTTGATGGCAACACCAGTCCACCACCAAGCGGCGTCCTTGTGTACAAGTGAAGGGCTGTCCTGATGTCAGAGACTTGGGCAACATTTGAAAGAGTCAGGTGTTTGGATGGCTGGTCAAGGAAGCATGTCTGAAAAGCTGACGCCTCGGACAAACCTGGAGACTGACTTACCCCCTCGGAGCCCACCAATAGAACAGCATTATAGCCTGCAAACATGTAATGGGATTATTCTCTTCATCGGTGTAGAACAACAACTTGGCTCGATTGTAATAATCTGCAGCTTTGGCGTGCTGAATCAGTGGTGGACGGACCTGAGTTCCTAACAAAGCCAATGCGTTGACCAAGAGACGCGAAGGGTGCACGTCTAGGTCAGACCAGAAGCGGTCGGCGTGGAATACAGGACACCAAGTCCAACAATAGTCGAAGTAGGTCTCGGCAAAGCTTTGTTGCAGTTCGAGCGGTGGTAGATCTGCATCGACGGATAATGCTGAATGTGTATTATTGGTGCATGGGTCACTTTCTGCGATTCTGCGAGTGTCCAGCTCGAAGATCTTCAGGATCCCAGTGTCGCCTAGATAGCTCACCGCTGAATGGGAGGCAGTAGGGGTTGCGGTTGAGGCCTTTTTAGTTGGAGCGCTTTGAGGGGTAAAGGCTGCAGAGGCGGTGGCCTGGGGGGATCCCTCTTGTCCCGGAAGCGAACTAGAGACCACATTTGGCCGGGAGGTCTGGTTTGTCGGAGGTATGTTGAGGTCACCAAAAGGTACTGTCTGTGACCGCGGGTGAAAATTTGTGGATTGGGAGGTACCCTGCTCAACAAGCGGGTCGAGCTCCGAGTGAAAGATTGCTGGCTGGTGGAAGAAGTCTTCCGACGCAGGGAACAATGGCGGATATGAGGGATGATTTCCTCTCGAGGAGCTGGAATCAACTTGAGAGGTGTCGCCAGTTTTCCTTCGCCTTTTTGGAGCCCTCTGCCTGTTCTGTATTAATTGGACTGCTCACCAGGAGCGCAAGAGTCTGTCCACATACTCGCAGAGACTAGAGGACTCAACACAGTTCCGGCAGCTGGAAAGGCCCTGACGAGTGCGGGTCTCGAGATCGCATCTCAACTGGAACTAGTATTAGCGGACGGGACTCGGTCAAATGGTGGGCTGGGAATCACAGACCTTGCGTTTGTGGCACTGGAGGCAAACAACCCTCGCTCGCAGCTTTCGAGGTCTGGGGGAAGACAGACCCAAAGTTATCATCTCCTCTGACTTGATGCTGTGGGTGAGGTATGTGATGATGGATCTTTGTGCAGGAGGTTCCAGAAGAGGCGACGTCGACTAGGTAGCTGGGCTTCAACCGAGAAAGAAACATTGCTTAGGACGAGAACCTACGCATTAAGTACTAGTAGGCAGGTTAGTACCTAGGTACTTAGCTGGTCGGGTGGGGATGTTGAAGCAAGCTCAAGCATGAAGGGCGAGCGGGGGGGAGATGGAGGGGGGGAGATGGGCCCTCGGGCCCAGGGTAGACGGTGGACAGAGAGAACGGGGTAACAGGCCGGGGACTCGGGTACTTTTTCTTGGTCGACAACCTAAAGTAACTGTACCGGGGGTCTTCAAGTGGCCCCTCGGCGCCCCCGAAACCCCTTCAAAAGGCCGAGGAAGCGGCCGAGGGGGCCTAATCACGTACCGAATTCCTCAATCCATTGGCCAGCAGGCCAACTTTGTATAGTACCTAGTACCTACCTACCCATGGAGCACCTTAACAGGCTCTAAGTAAGGTACTAACTTACTATGTGCAGTAGCTACCTAGGTAGCAAACGGCCTGCTCTTCACCCTGTGGAAAAAGTACATATCTACCTACCTGAGACCAATTGTCAACTTTGCAGACCCCTATGATCGTCCTGCTTCTACACTGTACTACAAACAAAGCTCTCTGAGATCATCAATTACCTTCTTCTCCACCTGGATCCAACCCCTGTTCCTGGCGTCTCTTCTGTTGCGACAACTTCCCTCATATGGCATTCGCGCCGCATCATACCCCGGTAGCATCTTGGTCTCCCTGATGGCTTGCGCAAACTTTTCAGCATTCTCTTTGACATGTGCGATAGGTTGAAGAATCTGAGGGTCAAAGGCGATAACCAGGTATCCAAAGCCCGACATCATTGGAGTGGGCTCTGAGCTGCCGGCGGCAATGCCCAGCAACTGCACCATCATGGCTAAACCGCTCCCTTTGTGACCGCCCGAGGCTGTCAATGCACCATGTAGCGCCTTCAAAGGATCAGTAGTGAAGTTGCCTTCGGCGTCGAATGCCGCTCCTTCAGGAAGGCCAGCATGTAGTCTCTCCGCGAGCTTGACTTGCGCATACATGATATTGCTGGTGCCAATATCCCAAATGATGGGCTGGTCTACGTCGTTGGTTGGAAAGCCGATGCAGAACGGGTTTGTGCAGAATTTTCGTTCATATCCACCGTATGGGGCAACGATGCGCGATCCATTTGAAGCAATCAAGACGATCAAGTCCTCACGCGTGGCCATCTCGGCGTAGTATGCGAGGTTGCCTGAGTACCACAGATCGTGGGCTCCGACTACCGAAACACCAACCGTCTTTGCCTTTTCCACTGCAATGCGTGTAGCTTCATATGCGACCAGATTACCCACTGAGTTGTGTCCATCCAGATGGGCATAGGTCGGTCCGGATCGTGTCACCTCGATTGTTCCGTGTGCTTCCTGTCCTGAGACTTTCAAATGCTCGATGATGCTAAGTGCACGTGCCAGTCCAGCAAAGGGGTGACCACGCAATTCGGCGTCTACCAAGTGGTCGGTGATGATCCATGCCTGTTCTTTGGTGTAGCCAGCCTTTTGCAACGCTGTTTGGCATAAATGAGTGCCGTCTGAGATGCCTATTTTGATTTCCCTGATACCTCTCTCTGCAGCACCCTCGTTTTGTTGCGTCGATTGAGGGCCCTGTTGTGTAGAGACGTTAGTCATTTCGACCAAGATTGACGTTATAGAGCGGGTCCTTTTCACAGAGCGAGTGTATGGTTCCTCGATATCAGGACCCTTGTCCTCGAGTACTGCGGTATACTTATCGGACAGATTCTGTCGCTATGTACAGGTGGTTTCCTCTTCATCGTTTAGACCTTTCTTTCTAGCTCTTAGAAACTCTACTTGATTCTCAACAGTTGTAGTCCATTTACCTCCTCCTTTCATGGCACTTTGCCCAGCCAGCGGCAGTCGGTTCCAGCTTCCAGCCCTGTCTGGTGTGGAAGAGTAATATTCAGATGGGGAATCTGGCAGATCCAATGTCCCTCCGATACCAGAGCCTATTGGCCATGCTTGAGCCGAAATACCGAAATACCGAAATACCGAGCCATGTCGTCGCGGGGTACGTGGCCCTTGAGCTGTAACAAGCAACCCATCTGCACGAGACACTCATCCGGACTAGTTTACGGGGGAAGCACTGAGTACATCTCATCAACTCTAGTGTCCTGGTCGATCAGTATCTCCAATGGGCTCTGCCAAGCATAGAATCCAACGACAGCTGGCTCACAGGCGAGACGCTTTGCTATCCACCAAATTATATTACTGACCTTTACACGCCTTTTTGGGCGGACCTTTTCGAGGGACAGCACCCCTTTGCAGAGTCTTCAAGCTTAGTCTCGGGCCAGAAATCCTTGAGAGACCCAGTCAAAACCAGATATGATGACTAATAATGCCGATGGTGACCGTAATGTCACCAAACCCGCCTTGAATATTCCAGCCTCGTCTTCTACCGTCTCAGTCAAAATCATTGATATTTCCACTATAGCCAACGTTCCAATGAACGCCTTAGTCACACCACAGGTGTCTGGTATTGAGGTGGCGGAGGATGCTCCCTCCTACTCCTTCTTGATCGAGCATCCTTCCGGCCAAAAGGTATTATTCGACCTGGGGATCAGGAAGGACTGGCATAATTTAGCCCCCGCCATCGTGGAGCGCTTCAAGAAAGTCGGCCATCGACCCATGGCGAAGAAGAATGTTTCCGAGCTTCTGGACGAGTCAGGGATCGGAAAGGATAGCATTCAGGCAGTGATTTGGAGGTAAGTGACAACGCCCGTCCCCTTGATGTGAGACGCCTGGACCGGCTTTGACAAGACTAGCCACTCCCACTGGGATCACGTCGGCGATATGTCCACATTCGGCCCTGGTGTCGACTTGGTTGTTGGTCCCGGGTTCACAGATTATTTCCTCAAAGACGAAAGTGGAAATTCTGCTTTGGGCGGAGTTCTACCAAGTGACGTAGAGTGCGTATGAACTGATCCCACTCGGTTTCCACTGGTTATTCTAACTTCTGTGCTAGAGGTCGCAGGGTCCGAGAAATCAACTTTACCAAAGGCCCCAACGTCACTAAGATTGGCCAGTTTTCAGCGCACGACTTTTTCGGGGATGGGTCTTTCTATCTTCTTGACAGTCCTGGCCACTGCGTGGCACATTTGTGTGCCCTTGTACGGACGACGACGAGTCCGGACACGTTTGTTTTTTTGGGTGGTGATGCCGCCCATCACTGTGGTGAGATACGTCCCTCGGTATACTCTCCCTTGCCCAGATCGATGCCGCTGCCAGATGCAAAAGGACATATTGTCCCCACCTGCCCTGGGTCTTGGTATGAAGACTTACAGCTCTCCCGGAACCGAGACCCAAAGGGTCCGTTGTGGCAGCCATCGTTTGGACATGATATGGAACAGACTATGATCACGCTGGGGCACGTGCAGGAATACGACGGCGATGAGAGCGTCTTCATCATCTTAGCGCATGATCCCAGTTTGAGGGCCCCCGATGTTCCCTTTTTCCCTTCGCCGGTCAATGACTGGAAGGACAGAGGGTTAAGCCAGAAGTACAAGTGGGCTTGGGTGGCCACTATCATGGCAGGAATGAAGGTACAGGAGGAAAAAAAGTAACTATTTGGGCAGAGGCAGTGCCCCATGATTCATTTGTCTCCACTGTAAATGAATGAAGTCGAGATGACAGGATCTAGGCTTCCTTCCCTTTGTCTCGTTTCGAGATGCTGTTGCAAATACAATGGAACTCCTCTTTGCGCTACTCAATTCAGTCCTCCAATGAACCACTGTAATCCTCATTTACTTCCTGCTTTTGCTTCTGACTAGCACATACATGGACTTCCAGAAATGCCGGGTTTCCCATATCGGCAATATACTGCAGATGAAGAACGATGCAAAAGCCCAAATGAACGCTATGACAATGTAGAACGTGAAAAATCCCTTCGAGTAAACATACTCCGAGAGAAACATAGGTACTGGAATGATGAAGTCCATGGAGACCGACAATACGATCGACAGCGTGAGTGCCATAACGAAAGTCCGGTGGAGAGCTTTGGGATTTTCCATTGCAGCGAGGTCCTCAAGCTCCTCTGAATCCATCGTCCTTATCTCAGCGATAGCATCATCACTGCTATCATTAGGGCTGGCATTCTTCTCGTGAGGGTCAAGATCAGAAGACTTGGCCACATTGTCAGGAGCTGATGCGGTCTCCTTCGGCTCAGGCCCCACTTCTGACTGCTCGATGGTGGCCGGATTGGAAGAGTTGGAATGATGCGGTGCGTTGATACTCCGGGTAACTTCCCAATTGAATGGTGTCTTGTCTGGTTTGGCGAAGGAAATGATGAGACTAGTAGTCATTCCCACCAGAAATCCAGCCATGTTTCCTGCAAGAGTCGGATACATTTCTCCTGTAGTGGCGACAGTGATTTCGCCGAAATAGGCTCTGGCTGTTACCAACCAGGACGTCAGTCCTGCTGATAGCCCGACTAGCGGGGCTATGATCACCGCCGCCTTTGTCTGACCACGCCATGTGATGGAAAAGGCTGCTGGCATAACGCCGCCTCCAATTAGAAGACCCATGACCAGGAACAACCAGCCAAGGTTAATACCAAGGACGTTCCAAATGCAGGCCCAGAGTGACATCCATGCTGCACAAACTGCCACCATCATATGCGAGACTTTGATGAGATCTTGTGGAGTGGCGGACGGTTTGACATATGTCTTGTACACATCAAATGTCAAGATTGAGGAGACAGCAATGAGTTCTGATGCTGCTGCTGATGTTACCGCAAGGAAAAGGGTGATCAGCAATGCAATAGACCCGCTTTGACCAGCAACGGCGGCGGCTCCAAATGCCGAGGACAAGCCTGCTGATACTTCAGTGGGAGACATTCCATTAGGGTATGTCGGAAATGAGGGATCATCAGTCAATGCCACCGCCGTGAGGCCCAGGGTTGAAGCGAATCCAAAAGGTATGGCATACCAGGCAAATCCACCCATAATATAGCCTGGAACCGCAGCTGTTGGGCGACTTGCAATGGCACGTTGCCAGTATCCTTGATCCAGAAAGACTGTGCCCATGCCTGAGCAAAGCTGAATGACGCCAAAGATCAGGCCAAAGTTTGACTTCAAGGTTAAGTAGGACCCGTCTTTGTTGCCTGAGACAGGACGACTTTCCGCGGCCTCAACCAATAGGTCATATAGGCGGCCTGGCGAGCCAATCAATGAGCTATGGGTGAATACCTGTGCAATGGAATCTTAGCTTCGGATCAAAAATTTGGAAGAGCAAACAACATACTTCGAACATGAAATATAAAATGATCACCATCACGATCAGAGTGTGTGAGTAGTCGCAAATGAAACTTGCACGCAAACCGCCGATGATGACATAGGCAGCGACACCCAGTGGAATCAACCAGACAGCTGCGTAGACATTCATCCCAGTCAGGCTAGTCACCACAGCACTTCCACCTAGTAAAAGCTGGCTTGCTACCAGGGTATTGGTCATCAGACCAAAGAACACAAAGATGACATGAGCCACCCTTCCATATCGGGCACCGATGATCTCCAGGTACGTGTGGCAGCGTGGGGCGTTCTGCTTCACCTTACAGGCAAGAACCGAAAACATGAAGATCTGAACTGTAGCTCCGGCTGCGTACCAGAATGGGCCCGAGACACCGTACTGATAGGTGACCGTAGAAGACTGGAGGAGGGTTGCCGCCCACGTCCATGCCGAGACCGTTCCACATGCGATCAATCCGGACTTTATGCTGCGACTGGCAGTATTAAACTCTTCGCTCATCATCGAGTTGTATTTCGTGTAGCGATTCTGAGAAGATTAGCCCTGGTCTGCGCCACGTTGGATGACACCGACTTGCCTGAAGGTATGTCACTCCCAGCATGAACAAGGCAAAGAATGCACCAATCCCTATCACGACGCCATATCCTGTAGCCTGGGGCAAGATAGGAAGCACAGACTCGGTATCTGCCATGTTTGACGATCGGATTGAGTCTTTGGGTCCTCTGAATTGACTTCAGGTTGGGAAGAAAGCTTTGATGGTTACTGAAATCAAGTGCTTTGCCGGACATGTATATAGACTCGAGAGGGCGTTGGTGATATCAGGCGCTGGTAAATATCACGACGATTACGAGCCTACATCTAGTCGGACGTTCTTGCTGTTATCTCACTATGAAGTTCTTATGGGGCTTTAACTATTCCAAGCGATCGCCGTGCTCCAATTTTGATAACAAGCGAGTGGTGTGGCCTGGACTACTTCACCAAAGCAGATTATTAATGAACAATATCCGATATCTCGACTCTTCTTTCTATGCAATGGCAAAGTTTGCCTTCTACAGCCTACAGGTGCATGCGTAAACATCTTGCTAACTACTTACACAGAGCGCTCGGGTATTTTGAACCCACAGTTCAACGTCCCTTTGCCACCATGAGTATTTACCCACTTTGGACGATACATCGCAGATTCTAGGTGAAGACGTCCTTGCTCTACTTTCAGGCCACTCTGTATAAGTGTTAAGCTAGTAGAAACATTGAGGACATTCCAAACATGAAGTTTTGTAAACATCAGACATTATGCAGCTGATAATGCTCACTGAGTGCGTTATTCAAACGACAAAAGTTGATCAGTGAGAGGACACTAAGGGTGTGTAGAGAGTCTCACGATACTCCGGTACCATAGTGACTAGATTGCCCATATTCGGTATCCCACCGACACTTTCCGGCGGAATAGAAGACGGAATGGTTGGACAGGCTTGGGAAAGGTAATAAATGTCACGTGACAGTATCTTAGATCGCCAACAACCATTATGTAGGGCACGTTCCTTTACATGCACCCCAGACGCGTCGACTTCTAGATAAACCTGCAACTCCTCAAACATATGGAATGCATTGTGTCCACAGCATTATGGCTAGATAAGCCTGTAAGGGTAATATCGCCGTAGATCTCCTGTCACACCTTCTGATAGCCGTTAACATTGCACCAACCAATGCCCGATTTCATGTAGAAGCATTGAAGGCACTCGTCTGGCTTCTATTCTATTTTACGAAGTATCCTCGCAGACGTCGCAAGTGTCAGAAAAAAGGACATCATGTACCATTTTGTGGTACATGACAGGATATGACTAGTCGCTTATTCTATATCTGACAGCAAGGAGAGCCGTTCACGGGCGCTCTCCCAGTAGTAGGTCATATAGCCAGCATAAAAACAATAATAAGAAAATGCAGGATTGAGCCAGTACTGGCCCGCCTCACTTTGCACATCACAGCGATAACAGCATTGGCACAGGAATGATTTACATCATTAACTGGGGGGCTTCATTCTGAGACGCCTGGGTCCACACTGACCCTCCAACTAACGCAGTTCTCCGCTGCCACCAAGACGATAGCATATCGAGGATAGATTTCAGGGAAACCACGGGATGGCTTTATCGTAAATAAGCAGTGGTTAAATGTCTGTAGTGTCTATATAAGTAATAAGTTCGGATGTATTCTCGACATAGGGTTGCCCGTGCAGGTTGTCTCGTCGCTGTACTACATCTTGGCTCTGGAAGAAAGCAATGGGGTCTCGGTCTTTGACCATCACGATCGCTGGACGACTTGCGAAACCAGGATTCCGACCTTGGTTCGCAGGTGGAAGCCCAGTAACCCGAGGCTATGCGACAATTAGAAACGCTCCCTTATCCCAAAAGCTCACCATCAATGGCGATAGGCTCTGGTTAGCTACTATCAATAGATCTACAAGAGAATGTTCTAATGTTTTTTAGGAATGACATTCACTATACAGCCCAATGGAGTGGTCCTTCGCCAGGGGGTGTCAGTCGGCTCTGTGCAGACGAAAACGACAAAAAGGCCCGAGACTGGTTCAGAGACCAGGTCCTTGCTCTAGGCGCTGATTACAAGGTGCGGAAAGACTCCCGTACTCCCTGTTGAGCTGTTAATTCATGCAGGTCAATGCAACGGGAACCCAGTTTGCTCTTTTTGAGGGCAAGGATAAAAACATCCCACCAATTGCTATGGGCAGCCATCTTGATACTGTCGCTACTGGGGGCAGGTTTGACGGCCCACTCGGTGTAGGTCTACGATTGGACACCTCTACCATATTTCGATAGACTGACAAATCCTAGGTCATTGGAGGCCTGGAGGTTGTGCGCAGCATGAAAGAGCTCGGTATCAAATCACGGGCGCCTATCGTACTAATCAACTGGACCAATGAGGAAGGCGCCCGATTCTTCCCTTTGCTTGGATCCAGCATTGTATATGCCGGGCGCTCCACTATTGAGCATGCGCATGCAGCTGCATCAAATGATGCATCTGAAGTCACAATGGGATCCGAGTTGAAAAAGATTGGTTACGTTGGTGATGGCCCTAACACTTTCGAGGAGTTCCCAATTTCGGCGCATTTTGAAATACATTGCGAGCAGAATACAGACCTCGAAAAGGCTGGGAAGTCTGTTGGCTGGGTCGAAGGATGGGAGGGCATGACCTGGTACGATGTCCATTTCGAAGGTGAGGATGGTCATGCAAATACGTACAACATGAAAAGACGCAAGGATGCCCTCGTCGGAGCAGCTAAGGTTGTTGTGGAGCTGGAGAAATTGGCGTACGAAATGAAGGGCAGGACTACCGTCACGGGATTGCACAGTCGCCCTTGGGGAGCTTGCAATATCCAATCCACGACAAAGACCACGTTCTGCCTTATGCACAAAGATGGAGCCGAGCTTGAGAAGATGGGAGAGAAGATCATGGAAAAGGTCCACAGTATTGCCTGGCAACATGGACTTGACGTTAAAACAGACCGAACGGTTCATCTCTTGCCTGGCAGCTTCTGGCCAGAAGCTATCGAATGCGTCAAACAAGCTTGCGGAGATAAAGGTATCGCGTCCAAGACGTTGACTGGCCACGACTCGACCATGACTACACTCTTGTGCCCCACTGCAATGATATTCGCCCGTGCTCGAGACGGCGTCAGTCACTCACCGAAGGAATGGACGGACAAGGATGATTGCGCCGACAGCGCTCTGGTATTGGGGCGAGCAGTTCTCAATTTTGATGACTATCTAGCTCAAAAAGCCTCATGAGAATGCGATGTTGCCGACCACGGTTTGGAGGGGGGTCTTGTTACCAGTCTGGGCAACTCCCACCATTTTTAATTCAATGACCGATGATTCCCAATGAGTACATCGCTTCAGGTCAAGAATGTGGCTGCTAAGCCACCCGGAAGGTAGAACCATTATTTTTTTGTTGTGATGGATAATAGTCATCCGGACTCAGCTCGCTCCCCAGCCCTATTCGTCCTTTGCAACTACGATGATCGCACATCACTTTCCATGCCTTCATACCCAGACCTCTGAAAGTCAAAGGCCTAATTCTCATGTAGATGAGATGCGAAGCAATTCTAGCTGAATGTATGATTTTTGCAACTCTATCCAGGCAAGCTGAGACAAAGAGGAACCAATTAGCTTGACAAGACCCCGCCAAACCTCAGCATAACCCCAAAATTCCACCGTAAGCCTCCAAAGCTATTGCTTCTCCTTATATTGAATACGAGCGCTTGGGGATTCCCGAGGCTGAAACTCCCCTTCAAGCGACATCAATAGCCTTGGCAAACCATACTACCGCACCGAATACGAGTGCTCCGGAATCAAGACCAATCATGATCGCCAGTGGGAGCAAGAATTCCGAATACAGCGTCTATTTAAACTGGGCTGACATTAAGGTATGGGTGCTGAAAGCATGAACAGTAAGATGTAGACATCGTGACCCTCGATTCGCTGACGAGCTGTGCAAATAACACAATTAAGAAGAAAATACGGTCGCCAAGATTCTATACCCATGAGGCTGAATATATAATTACCATTATGCTGGACGCCATTGCTCGTATATTTGAAGCTGATTTTTTAAGATTAATATGTAGCAGCTGAAGGAAGCCCACCTTATCCAGGGATGTAATTGAGAGCATCCACAATGCCTATTTAATCGATCACCAAGTTCCCATTTTATACTTGAACCTAAACTCCTCAGACTATCCATCACCACCAGCGTTTCAACATGCATATGCACCATAGTATTATCTTCATAGGACTTGTCCTCCCTAATCTCGTTTACGGCGCCCCAGGCACGGGAGTCCAATCCCCGGACGGCCTTACTCTCCTACGCCGTGCTCTGCACAAGGCAAGAGCCCCACAATACGACGAATATGTCCCTTTCAAGATAAACGAAGACTACTGTCTTTGGATGCCCAAGGGAGACTGTTACATGAACAAAGCATTCGACTACATATGGGAGTATATGAAGTACGACCCTCCGAAGTACGATGAGTACGACTGGTATAAAGCCGATTACAAGGCGGATGAGGGCGTGTATGCTTCGGGCAAAGGTGCCTTGGACGAATATGAGGAAAACTTAATTTACCTCTACGACACCATCAACAACCATGCGGGGTATGATGAATATGACTACGACTATGAAGAGTATATCGACAACGCAGAGGACAAATATTGTGTTTGGTGGTACGAAGGAAAGTGTTGGACGAATGACGTGGTAAAGTATATTGATGGAATATGGAACAAAACAGACCCATACAAGAAACGAGAGGTCAAGAGGCAGGATAAGAGTGACTGGTCAGTCTACTCTACAAGCACGGGTATACAAAGTTGGTATGCAACTGCATGCTGGGACTTGATGGTCGCCATTAATAAGTATGGGCCACTGAAATATGAGTGGGAGTCGGATGACTATGATAATTAGGGACTTCCTGCGTTAGTACCTGAGCAAAGTTGTAGGGTGATACAATGATTCATAGGGAGTTATCTCTTAGGAATGCAATGGGAGTAGGCAGGCGAGGTAGCGTTAACTGTCTAGGTCAGGTGCTTTCTTTTTCTCACGGAAACTACTTGCTCAAGTCTCGAGGAATTGACGAGTAATACAATAGCTGGGGACCAGCTGAGAACATATCCCTTGAGATATGAAGGATTTTACTGGAAAAACTAGAGATTTCTACTGTTGCGAATTCAAGGAGGAAAACCTTGTGATATAGGTATATATAGGTTACACCTGTTACAGGGCGTTATTATTATATAGCTATTTAGGTAGTAATGTGGCCAAGAAGATTGGGACCCTTCCCTCCCCCATTCGCGCCGATCTAGATACCTGAACCATCCATGAGCCCTGCGCGGATCTTAGTTCGCCAAAACTTGTTGCAGCCTTAGTGAGGACGGGTGCTCAGGGGCTGATAATGACAGAGCAAGGCGAGAGAGCATCTAAGGGGTTTCTTTACATGTCCTCGCAGCATGCTACACATGTGTCTCATATCGAATGTCTACGCTGCTTGTAATCATGCATTCTATCTTCAGCAAACGTAGCGGCGAAGGGTTATTACAAGATTAATGGGTGATACCTATTAGCCTCTTGTGGGTTCCTTATCTCCCATGACCTCAGCATCCCTGCTCATTTTGGCGTCCGCGGTGTATCCGTTCTGACCCTCGAGAGAAGTGTGATCTGGGTGCAGAGCAGCCAGCCGCCTGGCATTCATCAACTCGGTATTGACCCGAGGACCTTCAAACTTCCCCTTCTTGCTGGTGAACCACAGGATCACCACGAAGGAGACCAGCCCAACGCAAACCACTAATACATAACTCATATTCTCCGGGTTCACAGGTAGGATTGTTGGGAAACAAGCCAAGATGTCCAAGAAGCACACCCAGAGCACCGCGATTGCGTTTATATACTTGCCCCACTTACCAAGATTGAAGTAGCGTTCAGGGAGGACATCGCGGCCTCTGTACAAAAGGATGGCCTGTGGAAGGACACAAGAGGTTTGGAGGAAGATAATTGCCGCATTGACCATGGCCGAAAAAGCAGTCGTGGAGCCGAGAAATATCAACCCATACAGCTATCCGTTTACTCAGCCATGATTCCAGATCAGGGGAGACAATGGAGATGACCAGACATACCGAGACACAGGTGCCGGTAAGAAGCATCGAGTTGGCAGGCATTCGGTAAGTCGGATGTATGCGCATCCACACCTGGGAAAGTGGAAGGACCCCGTCCCGCGAGACGGCCCACTGTGTGCGAGAGCAAGTTGTTCCTATCTTGCATTAGCGTAGGCGACAACTACCAGTCTTACCGTACGTACCAACTGCAACCAAACACCCAAAAAAGCAGAACGCCAATATGGCGAGTAAGACTGATGCAGCAGCATACGAACCGGTTGCTTGGTAGTATATCGAGATCAGAGGCAACCGGGGGGATTCGAGAATGCTGGAGAGGTCGGTGATTGAGTACAACAGCGAAGCCGCAAATGGGAATGATGTCAGAAGCCCCATGACTAATGGATAGATGATAACTTTGGGAACATTCCTCGACGGGTTGGTAATCTCTTCGCAGAGATGGGCCCCGCAATCGGTGCCCAGGTATCCATACACGGCGTTGCTGATCGACAACAAGAAGCAGAGCCCATAGTTTGACCATCCCGACGAGATAGTCGTGTCCGTGAAGATGAACGAGGCTGTAGCATGGTGTTTCCGAGCAGTGACAAACAGCGTGATGATGGTCGCTCCAAGGGTGCTGACCGATAGGACAAAAATCATCTGGTTGAAGTGGGGGAGCCGTTCGGAGGCAAAAACATTCATCGCCACGGACAGCCAAATCACTGCCACGTATATCAGGTATTGCTGCCAGTTCTGTGCTTCAAATTCAGGGTACCATAGAGCGACAATGGAAAGGATCATGTAGGAGACGAAGTTCGCGACAGATCCAGATGCCAGCCACCAGCCAATGATGCTCATCCATCCATTACTAAAATCTCCGCTGTCAGTGTATTCGTCTCACAGATAGATCTCGCCTCGCTCACAGAAAAGATGCGAACGCGCGATACTTGGGACTCGCCACCATGAACGACCAATAGTACTGCGCCCCAGCAACTGGAAACGCACTTGCCAGCTCCGCCATCCCTACAGAAAGGATCAAAGTCATGAGTCCGGCGACAGGGAGCGACCAAAGAGCCCCTGCGGTGGACGCTTGGGTTAGTCCATTCCCAAGCGACGCCCCGGTCCCTAGCCAAGTGCAGGTCAAGGTGAACGAAAGTGCGCCTAATGACCATTTGGAAAATCGACGTGGCATCGCCTGACTATAGCCAGCGGCCTCAAGCTCGAGGCTGTCCATTCGCGCATCGTCGATAGAGTCAGCGTGTCCCATGATGAGCGAAACAACAGGTGGTCGCTGTTTGATATGAATGATATTGAATCGTCAGTTGGAAAGCGTTTTCTGTGATTTCGAAGGCTACCTGCGGTCAAGACTCAGGTACATTGTACAGGGCAAATCTCACAACACGCTAGAAAGCCGCACGCCTTCGTGCGCAGTACAGGTTTCATAACTGCATTTGTAGGCATACTGATGTAAGATACCAGAGACGAGGTTCAGGCGTTCAACAAGCGTTGGAAATAGGGCGGTGAACTCTCATTTCCTAATGCAGAAAAAAACATTTTCATTGCTCAACTTAAAACCCTTCTCGATTGCCCTTTCTGGGAGATTTGGAGTTTAGTCGCCACTAGTTACACCCCTGATAAGATTAGGCTCTTCGAACTTGCAAAATTCCCTGATTAGGGCAATCAAAATGCTAGCATTCGCTTAACCTACCCTGTTTTCAAAATGCTCCCATGTCCAACAGCCAGGGTCTCACCAGGTCCAAGGCATCCGCAGCATCTCTCAAATGGACGGTAGCCGTCCAGGGGTTCCTTTTGAGGTGCATAAGACTGGTTGAAACGAACTGTTGTGGATGGAGCGGAAGAAAAGTTGGCGGCTTTCACGTAGCTCTGCAGACTCCTGACCCTCATTTACGACGAGCACCATTCCTGTACGAGAGATAACTCCCTATACCTTACGTAGTTTTACCATTCTTCCTTACACACTGTTGATCGTGGACTGTAACTATGCGCAAGATAGATAAGTGTTGAAAGGAGGCCCGAACTCAGGACGGCGGAGGTAGCCTCAGCTGTAAATCATTCTGGATTATCAAGCCTGCGGACATGTGACTTTCGCGTCGACTTAAAAGAACGCTTGGTGGATACAAGATTTGTGATCTATGGCAAGAGGCTTAGCGGGGCTGAATCTATGGTAAGGAAGCTTGGGGTTAGGGTTAGGGTTAGGGTTAGGGTTAGGGTTAGGGTTAGGGTTAGGGTTAGGGTTAGGGTTAGGGTTAGGGTTAGGGTTAGGGTTAGGGTTAGGGTT